AAATTATAGTTAGTGCGAATAGCTGCACGGTATAGCACTGGATCAAACACAATTGTCACTTATTAACAGAACAGGGGGTGGGGGTGGGTGGGTGCAACAACAATCCCCCAGATTAAATCGGTTTTCACAAGGCTGTCAGTGAGTTATTGTTCCTGGTCTGTTTGATTACAGTCACTACACTTGATTAATTATTGAAGTGTTTTGACTTTACATGTGATCCTGTGACTATTGGAAGTGAGAGGGTTTCTCTCCAAGGGTGCCAACGTTAAACCCGTTTGCGCCAAAGTACTGACTCAACCGGGGGCACGTCAGAGCACCTGGGGTAAGATGATGATCCACATTTCTCAATGCTGGTACTCTCCAGTGACAGTTCGCTGGAGGACCCTTTGGATGGGAAAGGAGTGGGGATCAGCAAATTGCATTTATATAGTGCCTTTCATGTCAGGGTGATGACCCAAGGTGCTGGGAAGAGGGGAGAAGAAAACAGAGTGAAGGGGAGAGGAGAATAGAGAGAGAAGAGAAAGGGAAGAGGAATTGAGACAACAGGAGAAAAATTGCCAGAAAAGAGAAAATTGCTGTGAGAAAGGTTATTTAGACAACACTGTGTTATTTCAGAAGAAGTAGATGACCTGGTAAAATAGTTAAATAAATCACTGTTTAATGGTTGGCTATAGTGAGAGAGACAGAGAGAGAGCTGAAATTATGCAGGTGTGGACATCTGTTTCCAATCTAATTTAATTGTCACTCAAACCTCTAATCCCCACACTCCTCTATTTGGAAGAGCCCACAATGTGACCCCAGCTTTCACAACTAATATTACACATATAACTGGTTACACTTGCTCTCGCCCTCATCTGTGGACAATTTAAGCTTAAAATTCTTCTGATTAAAAAACTACATTTCTTTATCTTGACTGACAGAGTAGTTCAAATAGTAGTGAGGAGTGTTCTCAAGAGATTTACAGCACAGAAGCAAGCCATTCGAACCATTTTTCCCCACTGGAGCTGTCCACTCTAATCCCATTCCCCTGCTATCTCTCCATCATGTTCATGCTGCTACTCACTCTCTCACAGGAACTATTTACCCGTCAGAGCGTTGGCTTGCAGGGTTAACCTGTCAAGCTGTCCGCTCCCTCCGCTCAGCTGGCTCTGGCCTGCTCCACATCTTCCGCCTGGCCTGCCCCCACCATCGTCAGCTCGGCCTTCAGCCTCTCTGACCCCAACCTTTGGAACTCCATCCCGCAGTCCCTTCGCCTCGCTCCCTCCCTTGCCTCCTTCAAAGCCCGTCTCAAGACCCTCCTCTTCGACTGTGCCTTCAGCAACCCTCCTACCCCTCGCCTCCCTGCCCTCCACTCCCCCTAATCCCAACTCCCTGCTTGGATCCAAATCCTCTGCTGTCCAGCACCTTGGGACATCCTCCCGATGTGAAAGGCGTAATACTAATGTAATTTGTTGTTGTTGTTGACGGGAGCTGAGTGGGAGGATTCCCTCCCCCCAGGCTGGGCTGTCATCAGCAGTGCTCTGGAATACTGCGGACCCGCCTGGCTCAGGAACTGACGTACCAAGATAGCCACAAATTGTATGGTTTGGCTAGATTCTGACATGTCACCTCGGAGCCAGGTTAGCTCCAAGGAGCCCCTGTTTACCTACCAACACCTTGGGATGTCAACTGTTGAGGAAGGGACTATCCAAAGAGGATAATTCCTTTCCTCAACAGTTTCTGAAGTGCCTCTTATTATTCTTGGGCAACAAATTGCATTTATATGGCGCCTCTGACGCAGGATAGCGTCCCAGGCAGTTTGGTACCTTCTTGAACGCGCTCTTAAGTGGTTCTCCCCATTACACTTTGTTATAATCAACAATTTCTTCTCTTACCATTTTCCCACTGTCGGCTTCTCCGAACAGTATCTGAAGCGTGTGCTGTTGCTGTACAGTCAGACTGTGTATGTGTGTGTCTGCGTATGTTTCACCTTGGGCTCCTCGCGCCTGACGCTCGCACGCTTTTCCCGCTTTAATCCTACATTAGCGCATGTGCACTTTCCCAACGCTCGGCTCTCTCTCTCAAATTTTTCATTCTCCCGCACATGCTCCTCCCGCAAATACGCCCCAGAGCTGTCTGTTGTCCCCCGCGCACGTTCCCACGCTTTCTGTTGAGAAAGCGTACAGACCCCCTTCCCCCCCGACTTCACTGTCACAAGTCTGTGTGAGCCACAATATGGTAGGTTACACACTATGTCTGATAATATACTGGACAGGTGCTCAGCCCGGGTTGTGCTGTGGTATTTTATCAGTTTTGTGGCTTAGTTTGTAGCTCTCTCTTCTGGTCACACTGTGGTGGGCCGGACGTTACGTTACAGAGATGGCCCTATTACACCCCCAGTGACACTATTAGGGACAGGAGTAGGCCATTCAGCCTCTCGAGCCTGCCTGTTCCACCATTCTATAGGATCACGGCTGATCTGTAACTGAACTCCAAGTACCCGCTTTATAATAATCCTTGCATTTCATACCGCGCCTTATCACGTCTTCGAGACGTTTTGAAGCTCTTCACAGAATACACTGTAAAATGAATTGACTATATTTTGTGGGCGAAACGCTGCAGCCAATTGCACACAGCAGCGTCCCAAACCTGTTGTGGATTGAAGTGACCAATTTATCATTATTTTAAGGAATTATTACCCCCGGAAAAGCAATCCGCCAATCAACTAACAACCAGGTTCCTACTTATTGTTAGGCAAACTGAGGCGTGTGGAGTAAGGAAATTTGCCCAACATTTCGCCCTGCTGCGAATTGAACCCAGGTCTCTCGCTTGTGAGGCCAGTGCTCTAAACACTGAGCTACAGGACTCCACATCCTTTGATACCTAACCTAACAAATATCTATTTTCTTTTTCCCCTCTGCCCCATTCATTGTGCTTCATCGCCTCCTGATGACGCATTGGTTTCTACCCTGTAGAAGGTTGGGAGCGAGTGAAGGACAATTTGGAGAGGAAAGCAATCAGGTTCTTCCTCCAAGACTCATCTCACACATTAACAGGTCCTGCTCTGGTCTTTTGTGGTCATTGATGCACTTGTTTTTCTCCATCCCCTCCCACTAAAACAAATGTTCACATTATATTGCACATGCACGATTCCCATCAAATTTGGAAGCACTTAAACATTTGCATTAATCGCCGGGGAAGAGATTGGTTTAGCACTCAGACACTGCGCTATATCATGTACTAGCCGTGCCTGTCGCAGCTACGTTTGCAACCAAAGGATCCAATGTGGAATGTAGATTGACAGACATTTCATCTTTATCTGTACTCATCCAGGAGGACTCCTGTGGGAGGACTCATTATGGCCGTGCAGTTCTTTGTTCTTTAATTTTATTTAGAGGGCCTTTTCTCTGTTATTCAGGATGTTTATGTATCCTTGAAAGGTTTAATTTTTGCTTCGGCATCTTTACAAATTATATATATATTATTTATATATTTTTATATAATGTATAATTACTCCAAATGTGAAAGGTGCTTTAATATTGTTGTTGTCGCGGCTTCGCTTCGTCAGTGTTATTTTGTCCCCGCGACCGCTTGGCTACGAGTGCTCTGTAAGGCACGAAGCCACAGTGCCACGGTCAGCCGGCGCGGCCACCAGCAACTGCAGCAAAAAACGCAAAACTAAAATACATTTTAGGTCATAACTCATGAACAATAGGAGATACACGAAAACAAATATGCCCATATTACACCAAGGAGGTGCAAAACCTTTCCGGTGAGGTCTCTACTTCACTCAGTTATTGAAATCCTTTTTGAAGTGCATACATTATCGTTTTATTAGTATAGATTAACCTGTAGATAAATCTCTTTGACTGGTTTTAAGTTGACTGTTTTCACACGAAGCTTTTACTCTCATTAGTCGATTTTCTGAGTTCCGCCCAAGAGTTTGATTCAAGTTTTTTTTACACACACATTCAGTTGTTTGGGTAGAAAATGCTTAAACTTTAATGCTTAAACTAAAACTCTTGGTTTATGGGTTTATTTAAAGTTTATACTGTTTAGTAATAATCCCTTCAAAAAAATAATTTGGACCAATCCACCACGGTTTGTGGGACATTGCTATGCACAATTGGTTGCTGCGTTTCACCCACTAAAAAAATCCACTTTACTGTACATTCTGTGAAGTGATTTTTAGATGCCTTGAAGTCGTGCTAATAATCCTTGCATTTGATATAGCGCTTTTCACATCGGGAGGACGTCCCAAAGCGCTTCACAGAATAGACTGTAAAGTGAATTGACTGTATGTTTGTGGGCGAACGCGGCAGCCAATTGCGCACAGCAGCGTCGCACCAACAGTCATAGATTGAAAACGATCAATTTATTACTGTTTTGTTTTTTGTGGAGGGATTATTATTAGGCTCTGTGTGGAGTAAGGAAACTTGCCCAAGGTTTTGACCTGCCTGGAATTGAACCCAGGTGTCTCACTTGCAAAGCGAGTGCTCTAAACACTGAGTTACAGGACTCCACGGTGCATTACCAAATACAAGGATAAGGTGCATTACCAAATACAAGGATTATTATTATCTATCCAACTCAGACTTGTAATGGATCCAGCATCCAAAGCCTTTTGGGAGGGGGAGTTCCAGATTTCCACTATCATTTGTATGAAAAATACAGAGAAGCTCAAACCTGTGACCGAGGAGAACAGAATGGATACTCAACTGCCACCTTGGAACGTCCTCCTGACATGAAAGGCGCTATACAAATGTAATTTGGTATTGTTGTTGCCAACCTGGCCCATGGCCTCTGCTGGTGAGATGGTTAATTGCTAGTCAATGGCACCATCTAATGGACACTTGCTGACTGCATCTACCAGACATTTGTGATGAAAGATTGAAAGAGAAATAATAATTTACATTTGCACAGCACCTTTCATATCAAGAGGACATCCCAAAGTGCCTCACACAGCTGGTTGGGAGTGCCCGAGCTGTGGGCTGAGGGAATGAGGGAAAACGAATCACAGATATGAGAAATTCATATTTATGGATTTTGAGTAACTCGTTCGTGCGGAATTTTACTCCGAAACAGACTGAGAAACAGAGACTTTGGTGGCGACATGATTACAAGTGATTCAGGACAGAGGAAATACCAGCCCGGGGAGGAGAGCATGCGTTTCACTCGATTCACTCCGTCCAGACTCCCCGAAGCTGTGTTAACAGTAAACAGCGCGAGTCCATCCTCCTGTTTGGAGACAGTTCTTTGGTTCCTCCCGCGCCCCTGCACAAGGCAGAAGTGGACTCAGTATCTGTAGTGGTCGGGTTTAAAGGGTCCGTTTATCGGGACCCCGAGGTACAATGACTGATCCTCCGTCAGCTTGGTCAACTTGACCCCCAGCTTGTCCAAGTGGGCGGCAGCCACCTCTTCATCCAGCTGTAGGCGGTCAAACAAACACAATGGTTACATTACAGAAGTACGAGGTTCAGCCACGCACGGCCTTCCCACTGCAAGTGACGTCAGACTAGAGCAACGGCCAACAATTTAGTTACGGCTGTGTAACATGAGGGTGTTGAGGAAGCTTTACTGTGTCTCTACCCTGTACTCTCGCTGACCTGGGAATGCGGATGCAGTGTAGAGGGAGCTTTACTGTATCTCTAATTCAGATGGGCCTCGACACTAACACCAGGTGCCAAGCACTGAAACCTCAGACTTGGCCGATGAGGCCAGGTTACGCCCTGAGTCACTCACCTTCTTGGGCAGGAAGTGTACTCCAATCGGGTACTTGGTTGGGTTTTTCCACAGCTCAATCTGTGCCAGCACCTGATTGGTGAAAGAGTTGCTCATGACAAAGCTGGGGTGGCCCATAGCACAGCCCAGGTTCACCAGCCGGCCCTCTGCCAGGAGAATAATGTGATGGTCGTTCTTCAGCCTGTAGCGATCCACCTGCAAACACAGAGATAGAGCTTACAGCCTTCATTTTGAGGGGGGGGGGGGGAGAGGGGGTGTCAGTCAGGCCGGATGTCTGACATATGTAGAAACCCATCTCCGAACCGAGAGTTCCATGCATCCCACGTCGCTTTGTCAGCAAATTCAACAACAGGCAGTGTAGCGCCCCAGAGCGCTTATTTTAATTCCTGCCGAGGTCAGCGATTTATCTCAAAGTCTCCAATTTGTATTATGAATTTCAAAATCGTGAATTGCAAAGCAGGAAGTATTTTGCAATTATCTAATTTTATACCACATCCTCCCGCCCCCCCCCCCCCCCACCCCTGAATCCTCTGCTGTTTCTCATATGGCAGCCGAGAGCGCTTTTGAGGTTTGGGGGGTGGGGGAAGAGGCTTCCGCCGTTCCTAACTTCAGTCGCAAACTGCAAACCAGAAGCTGCATTTAATGAACTTAGCGACTCCCAGTCTGCGATCGGTGAGGGCGCCCCTCACTCCTGGCACGTGCTCACTGCTGAGTCGGCACTGACCTGCGGCTTGATGTTGATTTTCTCAGCTGCGTTCTTATTCAGCCATTTCACGTCCACTTCGATGTCAAAGTGGCCGATGTTGCACACAATGGAATCATCCTTCATCTTCTCAAAGTGCCTGAGGACAAGGAACAGAGATGACTGAGGCAGATCAGCGCTCGCTGGGAACAAGGGAAGCCTCTCTCTCCTTCCACCCACCCAACCCCCTTTGCACATTCCCACTAGAACAAGGAAGTTGAGAGACAATTTGCACTCCACCCTCAGCAGTCACACCTCACCTCTGGGTCAGGAGGGGGTGAGTTCAAGCTCCACAACAGGGCATGAGATCCCTGTGTGTGTGTGTGTGTGTGTGTGTGTCGCGGTAGTGTATAGAGCGCTTCATGGGGGGGAAAAGAGGAGAGCGCGCGCACACATGAGTGGAGAGGAAATGAATGAGAAGACTGGGGATAACAAGCCTGACAGAGAACCAATGGCCTCCCTACCTGCCCAGCAAGATATCTCTGCAGCCGGTGGTAGTCACGAAGATGTTGCCCTCATTACATGCCTCATCCATGGTGGTGACCTCGTACCCTGCATGGAGCCAAATAGGCAACAACATTTACCCTGAGACACTAAACCCCGCTCTCCCTCCCAAGCTCCCAGCTCAGCTGCTCCCAGTCCACCGGGGAACAGCTACGTGGGGGGCGGGGGAGGAGAAAGAAAATGAGTCATTTGATGAGACAGCTACAAGGGCTCCCTCACCCCAGAAGCATAAAGAGATAAAAAAACAAAACAATGCACCCCCGCTTCCACCCCCACCACCAAAAAAATCCTTGCTCTGCTTTGTCTCGGGAGAGGGATTTGGCAGGATGGCAGGACCTTTAGTAAATATTCTGCATTTACGCACAAGAGAGGCTGCACTTGGCAGCAACTGCCAAGACAAAATGCCCAGTCAATTCACTTTTGAAGTGCTGTGAAGCGCTTCAGGACGTCTCAACAACATGTTACGGCTGCTATATGAAATGTAAGGACTATTATTATTATTAAGGGGTTGACCGAGTAGCCACACTCACCCTCCATGGCCGCCTGCAGGGCGTTGATGGGGTCGACCTCGGTTACGATGACCCTGGCCCCGAACCCCCTCAGGGCTTGGACACAACCCTTGCCAACATCCCCATAGCCAGCGACCACAGCCACCTTGCCTGCGATCATCACGTCCGTCGCACGCTTGATTCCATCGATAAGCGATTCCCGACAACCGTACAGGTTATCGAACTTGCTCTAGGAGGGCGCGGAGGGTAGGAAGAGAGAGAAATAAAAATGTCAACTTTATAGTTCCTACAATCTATCGTATCGGAGCTACCCACCCCCCACCCCACCCGGTTCCATCACATTGCGTTACCTTGGTGACAGAGTCGTTCACATTGATGGCTGGAATTTTGAGCTCTCCTTTCTTGTGCATCTTGAAGAGATTGTGCACGCCAGTCGTGGTCTCCTCTGACACCCCCTTGATGTCTGCGAGACAAACACAAACATGTAATAAATAATAATAATCCTTGCATTTGATATAGTGGAGTCCTGTAGCTCAGTGGTTAGAGCACTCACTTTGCAAGTGCGAGACCTGAGTTCAATTCCAGGCAGAGGGCGAAACCTTGGGCAAGTTTCCTTACTCCACACAGAGCCTAATAATAATCCCTCCAAAACCAAAAACAATAATAAATTGGTCATTTTCAATCTACGACTATTTGTGGGACATTGCTGTGCGCAATTGGCTGCCGCGTTCGCCCACAAATATACTGTCAATTCACTTTACAGTGTGTTCTGTGAAGCATTTTGGGACGTCCTTCCGACGTGAAAAGCGCTATATCAAATGCAAGGATTATTATTATTATTATAGTGTTTTTCACGTCTCAAAGCGCTTCACAGAATACACTGCAAAGTGAATTGACTGTATATTTGTGGGCAAATCGCAGCAGCCAATTGCGCACAGCAGCGTCCCACAAACAGTCGTAACCAAATTGAATGACCAAATTATTATTGTTATTATTATTATTTTGTTGAGGGATTATTATCCCCAGAAAAGTGATCCGCCAATTGACTAACAACCAGGTTCCTAATTACTGCTGGTAAACATCAGCCGTTACCAAGGTCTCCTCAAGCCCTCCTCTCACCCCAACACTGTGACAATCTGAGTCTCAGCACCCCTTCCCCAGAGGAGAACCTGATAGCAGCGCAGGGTGGGGTTACCTTTCAGGAGTTTGGAGTGCTTGGTGTGGATCAGGTTGGTCAGGTCTCCGCCGTCATCCAGGATCATGTTCAGTGGCTTGCCGTCCCGGAAGATCAGGGTCTGCTCGATGCACCAGATGTACTCTTCATCGGTCTCTCCCTTCCACGCGAAGACTGTGTGAAAAACCATACAGTGGTGACTCAACGATCAGCTTAACACCTGATACTCACTCAGTGACCACCCCAGCCCGCCCCGAATTACGCCCCTTGCACGATTTGCCACCAGCAGCAAACTGCATCAACAATAATGAAAATCTTGTATTTGATATGGCTCCTTATGTCGTATCAAAAGTGAGTGAGCCATGTGGATGTGAGTGTGGGGATACTCACCAGGAACCCCAGTTTTGGCAATCGCAGCGGCGGCATGATCCTGAGTGGAGAAAATATTGCAGCTCGACCACTGAATCTGAAACAAACCAAAGTCAACATCACGAGAGCTTACACTCACCACCCAGCGATGGGCAGGGCCAGTAATGAGGGAACAGAGAGTTCCAGCCACCAGAAGAACATATAGCCCGATAGCACTGACACCGCAACACACAAAACCTTAAGTCAGGTAGATACTTCTAACAACAAAATTGATCAACAGCGATGTGGGGTTTGCACCACCCGCCACCCTCCGAGCACAGGGTATGGTGTCCAGACCTTACCTCTGCTCCGAGACTGGTCAGGGTCTCGATCAGCACCGCTGTCTGAATGGTCATGTGCAGGCAGCCCGCAATCCGCGCACCCTTCAGCGGCTTAGAGCTTCCGTACATCTCCCTCATCTTCATCAGCCCAGGCATCTCGTTCTCTGCGATGTCGATGGCTTTCCGGCCCCACTCGGCCAGGCTGATGTCAGCTGCGGGCGATAGGAAGCTGGTCAGATGCAGAAACCAGCTAAGAATGCTGCAGCAAACCCAGAGGGATCTGAGAAAGAGCGCAGGTTTGCCCAACGCCTCATCTCATCGAAATGTTTCGAAGAACATCACAGAGGAACCAGCATTGAGTGTGTCAACCCAGCTCGGTTGGTCGCACTAAACTCTCGAGTCAGAGGCTGTGGGTCTAGACCGTATTTCCAGACTTTGAATTTATAGACTAGCCTGACAACAATTAAGCCAGACTGACAAATGCTAAGATTATTATTTGCATTATAACTTGGTTGGGTTAGCTGTGGACTGGCTGGATGCCAGCTGGAAGTGGGTGGCATGTTACTTTTATCATAGAAATTCTGCTGACTACAACTCTTTGAAACTCCAAGTTTATTGAAGTTGAACAAACAGCATTGGAAAAGTGATGCAACATTCAGCTCAGGTCTCACACATACACACAATGTAAACTTGACCCTGTCCCTGAGAAGAGAAACTTTGTTTCCCAGGTTTATGATTAAAATGAGATAACTGACATTTAAAAAAACAACCCGGTTAGGAAACAACTTTTGCTTCTCATTGCGGGGAGTTAAAGGACAGAACTTTGAGGCTGCAGCAATTCTGAGATTTAGGTGAATGATACTGAGAACAGAAGCGAATAGAGGAGGGAGTGTAGTGACTCCCATTGTTCAATCCTCCAGTTAAATTGCCCATTCCCCTCATGGCTGTGTGCAATTTGAAGTGTGCTGACAAATACACAGGCATTACTAGAACGTGTTTGCTCTGAAGCGGAACCTCTCACTGAGGCCCGAGCCCCCCACTGATCCCAGTAATCCAGGGGATTGGACATGGCCTCCAGGCTGATGTACTGCAGTGAGAAACTCTCCACTGTCTGAGAAGCAGCCGGTCTGTCACACCTGTTATAGTCTCTCTCCAAGTGACACCAAGTGATACCTTACTAAGGCGTCGGAAACCATAACTGTGTTTCAGTTTACATTCACCCCCCCCCAATTAGTACGTTCAACAATAACAGCTCTCATCAATACAGTAGAGCACTGAGCCTCAAACCCTGAGTAACCATATGGAAGGGCCCACCTGTCACTCAGCCTTCATTCGATGCAGATAAATTCTGCTCAGGAGGGGTGGGCAAGTCAATTTGATCTCATTTTTAAAAATGCAACCTCCAAAATGTGCCATTTAAAAAAAACACAACAGCATTGCCATGATGGAATTATGAAAGCGTTGTGTAGTAATGCAGAACGTCCTTCGAACCTTACCAGGTGTACAAAATGTGATTTAATGCAGATACTCAACCTCATACTCAACCTCACTAAGTCAGTCAGGAACCTGGGTGTTTTGTTTGACCCCGAACTGTCCTTTCTCCCCCACATTCGCACCATAACCGGCACTGCCTACCACCACCTCCGCAACATTGCCAGACTCCGCCTCTGCCTCACCCCTCAGGCCCCCAAATCCTCACCCACGCAATCGTCACCTCAAGGCTCGATTACGGGAACTCCCTCCTCCTCGGCCTTCCCAACTCTTCCCTTCACAACCTGCAGATCATCCAAAACTCTGCAGCTCGTGTACTCACCCACCAGAATCCGTGACCCCATCACTCCCACCCTCACCCTCGCCCATCACCCCCACCCTTTCCCGACTCCACCGGCTCCCCATCCCCCAGAGGATCGAGTTCAAGATCCTCGTCCTCACCTTTAAGGCCACCCATGGCCTCGCCCCCTCCAACCTCTCTGACCCACTGACTCCCAACCAACCTGCCCACTCCCTCTGTTCATCGGGCTTCGGCTGCTCCATGTCTCCCGCCCAACCCGCCCTACCATCGGTGGCCTCTCTGCCCCCACACTCTGGAACTCCATCCCACGGTCCCTTCGCCTCGGCTCCTCCTCTCGCCTTCTTCAAGGCCGGTCTCAAGACCCTTCTCTTCGACTGTGCCTTTGGTCTCCCTCCCACCTCTCTGCCTTCCCTCACCCCTACACCACCCCTCCTCCCTCCCCCACCCCTATGCTCGGGTCCGGACAACTGACTGTTCAGCGCTTTGGGACGTCCTCCTGACGTGAAAGGCGCTCTATAAGTGTAACGTTGTTGTTGTTGTTGCTACACTCAGTGTTATCAATATGAACCTCAGAGCCTGATGTCTGTGAGTGAGTGTATGTGAGTGTCAGTGTATGTGCACATGTGTGAGAGTCACACGTGTGTGTGTATGTGTGCGATATGTCTGTGTATGTTTGTGTGTCAGTGTGTGACGGCTGTAGTTCCGGGGCCGATGTGTCCCCATTCTCCTCACCGGGGCGCGCGGTTAGAGAAACTACAGCTCCCAGAAAGCCCCGCGACCGCTGCGTCTGCGCACAGGCGCCTCCCGGACCAGACGGCGCCGCCTCGCCCCCCGCAGCGCTGAAACGGCAAATGCGCCGCTCCCCGTTCGCTCTCAGCAAATCCCGTCAACATTACAATACCGGCGGCTCCTCACCGACTTTGTAGGGCAGTTTGTCTGACATGGCGGTGCGGGGGGAGAGCGGGTGCCCGGTATCGCGATCAACTCCGAGAGACAGTGGCGGATTCCGGGGCTAAAGGGGGAGCAGCCGCGCGGCCTCACCTTATATACCCCCTCCGCCGCTCCCATTGGCTGCCGCTCACTGCTCCCGCCTCCCTACGGCGCCCACAGAGGCTCAGACCTCTCCCCGTCCCTCCCCTCCGCTCCCGCCCGAGCACCGCACACCCTCACCGCGGGGGGCGCCGCTGAGCGCCGCTGAGCGCCGCCGTTTCGCCCACAAAATAGTCGATCCACTTTACAGTGTCTCCTGTGAGACCCACATCGAGACTCTCAGTAACATAATAGGATCACACGCAACAATTATCATAGCTCCGCTCTGACCGCACCGTCACTCTCCACACAGCGGCTCATAACTCACTCCGTGTCCTCACTCACAGCCGCGATGCGTGACGGGCGCTATATAAGTGCAAGTTGTTGTTTGATGACTGTTACCTAATAGTCATTGAACAACAACAACTTGTGTTTATACAGCGCCCTTCGCGAGCCGTGGCTTCCCAGAACAAACGCATTGCTGACACACAGAAAAGATGTGTGGGAACTGATCATTTTCCCGATAATAGCTCATTCTTTAATGTATTGATTTTATAAGAACATTGTTGTGAACAATGTTCAATGTGAACAAGACTGAGGCCCTCCTGATTGGCTCTCACCAGCACCTCTGCCCCTCAGGCTCCGGCAGCATCACCCTCCATGGTCGCTCACTACAACTCACCGCCAGTCAGGAACCTCGGTGTCTTGTTCGACCCCCAACTGTCTTTTCTCCCCCACATCCAAGCCATGACCCGCTCTGCCTTCCCTCACCTCCGTAACATCGCCCGACTCCGCCACTACCTCTCCCCTCAGGCCGCTGAAACTCTTATTCATGCCTTCATCACCTCCAGGCTCGACTATGCAAACGCCCTGCGTGTCGGCCTTCCCAACTCCTCCCTCCACAGTCTGCAGATAATCCAGAACTCTGCAGCCCGTGTCCTCTCCCGCACCAAACTCCGTGACCCCATCTCCCCCACTCTCCCTCCTTAGCCTCCTTCAAGTCCCACCTCAAGACCCTCCTCTTCGACCATGCCATTGGCCACCCCCCTTCCCTTCCCCTCCCTTACCCCCACAACCCCAGCTCAGGTCTGAAATGGAGTCCTGTAGCTCAGTGCTTAGAGCACTCGCTTTGCAAGTGAGAGACCTGAGTTCAATTCCAGGCAGAGGGCGAAACCTTGGGCAAGTTTCCTTACTCCACACAGAGCCTAATAATAATCCCTCCAAAACAAAACAATAATAAAAAATTGGTCATTTTCAATCTATGACTGTTTGTGGGACATTGCTGTGCGCAATTGGCCGCCGCGTTCGCCCACAAATATGCAGTCAATTCACTTTACAGTGTGTTCTGTGAAGCGCTTTGGGACGTCCTCCCGACGTGAAAAGCGCTATATCAAATGCAAGGATTATTATTATTATTATTATTAAATGCTGTACTCTGTCCAGCGCCTTGGGATGTACTCCCAATGTGAAAGGCGCTATACAAATGTAATCTCGTTGTTGTTGAAAACACATGACTTGTCTGCTAACAGAATTTATTACATGATTTTACATTCAATGTATACACTTTAAGTGCAGCACTGTTCAAAATACACAACACATTAATAGATCAAAACATACCAATAGATGAATACAACCAACTTTTGAATCGAAGTTCGTGCAAAACCAAACATTTTGATGATGGATCACATATTACAACATTCTATTGGAATAAACAACTCCTAAAGTTCTGCTTTATTGGAAAAGTGCATTGATTTCAGAATACTAAAGAGTTCATCTACTTGGCTGAATTTTCAAATATTCCCTGCATTACTTTGGGATCAGCTGGATAGATGCAATGGGCTTTGTGGGAGAGCCAGTTCAGTGCTTTGTGAGAGGGAGGCAATGGTTCCAACTAACACCTTCTACCAGGCAGCTTGTAACCCTCAGACTTAATTTTTTTTTAAAAAAGCAAAACATATTGAATTAAAGGGTTATGACATTACAAATATAAAGGTTGTGTGTAATTCAGTAAAGTGCCTCTTTAGTGTGACTCTGTAGAGTAAACAACAATCTTATTTGAAAGTTTCTTATACTTATTCGGGCCTTTATTAACACCAGGTGTTAGCAATGTCGAAGTCCGAAACTTATTATCTCAAGGGACCACTTTCACTTAGAGAGTTAGCAAAGATGTAGTGTCACTTGTCGCTATCACAAACTATCACAACAATTGTGAAATTGGTAACAATGTTAAAGGGGAACAATAAGAAAATTGGCATTAAACTTGTTTGTTTCTGAAAGATATTCTTACATAGTATCTACAGTACCAAATCTTGCCATTTGGCCAAAGTAACCCATGTAGGTCATTGTACTCCACATGAGCCACCCGTTCTATCCTATACACTGATGCTGTAATTTGTACGATTCTAATATTTCAGGAATTGCCTTCATCAGAACAGAAAGGTTAATGCTATATATGTGACCTATTTTTTGGTTTCAAATTATTAGATTAAATACATGAGCAATATTACAATCATTTGGGAAAGAGCAGGGGAATAAGATTAGATTAGAGAGTTGCAGTGGGAGAACCAGCATCAGCACAATAGACACATTATAGAAATATAACACAGTAGCAGCCATTTGGCCCATTATTTCATGTTGGTGTTTGTGCCTCCATAAACCGTCCAGCTTAATCCTAATCTGTAGTTTTGTTACTCTGATATAATTGTCTCACAGATTGAGGTGCAAAGAAAGAAAACATTGTCTTCTGCTAAAATAGTGCATTTGTTCTCCAGTGGAAATCTTGTGGCTAGTGTCCAGTGTTAAATACTCGGGCTGATTGTCCCACTCTATCACCCATTGATGATCTTCTCACTGATGAACTGGGGCATGGTGTACAGTATCAGGACAATAAAGATCACCAGGATAGCCAGAATCAGGAGCCCAATGATATACCACTTGTAGTTCTTCCAAATGAAATAGACAAAGGACTTCAGAGGGTTGATGAACCAGTTGAAAGATGTGTTGGGGCGACTGGAAAAAAAATACAGAATAGAAATTAATCTCTCCCCTATTCTCCCTGGCTAGTCTTAAGAAGTGCATTTATCCAAAATCAACCTGTTCGCTCCCTCAGCTCAACAACCTGTTCCCTGCCCAGCCTGTCCCACCGCTGGTGGTTGGGCCTTCAGCCTCTCTGCTCCCACCCTTTAGAACTCCATCCCACAGTCTCTTCGCCTCACTCACTCCCTATCCTCTTTTAAAGCACGTCTCAATACCCTCCTCTTCGACTGCGCCTTCGGCCACCATCCTACCCCCACACTCCCTACCCTCCAACCCCCCACCCGATCCCAACCCCCTGCTCAGATCCAGATCCCTGGCTGTCCACCACTTTGCGATGTCCTCACGACGTAAATGTCATTTGTGTTGTTGTTTAAGTTGAACAAGTGTAGGAGGTCAGTTGGCTCAGCGTGTCTGACTCTCCTCCCTTTTCTCCCCACACACTTTATATTTTACTTTTTCAAACATTTTTCTAATTCCCATTTATGGATTGCACTGCTGGTTTTTGGTAAGCCTTTCCATGACTGCTGTGTAAATAACATTCTGCTAACCTCACCCTTTGATTGTTTTTGGTGAGGATTTTAAATGGATAATCCAGTTGCTGACTCACAGTCCAGTTGAAATACTTTCTCCCTATTTCCCTCATCAAAACTCCTCAGAATTTTGAACGTCTTCATCAGGTCTCCTCTCAATCTTTTCTGTTCTGATGAAAACAGCCCCAGTTTCTCTCAGTTTTCCTGATAAGGAAGCCTCATGCCAACAATCAGACATGATCTCATCATCTCCTGTCCGCCATCTAATTTTTTTTCCTTTCTTTCCCTGCCCCTTCTCTGTTTGTCCTTATAAATTGTTCCCTTCCAACATATCCCAGTTCTGACGAAAGGTCATCAATCTGAAATCTTAACTCACTTTCCTCTCTCTATAGATGCCCCCTGACCAGCTGAGTGTTCCCAATTACTTCTGTTTTTATAATATTAATGATAATAATAATCCTTGCATTTGATATAGCACTTTCCACGTCTTCTAGACATCTCAAAGCGCTTCACAGAATATACTGTAAGGTAAATTGACTGTGTATTCTGGGCGAAACGTGGCAGCCAATTGCATACAGCAGTGTCCCACAAACAGTCAGGACCAAATTGAATGACCAAATTATTTTTTTTTTGAGGGATTATTACCCCCAGAAAAGCTAACAACTGGGTTCCTACTTACTGCTTGGTAAACAGAGACTTGTGGAGTAAGTTTAAAGCCGACTTACTTGGGTTTGTCCAAAGGTTCGGGTTCCTTACGTGCAAGACCAACAGGATTCTTCTCCGCTTCCTCCAACGTCAACAGCTGCATCTCAGCTTCAACCTTGCCCTGAGTGAACCATAGACCATGAACCTTGCAACAGAATATGATGCTTCCCTAGTCTTTTCCCTCATTTCCAAAAGGGCTGGAGTATGTTAAAACAAATGGAGGTGTGAAATACTGGGGCTAAACTTTAGCCCCAAACCATTGCTGTGTTAGAATACAAGAATGTGAGGAAGAAATGAGTTTGCGTAAAGTCCTCAATCTAATATCACTCAGGACCCTTTATACTCAACACACAGAGGAGACTTCTATCCTCAGTAGGTGCCAGAGATGAGAGGTCACCATGCTAACCACTGCATCACTCAGTCCTGCACCTGATGTTAGGATCATGGAAGCACAAGCACCGTGATAGTCTAGACCACGGGGTCCAACCCTTTGGCTGCCGAGGGCCTGATGCCCTTTTTGAGAAACGTCCCTGGGCCACATCAGCAATATTTTGTGTTTCCCTTCCAGAAACATAACCTAACATTTACAGGTTATGGAGGGAGCGGGTGGGCTGGATAAAATGGAGGGAAGGGGTGGATGCAGCCTGCGGGACCACCCTGGGCTAGAATGGTACTCATTCCTCCACTGGGGCAACTACTCTAATCCCAATTCCCATCTCTTTCACATTGCTCCTCTTTAAACGTATATCTAGTTTCCTCTCAGATGGTCTCAGTGGCATTTATCTTTCCCCTCAGCACCAGCTCAGGAACTTACCCTCAGGATATAAACATTGCCACTACTGTCGCTGTACTGCACGTCTTCGATTTTGACTTTTTTCTTCTTGTTTTTTTTCTTCTTTTTCTTTTTCTTACTATTGTCCTCCTCGTCTTCCTCATCTTCCTCCTCCTTCACCTTCATCAGCGGCCACCAGCCCTTCATGCGCTTCTGCCGGATGATAGAGGTCTGGGGGCTGCCTTTATCCTTTGCCATCTTGGCCGTGCACTGCTCTGCTGTCTTTGCCGGCTTTGCCATGTTGTTCAGTTTGAGTTCAACGGATCCTTTAGAAACAAACCAGATGTGTAACAGCATTGGAATAGCAAAAGGCCGTAGATTACAGATGATCACCAGAGGAGAAAAGGAAGGTTAGAAGATGTGAACCACACTGAGGGAATGAGGACACCTCACTATAAATGGCTGTAGAAGCTGAACCTTCATGAAATTTGGGATATAACCAGGAGTGGATTAGGTTCCATTTATCTGCCTTTTGGGTGCGTTCCCGATACCCAGATTGTCGGAGTCGGAGAATCTTACCGAGGAAGTCATTCGCAGAAATCAGGTCGTAATCCCAGACCTGGAGCATGAGGACGGCTGGCTGGCGGAATTCCGACTCCTCCAAGGAGAAGATGGATTCTTTCTTCTTGTAAACAATCTCTTTCTCTGTTGGCAAGTAGTCAAAGCGAAACACAAAGCGCCAGTTGAAGTTTCCCTCCCCGGTCAACGAGTTGAAGTGGACATCTGTCTCCTGCTTGTCCTGTTCCATCCCCTTTATCCACCTGTGAAATTAACAATATAAGCGAGAGGAACTGGGTTCGATTTTGGAGCAGGGCGAAATGTTGAGCAAGTTTTGTTACTCCACACGCTTCTGTTTACCTAGCAGTAAGTAGGAACCTGGTTGTTAGTTGGTTGGCGGATCACTTTTCCGGGAGTAACTCTTCACCTCATTGAGTCAATACAAAACCTCAGGTTGCTTTTCGACCCTCAGTTATCTTCAAACCTCACATTTATGATGTCCTGTTCCATCTTTCCCCACCTCTACAATATTACCCACCTCCGCCACTGCCTCTCCCTGCAGGCCGCCAAGACCCAAATAATAATAATCCTCGCATTTGATATAGCACTTTTCACCTCTTCTGGACGTCTCAAAGCGCTTCACAGAATAGACTGCAAAGTGAATTGACTGTATATTTGTGGGCAAAATGTGGCAGCCAATTGCGCACAGCAGCGTCCCACAAACAGTCATGGTTTGAAGTGACCAGTTTATTATTGTTTTATTTTCTTGAGGGATTATTATCAGGCGTGTGGAATAAGGAAACTTGCCCAAGGTTTCACCCTGCCGGGAATGGAACCCAGGTCTCTCACTTGCAAAGTGAGTGTTCTAACCACTGAGCTACAGGACTCCACCCAGATCCACGCTTTCATCACATCCCGGCTTTACTATGCCAACTGCCTGCTCACTGGACTTCCCAACTCTTCCCTCCACAAGATGCAGATTATTCAAAATTCTGCAGTTCATGACCTCTCCCACACCAGACTCCGGGGACCAATCACCCCCGTTCTTGCCCATCCCACCAAGAACCCTCGTTCTCACCTTCAAAGCCCTCCACGGTCTTGCTCTCTCCTACCTCTCCGACCTCCTAACCCCAAATCAGCCTGTCCAACCCCCTTCGCTCAGCGGGCACCAGCTGCTTCAGGTCCCCCGCACTTCCCGCTCCACCATTGGTGGTCGGGCATTCAGTAACTCTGCCCCCACACTCTGGAACACTATCTCGCAATCCCTCCCCCTCACTCCTCTCTTGCCTCCTTCAAGTCCTGTTTAAAGACTGCCCTCTTCGACTCTGCCCTCGGCCACCCTCCCACCCCCACACACTCCACCCCTCCTGACCCCAACTTCCAGCTCAGGTCAAAAAAAACCTGTCCAATGCCCTGAGACATCTTTCGGACGTGAAGGGAGCTGTACAAGTGTAATTTATTGTTGTTGTAATAATCCTTTCAAAAATATTTTTTTAAGAATAATAATAATGATAATTTGGCCAATCAAACCACGACTGTTTGTGGGACGCTGCTGTGTGCAAGTGGCTGCCAAGGAGCTAAACAATCAAGGATTTGGACCCAGTCAAGGACCTAGACTTAACATCTCAAATACCATTGTTTAAATACCCTTTGACGTAGATGTCACTGGATCGGACTCCTGTAATTGGATTCACATCATCGAGGGCAACATCGTCAGTGTTCCAGATAATGACCCGCAGTTCATAGCTACAAACACAGAGAAACAGAGTCAATATTGCAAAACCTCTGTAAAGTCCCTCCTGCTTGGAAAAACACAGCAATTGGTGGGTTGTTAACTCTCCCACATGGAAATAGCAAGGTAACAACTGGTAATAATCAGCAACAACTATAACAACAAATTATACTTTAGTGCCCTTTACATCGGAAAGACGTCCAATATGGAATAGGGAATATAATTGCCCAGAAGATGGTGGTGCTGAATTGATTGGGATGTTTTAAAGGGGATAAACAGAGAAACATTTGGGAAGTCAGGAGACTAAGTGTATGACAGCAAGAAAACTGCCATTAACTGATAAACTGGTTGAACAAGCTAGATGGGCTGAACTGCCTGCTCCTATACTATGTTATCAACATGGCACTATGGGACGCTACCCTGTGTGAGGGACGCTATACAAATGCAAGTTGTTGGTTGAGGTTCTCAAAGTGTAGCTTTTAACGAAGGTTATAAGCAAGTGAGTCAAGTTAACAACTAGAGGTAAGGGAGGTTATTTTGTTATTTTGTGTGTACAATGACAGGAAATAAATGTGTCTCACCCTGGAGACCTCCTCTCGACATGAAAGACGCTCTATAAATGTAATTTTGTTGTTGTTGGAGGAGCAAACACTGTTAAACATGTAGGTAATGACTGACCTGACTGGCTGACGTGGTTTGATATTGACTGGCGGAAGAGCAGGCAAATCAACAGGGAACATGTCAACCCACATGTGAACTTGACCCTGTGGAGGCAGATAGGGAAATAACAGTCAAAAACTAACACTGTTTCAGTTGAGGAAGGCTGAAGGTTTCAAAAAGGGAGTTAGGCCTGGACAGAGGGGAGTGAGTGGAACATAAGTACTGGAGGAGGCCATTCAGCCCCTCAAGCTTGTTCCGCCATTCTATAAGATCGTGGCTGACCTGTACCTCAACTCCAATTAAGCTTGAGGGACTGAATGGCCCTGTATAATAATAATAATCCTTGCATTTGATATAGCGCCTTATTACATCTTCTAGACGTCTCAAAGGGCTTCCCAAAATATACTGTAGAGTGTAGTGATTGTATATTTTAAGGGCGAAACGCACAGCCAATTGCGCACAGCAGCGTCCCACAAACAGTCATGGATTGAGTGACCACATTATTCTTTATGTTTTATATTCTTTCTGGAAGGATTATTACTCCCAGAAAGCCTGCCAATCGACTAACAGCCGGGTTCCTACTAACTGCTAAGTAAACAGAGGCATGTGGAGTAAGGAAACTTAGCTAAAGTTTCTCCCTGCCCGGGAATCGAACCAAGGTCTTCTCGCTTGCGAGGCGAGTGCTCTAACCACTAAGATACAGGACTCCACAATCTATCTAAAGTTTCAGTGAAATTTCATCTAGATTTACTCATTTCATGTAGCATTTCAGAGCATCGAAAATTCTCAAACACAGCCATAACGTTGAAGCCAGTTTTCTGTGGTGTTGTTTACCTGTGACAGGCCAGGGTTGCTGGGATTATAGAGACAGCGCATCTCCACGTGCTCCATTAACAGCTCCACCCCATAGACAGGCATTTCTTTCCAGTGCTGCAGAACGTACAGGGCCTTGAGTTCGTCGCTCATTTCCTGCTTGGGGTTTTTCTTACTGTCAACTAAAAGACACGAGCAATGGTCAGCGGGACTGCGTGGAATCAGGAACAAAGGGACAATTACTGGAGAGAGTTTTGAAAACTTTTTTTTCCCCTCAGAATGTGGAATGCTTTGCCCCAAGTGAAGCTAATGTAGGAGGTTAATTGAGGCACAATTAAGGTGTTTAAAATAATGAGACATGATGCAACCAAAGAGATCTTCAAATTAGAGTCAGGGCAGTTAAAAGTGAGATCAGAAAACATTTGGTCACAGAGTGGTGAGATCATGGAACGGACTGCAGAATTAATTGGATATTGGATGTTGAAAATAAGAGCGGATAGAGAGTTAGGAAATAAAGGTATGGAGAAAAGGTGTGAAAAGCCACCCTCCTACCCCTGCCCTCCATTTCTCCTGATCCCATCCCCTGCTTGGGGCCAAATCCCTGACTGTCCAGCGCCTTGGTAAATCCTCCTGACATAAATGTAATTTGTTGTTGTTGGGTATTGCTGTTCTCTGCATTATTTATGTCAGCGCTGTAATGGCATTGAAGAAAAATGCAACGAATGATTGACTGAAAGAAACACCTCTCACCGATGGGCAGCAGGTCATTGGGGATCTTGAATATCTTATTGTTGACCTTCACTTCTTCCGGCCTATATTCAATGTCCATTATTTCTAAACCTTTGCAGAGTTTCGCTAGTAACTGAGTGGGTTTCAGGCTGTCGCGCCATGCGTTGTATCCTTGACTGCAACCAGAAGAGAATTGTACCGTGATATCTCAGGTAAGCGTGTGAAAAGGTAGAGTGGTTTGTTGGTTGATTCTTTCATTTGATATAGCACCTTATCACGTCATTGAGATGTCTCAAAGCGCTTCACAGAATATATTGTAAAGTGTAGTGACTGTGTATTTTGTGGGCGAAACGCGGCAGCCAATTGCACACAACAGTGTACCACAAAAGTCGTGGATTGAGTGACCAAGGTATTTTTTGGGAGGGAGAGGGATTATTACCCCCGGTAAGCGATCCGCCAATTGACTAACAACCTACGTACTGCTAGATAAAGTGTGGAGTAAGAAAATTTGCCACAGTTTCACCCTGCCGACTGATACACACACATACTGATAAAGACTGACCTACAGCGACACATAGATTTATAGCTGAAGACAAAGAGACACAGACAGACAAACACACGAACACTCTTTATCAAATCTACAATAGCATTAGGCCTAATCAGTGTGTATATTAGGCTCTCAAGTGTATTTGGAGTTTGGAGGCTGTATCTCATGTTTCTGTTGGTTGGTATTGAAGAGAGGGCCATTGACCTGTTACTTACGTGTCGTACTGTTTGGGCAGCCCACACTGCGCCCGGTATTTGCTGTAGTAACGGTTCTCCAGGTCAATCTTTGTCTCCCCGATCAGATTGTCCTTTCCCACCATATCATGGTCAAAGATTGAGACCGTTAGCTCAGTCTCCAACGGAAACTCCACCGTAATTTCAAACTCTCTGGGCACATTTTACACAACAAGGAATCAGCGCCTACTTATTCATGCAACACATTAGTAAAACTACAATAATAACAATCTTCGTATTTGATATATCAGAAATACGAGAACAAATTACATTTACACAGTGCCTTTCACGTCGGAAGGACTTCCCAAGGCGCTGGACAGGTTTGCACCCGAGCTGAAGGATGGAATGAAGAGGGTTGGAGGGTAGGGGGGGGTGGGGGTGATAGTGTGGCCAAAGGCATGGTCAAAGAGGACGGCCTTAAGACCTTCAAGCAGTTCAACTACTTGAGATTGTTCCACAAGAAGAACTTTCAGAACTGGAAATGTTTGTGTATCTGGAATTACTCAGATAGGCTGTTACAGCACAGGCCACTTGTACCCTATACAGCAGGAATGTCCAACTTTTTGGCTGCTGAGTGATGGATTCCCTATTTGAGAAACATCTGCGGGCTGGATAAGCAGTATTTTTGTGTTTTCCTTCCAGAAACATAACAATATTTCGAGGTTCTGGAGGGAGCAAGTGGGCCAGATGAAATGGAGGAGGGTGGAGGATTGACCACCCCGCTATACAGATTGTCACCACCTGAACTGCACGTGTTGGAGACTCAGCAGTCGGCACTCACTCTCCAAAGACGGGGTTCAGCTGCTTCGGAATGTAGCGTTCCTTGCTGTCTTGGACATGCTCACCAACCTTGACCACGATGTAGGGGTCGGACTTGCCATTGAGGTCAGCCGGAGCCAGATTGGTGGCCTTGTGAAATTCACAGAATGAGCACACTTCAACAACAATTTGTAATTACATACAACAACATTACATTTGTATAGCGCCTTTCACGTTGGGGAGACATCCCAAGGCACTGGACAATCAGTGTTTTGGACCTGAACTGGGGCTCAGGGAGAGTGGAGGGGCAAGGAGGGTGATCTAAGGCATGGTTAAAGAGGAGAGTCTTGAAACAGGTCTTGAAGGAGGCGAGGGAGGGGGCGAGGCGGAGGGGCTGCGGGATGGAGTTCCAGAGGGTAGGGGCAGAGTGGCTGATGGCCCGGCCTCCAATAGGGGACAAGAAGCAGGCCGAAGCCCGCTGAGCAGAGGGAGCGGGCAGCTTGGTTGGAGATTAGGAGGTCGCAGAGGTGGGGGAAGCATTATGGGATATAGTACATAGGTGGTTCAGAACATACGTGCATGTGCCCGCCAGGAAGGTGGAAAGCGAACTAGATGGACCTTGGTCTTTTTTCATCTAGCATTTCTTATGTCCTTCTGTGGTCTCCAATTTTTATTTTGAATTTCAAAATTGTGAATTGCAAAGCAGGGAGTTACAATAAATGCAAAGTGTCTGGTTTGCAAATATCTCATTTTATAGCACATCCTTCCCCCCAATTCTCTGCTGTTTCGCATGTACCACAAATTCAATGTGACTTTATAATATTTGTAGCAACCAATTTGATCACAACATTAGACAATCTGGAATGATAATAATAATAATAATAATCCTTATATTTGATACAGCATCCTAATTATGTCCTCAAGATGTCTCAAAGCGCTTCACAGAATGTAGGACACAAACAGTTGTGCATTGAGTGACCGAGTGATTGACCGATTGATTGATTGACCGATTGACCGACTGACTGACTGACCGATTGACCGACTGACCGACTGACCCGGAAAAGCAATCCACCAATTGACTTACTTGATCAACATTCCCCCCTGCCTGAGAATCGAACCTCGGTTCTCTCGCTTGCGAGGCGAGTGCTCTAACCACTAAACTACAGGACTCTATATGATGCCCACTTTGTTTGGAAGATTGCTGGTCAGAACTACAAATAATGTTACTCACTTTCACCACATAAATTCGGATAAGAACTTTGACTGGCCTGTTGTTGGGAATCCCCTGCAGTATTTTAAAATCACCCTTTGCCTCGTTGGTTGGATAGACCATGAAGGAACCCTGTGAGGAAGAAAATGGACCTCGATGAGTAAAATCATGACTTTGGCACAGTGCTGAGCGCTAAAGTGATGAGGTGTAGTACCAAGTATTGCCATGAGATGTCAAACAAACTATCCTGCTGTGCTTTGGGCAACAGGGTCATTTGATGGCACTATATCAGCATTGAATTGAACCAACAACAACAACTTATAATAATACCACTACTAATAATAATAATCCTTGCATTTGATATAAACTTGTATTTATATAGCACCTCTCATGCAGGGTAGTGTCCCAAAGCGCTTAACAGTGACGGTGCTGAGCTGGGGGGAGGTGACTGTAGACGCGGTTGAAGAGGAAGGTCTTCAGGCACAATCCAAAGATGGGGAAGGAAGGGGCAAGGTGGAGGGATAGAGGAGGATCTTTCCAGAGTTTCAGGGACTAGTGGTCCAGTGATGTATGTTAAGGGAAGAAGCCAATAGCAGAGACACACACACCTTGTATTTCCCCATTGTTCGCTCTTCAGCACTCTCCCACGACTCGTCTTCGTTGGCCTTCCCCTTGTACAGTGGGAAGATGTACAGCCAATCCTCAAAGTTATGAAACTCGTTCTCTAACTCTGAGGTATAAATCTGGAAGAACACAGAAGAGTCACCAAATCCATTATTTTACATGAAGTGTATATAAATGATCTGCAATAAAGCATGGGGGCAATGTGTCGATATGACAGGGTATTAGTGAGGTGGTATAACAACCTGAATAGCACCTTTTACACAGTATGAACGTCTTGAAACACATAAATTGGGTATATAGCAAATGCTAGGGTATATAGAGATTGCTATATCAAATGCAACAACTCCAACAAAATGATTTTTATTGTTATATATCAATGTCCTGGGGAGATGAGCTTCAGCAGATTGATTGCCTTTCCTCAGTTCAGACTCTTCCATTTTGTAGGAACCTCACCTTCAGTGTTGCAATTGTGTTTTTGGGCCGTGTCGGCTGAACCTCGACCACCCCAATCTCTTCATCTTCTCTCTCCTCCATTTCAGCTGACAAATCTGTGGGAAGGCGAGAGGCAGTGTGACTGCAAGCCCTTCTCTCGGGATTTCTTTCTAGGGAACACACTTCCGAATTTCCAACTCTGAAAATCCCTGGCTGCTTCCCTGCCACCCCCCCCCCCAATGTAACATCGTAACTTTGTACGAACAATGTTTAAATACTGTATACTGTTTTTCAGTGAATTTTTCCAATGGTCAATAGTGAGAGATATCAGGGTTAGGAAGCAATCAGCCATGAAGTGAATGTCCCAACGAATTAGAGGATTGTTGGCCAGGACACTGGCAGAAACTCTTTTCCGTTTCGCAAACACTTACCTGGCTCAATATGATCTTCGTCCTCATCAAGTTCTTTGCTCTGAGAAAAATAAAACATAAGTTGGTTTGTCTCTACATGTCTCTCTGGAACACTCTTCCTCTATCCCTCCACCTTGTCCCTGCCTTCCCCATCTTCAGATCACGCCTGAAGACCTTCCTCTTCAACTGTGCCTACTGTCACTAACCCCAGGCTCAGCGTCGTGCTCTGCCACTGTCAAGCGCTCTGGGATGCTACATAAATGCAAATGGTTGTTATTGTTTGTGTGTGTCACTCGCTGTGTGATTTGAAAAATATTGGATCGTAATTTTGTTACTCGTAAACATATTTGTTTCCTTACTTTCAGAACAGAGTTGAATTATTAGGCCAGGATCATTTCAGTAATTGAAATGATCAGTGAGGCTTTGATTATAGTTTGCAAAGTCAGGTTTATTCATATATCTCGCCCACAAAATATACAGTAAATCCACTTTACAGTATATTCTGTGAAGAGCTTTGAGACTTCTTGAAGACGTGATAAGGCGCAAGTAATCAAATGCAAAGATTATATTATGTTATACCTTATTGTGAAGCTCCTCTAGCGAGGCATAGTACTTTGACCACCAGTCAAGCTCGTCCAACTCCAGTTTCTCCTCAATTTCTTCCGGCTCTTCCTTCAGGATTGTTGGCTTTTTCAAGGGAAGATTCTTCATTGGCAACTGGAAGGGAAGAAAGTGAGGCCTCGGTCAAATCATGCGGAAAAGATCCAGCTCATTCAGAACTCTGCCGCCCGCATACTGACCCGGACCAAACTCCGTACCCACATCTCACCAGTTCTGGCCAGGTTCCACTGGCTCCCCATCACCGAACCGATCAACTTCAAGATCCTCACACTCATGTTCAACTCCCTTCACTCTCTGGCACCTCCCTACCTCTCCGACCGCCTCACTCCCCAATCCACCGCTCGCCTGGCAATGGCCTTCTGCTCGTCCCTCGCAACCTCCACCTCACCATCGAAGGTCGCGCTTTCAGCCACTACACCCCAAAACTCTTCCTCGATCCCTCTGCCTTGCCCGCTCTCTCCCCTTTTTCAAGTCCCACCTGAAAATCTTTCTCTTCGACCATGCTTATAGCCACCTCCCCACCCTCACCGGCTTGGAGTCTGGCTCCACCACTGTTAAGCGATCTGAGACGCTGCCCTGTGTGGAGGGTGCAAGTAGTTATTGTTGAATTTTATTTTTCTCCCCTGTTCGCCCACAAATATACAGTTGATTCACTTTACAGTGTGTTCTGTGAAGCACTTTGGGACGTCCTCCCGACATGAAAAGCGCTATATCAAATGCAAGGATTATTATTATTATTATTACTCCTTTAACACACTCCACCCAGGGCCTGATCCTCTTCTGGGGCTGAAATTCTACGTGGGTTTAGCCTTTAACTATTGTCTAAATGTTTCAGATTATACAGAATTTGGAAGATTCTTAAATTCAGTTATAAATTTCAGGTCCTGTTAACATCTTAAGGCTGGCAATGCAGACCTCTAATGTCCACACAAAGACTAACCTCTCTGACAATGCTAAAGTCTCCAGTCTCTCTCAGGTTAACACTTCTTTGCTCCTGAAATTGTCTTAACTCCCCAAATGACACTGATTGACAAGAGGAGCCTTGCTTGGTAACATGAACTACTCAGCTGTTGGCTCTTGAACCTCATCAGAATTTAGTCAGTCCACACTTACCTTGAGAATATCAAGTGTTTTTTTCTTATTGTCGGAGCTAGTCGCCGCCTGGTCAACAGTTATTTTAGTTTCAATTTTACCTTCGGAATTGGTGACTGGACTTGACAACTTCTTTTCTGGAATGTAGAAGGGAGAATCTGGTGAGAGCGTGCACCAATCACAAGATTACCGGAGAGGTTCATATGAAAATATTTCTTAGGTCAGGGTATCAAGGGATATGGAGCAAGGACGGGTAATTGGAGTTGAGGTACACATCAGCCATGATCTTACAGAATGGCGGAACAAGCTCAAGGGCTTACTCCTGTTGCTATGTTCCTAGAAGACCTTTCTGCCCATTTGATCTCATCCTTCCAGAATCACTCTGACAATCTTCTCTTTGCAGTGACAAGCTATTTCTTTGACAGATTTAGCCGATGAGATCAAGAACACCAATCCGAGAGAAGACTAAGAATATATTAGGCACATTGGAATGTGCAAGGCCATAAAAAAATCACCACTATCCACCTCATGTTCAAACACTATCTCTCCCCATCCCTCATTCCCCATTCTGCTAATCCCCATCTAATTACGGCTAAACTATACATCTTCACTGCCTCCGTGGGCAAATTGTTCAACATGCTACCCATCCTCTGTACATAGTAGTCGTATCTTGACAGTCCATTCTCCTGAGAATGGGCCTTCCAGTCCATTCACCCACCACCTGAACATCTACTGGGTGGGGGGGTGGGGGGGGGCATTTAAACAATCCTTCACTAATGTTCGACACCATATAAAAAGCAGTGCCCACTTTCTGCTTACTCTTGGATATATGCTTAACCTCTTCAGATTCTGTCTTCTCTTCCAACTCCCCTGGGGAGAATTTCAGGAGGCTGGTGACGGTGTGGGAGCCCACGAGGACAACACGGCCAAACGCCCGGCGCTCCATCACAAAAATGCTCAGCGGAGGGTGAAGGTAGGGATCCTCCGGCAGCTCCTGAGAAACCAGCAGTTTAATGGTTAACAACAGCAAAAATTATAATTTAGTCACTCAATCTCAGTGTTTGTGGGACGCTGCTGTGTGCAATTGGCTGCCACCATTCTCTCACAAAATACAGTCAATTCACTTTACAGTATATTCTGTGAAGCACTTTGAGACGTCGCAAAGACATGATAAGGCACTGTATCAAATGCAAGCACAAACTTCACGTTACTTGTGAAGTGCTTTTGGATATTTTGGTACCATGACACACTAGAAAAAGNTTTTTTCTGCTTACCACTTCAAAATATTTCACCAGCACATCGAAGTTGGGATTTTCCTTGTAATTTGTGATGACTTCAGATTCCACTTTCTGACTTGCACATTCCACTGTCACTTGAGGTTGTTCAACTTCGAAAAGGTTTATTCGTTTCAGGTCCCGAAGGCCCCAGAAGAGAACCTAGAAAAGAACAAAGAGTTTATATAATGTCTCGGGTTGCTCTGTGGAGGAATTAAATAATTAAATAATTCTTGCATTTGATATACCGTCTTATCAAATCTTCGAGATGTCTCACAGCGCTTCATAGAATAATAATAATAATAATCCTTGCATTTGATATAGCGCTTTTCACGTCGGGAGGACGTCCCAAAGCGCTTCACAGAATAGACTGTAAAGTGAATTGACTGTATATTTTGTGGGCGAAACACGGCAGCCAATTGCGCACAGCAGCGTCCAATAAATAGTCGTGGTTGAGTGACCAAATTATTATTATTATATTTATTTGAAGGGATTATTTCCCCAGGAAAAGCGATCCGCCAATCGACTAACAGCCGGGTTCCTACTTACTGTTGGTAAACAGAGGCATGTGGAGTAAGGAAACTTGCATATAGTTTTGCCCTGTCGGGAATCGAACCTTTGAACTTCGGGGAGTGCTCTAACCACTGAACTACAGTACTCCCCATAACCTGATTCTGACTAAAGACAAGGGTGATAATACGTTATTCACAAACTGGAGGTTTGCAAATAGATTTGCTTTTAAATTCAATAAAATAAATTGGGGAAAAAACAGAAAGAAGTTCTGCAGTTGCCGGCAAAGGCTGTTTAGCGCCTGGTGTTTTGTTGGGAGTTTTGGGGCCTTTCCTCAGCCGAGAAGTAGCTCAAAGGCAAAGTGCTGGATAGAATCACAGTGTCAGCGCGGGGCTGCCCAATCAGTGAACTTCCAACCCCAGTGATGCCAATGAACAAAATCAATGAACAATTTTTCATCCAAACCTCAGCCCACTATAGTATATATATATATATATATATATATATGTATATATACAAGCTTACCTCAATCCTGAACTTCTTCAGTTTGGGACGAATTGCTTTGGGAACAATGAACCGGTCCTTCTGAACATCAAGAAATTCTGGTTCTTTGGACTCCACATCGTCAGGGAGAGAAGGCTAAACACGAACCGATCATTAGCCACAAAGTTAAGTAAATCACTGTCTTTTACTAAGTACCCATTTCTCACAGTATCTGCTTTCAACAGTTCACACACAGAGATTTGTACAACGCAGTCAATTTATATATAAATAGCCATGAAGTGATATATATATGTGTTTAAGATGTATAATCTTTGCATTTCAAGTCACTGAAATGTCTTGAAGTACTTCACAGGATTTAGTGTGAAGTGTAGTGATTTGGGGTATTGATTAATATATCTGGGGAATTGTTGGCCAGAATACTGGGAGAAATTCCATTCCTATTTTTGAATAGTCACAGGATCTTTAACATCCACCTGAATAGGCAGACAAAACCTTGCTTTAACATTTCACCCCTGAAGGATAGCACCTCCAAAAATACATCATTCCCATCCAGCTCTGTGAAATGTGTTGATATGTCCTCCCATTGTGAAAGGTGTTATTTAAGTAGAAGAAGTATTGTTATTGTTACTGACTTGGAGCATCAGTCTAGACTGTGAGTTCCAGACCCAACACGGTGGCTAGAACTCACAACAATTTGCCCTTCAGTAGGATATCGTCTTGGTGGTTCACAAGGATTGGACACTGAGCAAGGGGATGGGGGAGTGGGTGGGCATAGTAGTATGAAGTAGGATTTGAGGCATGTTTTGAAGACAGAAAGAGAGGGAGAGAGAGAGACAGAGCGTTACGGAGGGCTTAAGTGGTCAAGAGGTCACTGATTTAGAGATAAGAAGACTGCTATGTACTAAGTCAGACTGTTAGTTACTGTGTAAGTCAGAAGTGGACTGTTATTGATATATTATTGCTAAAGAATATTATTGATATATAATGATAAAATGAATAAGAATAATGTGATATGTGTTACCTCACCAAACCCACTGTAATCCAGTTCTATCAGTTCAAAAGCAGCCAGGAGTTCGCCAGCTGCAGCTCGCCCCTTGTAAATGTCATGAAATTTCAGTGAAGGTCTCACGTAAGCTTCATCCTGCAGCTTGATGCAGGGAGCAGCAAACGCACGGCCCAGGAACTCAGGTCCTCCCTGCAATTAACAATGAAGAAACACATCAATGCTCGTTGGCAGCTCCAGATCCCTAATGACAGGTTTGGGGCTGAATATGAATTCCGGACAATGCTTTCTCTCTTTCTCTGCAGACCTTTCACATTTTAAACGTTTACTGTGAAACTTAGCAAGAAGCCTGAGATTTTCATTCCCAGCAACTTGAAGAAAACTTTAGCGTTTACTGATGAAGAAGGGTTAAAATGGCCGTTTGCGAGGCCTGGTCTAAAAATCTTTTTGTAAAATACATGAACGAGGTTTTGGAAGACCTTTAGATCTCTGGTCTGTGATAAAACACGAAACTTACAAAGCTGTCATAGTCAAAGATGTTAATGATGATGATGGGAGGGTCGTTCTTCAGGTCGGCCTTGCTCCCCTCTATCAAGATTTGGTCGAAGATCAGCATCTCGCTCCACGTTGGTGAGAGGGTTTCCTCCAGGTGCTGAGAGGCAAGAATTGGGAGACAGAAATGAATTCTTTACAAGAACATAATGAATGAAACATAGGGACGGATATTCAGGTCAACTCTATCTTTCTCCAACAGAATGAAGCGCTCGCTGGTCAAGTGATATGTTGAAGATTCTCACCTTGGTGGATTGGCATTGGGATGAAAACACAACTCTTGCGAAAGGATCTGACAGCCCGTTATCATCAGCAGCAAGGATCCCTCTGGCCTGGTAGATGTGAGCTCTCAGCTGGAAGTAGCTGTTGTCTGAGACAAGGATGGAGCAAAGTAAAGACATTTAACAGTTGGAGCTGTCCTGGCTCCCTTATCTTTAAGAGTATTGACTGTATTTTTGTAGGCAACTATGTCAACGAGTGCTCTAACCACTGAGCTACAGAACAATATACATGTAACAGAAGAGCAGAGATGAAGAGCAAATGTCATTCCTTACAGTCACTGGTTAGTTTGATCGGTGGCAATGTCAGAGGCATATTGGTGGATTCCTCATACACTGGGATGAACTCCTGAGGCAGGCTGCTGATGTTGTTTTTGACATACTTCGTTATGCCCAGCCACATGTAAATCTCCAGCTTGGCAAAAATCTCTCCAATCGGTGCTCCAGGAACCTATGAGAAAGCAATAAGCCCACATCAAGACTCAATGGCCCATTCTAGTCAGTTTCTCTCTCTCTCTGATTATAGAACGATTGATCAGTAGAAACAGTTTCTTTCAAATAACAAAACTCATCCTTTCGATCAACTTCTACAGGTTTTGATCTTCAGCAGAATATTATTCAAGTGCCTTGGGACGTCCTCCCAAAGTGAAAGACGCCACGTAAATGTCAATGTGTATTGTACTTACCTTCAGATAGACGGACTGAATTTTCCCACAGTCTTTTCCTTTCTCCTCCTCCACAATGGAGTACAGGATCTGCCGAGCAGGAATACGGGTGTACGCCACACGTTTCCCGTTGCTCAACATCCAGATGAATACATCAGCGATCGGAGGTTGAGGCTGGAGAAATGGAAGGAAAAATGATCGAGTACTGCACAGCTCATCGTCACTTCATTTGTAATTAATCGCGATCTATAGAGTGCTTCTCAGACCTTTCTCTTACTTGAAAGGCACTGTACAGTTTTTTCATGTTGATACTGAATTCAATTACAAACGCAGGAGATATCTGCACTGTGGATGTGAAAACAGTCTAGGTACCACATTTTCGGTACATATGATTTCCACACGGTATACGTATGTATACATGTGGCCTCTAATGATCTCTGTGTATTTGTGTGTATGTGTTTCTCTCTAACACTGTGTTTAGTTGGACTGAATCTTTGCCCCAACACTCGGGAAAAATCTTGTACTTGGTAACATCACACAAGCAATATGCACAAATTAATAATAATAATCTTTGCATTTAATATAGCGCCTTATCATTGTGACATCTCAAAGCACTTCATATAATATACTGTAAAGTAAATTGATTGTATATTTTGTTGATGAAACACGGCAGCCAATTACGCACTGTAATTTTCCCTGACATTGTGCCCAATACAGCGTCCACTGTACCATCCCTCTACCCTCGTGAATAACACTGAGTCAGTTCAAGGAAATCGCAGTCAGAAATACTCAAGCCAGTCTCACCTCCTCGACCCGAGATTTAATTTTCTTCAGCACTTTCCTGGCCTCATTCAGCTGCTCCTTTACATTCTTGTTTAACGTTTTACTGATCCTCAGCGCCTGCTTCCCATAGGCAAGCTGGTAATGAGAAACATAGAGGCCTGAGTTACCACTGCCGGAGTGATCATCGTAACCTGAAACCTTTATTAACCATTCAACAACAACTCACATTTATACAGCGCCCCTCACGCAGGGTAGCGACCCAGAGTCACATTTACTGCCTCCCTCACAGCAAACACCAGAGAATTGAGTACACAAACCCTTGCCGTTTTTATACCATGGTGCCACACAACTTTGTCAATCTCACTTGTTTAGGTGCATCCTTGGATGTCAATGCTTGCAAATGGAACCCATTCCAGCCTCTAAGTATTTGTATCCTTAGAAGCAATACTCCTAGCATTATTCCTACTGTTTTTATACACATCACCATGCTTAAGAGTATTCAAACCAAGCTGAGAATTCCATGCATCCCACCTACACATGGAAATCCCAGAGATAGATTGTTAGAATGGAATGCACACTCTTCTCCCTGAAGTGACACATCCTTCTTACCTAATTCCAGAAAATATTAGGCGCAGGTTGGCAAGAGCTAAGGCTTGGTTTATATTGTATCCATCATGTAATGGGCTGTCAATCACTTACGCTATTAAACTTCAGGGAATTATTTCGGCTTCTGTCCAGGTTGTTTGGTTTAGACAGGGTTTTCTTCTCAGCGAGGATATGGTACTGCCTGCCATCGAGACAGAGAGAGAGGGGTGGGGAGTGGGGGGTGGGGGGGAGAGAGAAAGAGAGAGAGTGGTTGGGGGAGAAAGAGAGAGACGGAGAGAAAGAACATGTTTGTTACTGATCAGCTTTACATACAACCTCAGTTCTCCCAGGTGTTCCCGGGAGCTGAACTGCTGCCTTCCGCATTGTAATTTCTATGATTCTTTGAAAACTGGACCTGCGGTCAGTGGCTTCTGGTTAACAGGACACTGACTACACTGAGTTATTTTTTGTTTCAGTAAAAGCTGGGTGTGCAGTAGCAGATCAGCAAGTCCAACCCAGCAAGACCTGTTCACAGTCACCATTCCTGGGAATATTGCTGGGGGATGAGTCCATCTCAGCAACTTGGGTGTGATACTTCTTTTCATCTAAAATACACAACATCCGCCTGGCAGCCTCATCCTCCTGCCTCGTCACCCACCATCACCCCCTCTCCGTCCACTTCACCCTCCCCATCATCAGCTCCTATCATGACTCCCATCCTACATTCCTTCCTCCCCATCTCTCCCTCCTCCCTCTCACCCACCATCCCCTCAATGAAACCCACCTCCTGCTGCCTCGACCCCCTCCCCACCAACTTGCTGGTCACCCAGCTCCCCTCCTCTGCCCACTATTGACTGACGTCATCAACCAGTCCCTCTCCTCTGGATCAGTCCCTTCCCCTGAAAGTCACAAACGACATTCTCTCTATCTGTGACCAGGCTCCCTCTGCCTCCTTGTCCTCCTGGACCTCTCCACCGTGTTCGACAAAGTCGATTACACCATCCTCCTCCACCGCCTTTCCTCTGTTATCCACCTCAGTGGGACCGCACTCGCCCGGTTCGAGTCCTACCTCACAAACCGCCAGCAGTACATCTGCAAACGGCTTCTCCTCCCACTCTCACCCGGTTACCTGTGGGGTACCCCAAGGATCCATCCTTGGCCCCTCCTCTTTCTGATCTACATGCTCCCTCTTGGGGATGTCATCCACAGACATGGGGTACACTTCCACATGTATACCGACGACACCCAACTCTATTTTTCCACCTCACATTGTGACCCCCAGTCCCGTGATGTTCTGTCAGACCTCAGGAGCTGGATGAGCGCAAATTTCCTTCAGCTGAACGTTGACAAGACGGAAGCCATACTCTTTGGCTCCCATCAACATCAAAAATCTCACGGCTCTCACCTCCTCCACCTACCCGACCTCCCCCTAAAACTCTACGAACCGGTACACAACCTAAACGTCAGGTTCGACCCCCAATTATCCTTCCTCCCCCACATTCGGTCCCTCACTAGCACCGCCTTCTTCCACCTCCGACGCATCACCCATCTCCGCCAATACCTCTCTCCGAAAGCCACTGAAACCCTGGTCCAGGCCTTTGTCACCTCCCGGCTGGACTACTCTAACGCCCTCCTCGCCGGCCTCCCCTCCACTGCCATCCATAAAATTCAGATCATTCAAAACTCTGCTGCCCGTATTCTCACCCGCACCAAACCCCGCTCCCCGATCCCCCCAGTCCTGGCCAGACTACACTGGCTGCCTGTCCCATAGAGGATCGACTTCAATATCCTCACCCTTGTATTCAAGTCCCTGCACTCCTCTGCACCCCCCGACCTCTCTGACCTCCTCTCTCCTCAGCACAGTACCCATTGCCTTCGTTCCTCCAGGTCTGCCCTCCTCCTTGTCCCCCGAGTCCTCCGCTCCACCCTCGGCGGCCGTGCCTTCAGCTTCTAGGTCCCGAGGCTATGGAACTCCCTTCCTCACTCCCTTTGCCTTGCGCTCTCTCTTCCTATTTTCAGGTCTCTGCTGAAGACCTTTCTTTTCAACCGCGCCTTTGGTTACCTTCTTCCCCCTCCCCACCGGCTCGGCCCAGGGATCCGTTACTGTGAAGCGCTTTGAGACGCCGTCCGGCGTGGAGGGCACTATATAAATCCAAGTTGTTGTTGTTGTTGATAAACAGATGCTAATAATGATAATAATAATAATCCTTACATTTGATACAGCGCCTCATCACGTCTTCAAGATGTCTCAAAGCGCTTCACAGGATACACTGTAAAGTGAATTAATTGACTGTATGTTTTGTGGGCAAAACAGATGGCCGAACTGAGCCCATTATTTGGGTTGTGCCCACGACTTGTAGATTGCAGAAATGCAAGTCTACTACCAGTAGGAATTGGACAGAAAATGGAGGGAGATCGAGGGAGGGAAAACTCATTCAAACATAAGAAGGTCCTTTTTTTTGAAAATAAAATTTGAGGTTGTGGACACAACCAACCTGCAGCCGGCGACAAATCCCTCCAAAACACTTTTAAGTAACTCCTGCGCCTCCGACTTGGGTCTCTTCAGTAAGTGTTCCACCTCATCCAGACCATCCTCCTGCAGACAGGGAACAAAACCAGGTTTCACTAAACCCGTCATTCAGCACGGATTTTAATGACCCATTTTAACTTTTGATGATTCGCACACCACATATTGCATTCTCTCTCTCTCTCCATCCCTCACTCCACACTGCATTTCACAACCACCACATTGATTTACAGCCATTGCCTCAAACATTTTCACACAGATTGGATCAAGACTCAGAGACAGATATTGTATACACTAACCAGTCTCTCTGCTATTTTTGCCAGGATATTGGAGTTGTACAGACGCCAGGTATAGTCCTCCCAGGAGCTCCACACATACACACATGGCTTCTCGTACAGAAAGGGAATACAGCTGTAACACCTGCGAGAAAAGCACAGCTCGTCAAGGAACTGACCGGGAACATAAAAATAAGCTGTACTTTCAACAGACAGGCTAGAACATCAAACCATTTTAAGACGCTTCAACATTAATTACTTTCAAATGTAGCTGATGTGAGTTCTGCTTATGACAGGAACCTAATAAAATTCTGTGTGTGTCTGTCTGCGTGTGAACGTATGTGTGTCTGTGCGTGTGTGTGAGAAAGAGACTGATCTCTTGTATTCAGTATTAAGTCATTTCATCCACAAAATACACAGTATATCCTGTGAAGCGCTTTGAGACGTCTCAGTGGCATGATAAGGTGCTATATCAAATTCAAGGATTATTATTAAAAATGACTGTAGGCAAACATGCACCCTTTGAACTTCTACGTGCTCTGAAACACTACCCTACATGAGGGGCGCTCTATAAATGCAAGATGTTGTTTCTTATTACCTCTCGAACTCAGTGCTTTCGGCTTTCTTGGGTGGAGTCACTGACTTGTACTTCAGAGGGGCGCTCACTTCCACGTTCTCCAGCTCATCCTCGGACTCCTGTGCCTCCAGCAAAGATTTTTTCTCCTCACTGTCCTCTGCCTTACCTTTCTTCTTTTTGCTCACAACCTCTACCAATTTGCCATAGTTACCTTCAAAAAAGAAAACGATTGTTCAGCTGTGAGGTGCTTCGAGATGTTTCTTAAATAAGAACAGAATTTGTTTAACCCCTAACTTCAACCTTGATTCCCATCAAGATCATGAGATTGGTGAGAGGCAAGATCACTTAGGTAGAGAGAATAAATAAACTGACACTGTTAAACTGAGGGATTCTTGTGTGCCTTTATTCCGAATTCAGTCCTGGTCGTTCACCAAGTCAAATTCTTACCTATAGACACTTCAAAGGTTAGAAGACGGGAACCCACACTGGGGTCAATCATGGTGGCTTCAAAAAATGATCCAAATAAAAGGAATTCTTCCTTTTGACCTGCCATCCCCTGCAGAAAAGGACACAGGATTAGTTCTCTGCTTTGAAGTATATGGAGGCATTGAGGGGTACATTTAGGGCTCTTTAGCCTTAAAAGAGACATCTCAGATGGAGCCTTTTGGACATATAAAAGGTGCCAAATGGTATTGAGAAACTAAACGTAGACCAAAGGTTTTAGTTACACCAACACAAATGTGCATTTATATAGCGCCCCTCACACAAGGAAGCATCCCAGAGCACAAGAAGTGGAGGACAACACTGAGCCTGGGGAGGGGAGGTGACTGTAGCAAGATCAAAGAGGAAGGTCTGAAGGAAAGGTAAGGACAGAGGGAGAGTGTTCAAGTGTTTTGAGGCGTATGGGCTGAAAGTGCCACCAATAGTGAAGCAGAGGGCACAAGGGACATGAAGGAGGCCGGAGCCAGTCGAGCGGAGGTAGCAAGACAAGAGAGCAAAGGGTCAGGATCATGATAATAAAATAATAATAATAATCCTTGCATTTGATATAGCATTTTTCACGTCTTCTAGACGTCTCAAAGAGCTTCACAGGATATACTGTAAAGTGAATTGACTGTATATTTGGGGCAAAATGCAGCAGCCAAATTGCACACAGCAGCATCCCACAAACAGTCATAGATTGAAGTGACCAATTTATTGNTTTTTTTTCTTGAGGGATTATTATTAGGCGTGAGAAACTAAATATAGCCAAAGGTTTTAGTTACACCAACACAAACGTGCATTTATATAGCGCCCCTCACACAGGGTAGCATCATCAGGAAGTTCATGACAGACACTAGGAATGGAAGGCAGACAAACAACCCAAACCTCTTCCTTTCCCACCAAACTGACCTCGGGGAGTGGGTGGATTTCCTCCACCTCCACCTCCACCACATTGGGCTGCTCTTGAGGGTTGCTCCCGTCCTCCTCCTCGTTCAGCGCATTCCTCTCCTCTTTTGCCTTGGACTTGGATTTCTTGCTCTTCTTTTTCTTGTTAAGGCGGCTGAAGGGGTTCTTATTCTTCTTCTTCTCCTCTGTCTTGCTCTGCACGGCCGAGATAGAGCTGAACACATCCACCGAGATGGCCATCAGGATGCGGCCCCTATAAAAGATGCCATCCCCCAGTCCTTCGTTCAGGTTCATGTGAGCATCCCGCAGGACAGAGTTCTGGGGTGACCCGTAGAGAGGCACCCAAGCTGGGCCAAACGTGGGGTGGAATCCCACTGAAAAATAAAGATATGTTTAACTTTTCTGGAGATGGAGGGTGCGCTGGTAGTGTCCAATCTGCAACATTCCTTATTGGATTTGGGGATTTACGATTGACAAATAAAATGGCTTCCAATATTCGTGTGAACTGGTAGCATTAATTAACCCAGGGAATCGGACTTGCCAATGACGCAAGTTAAACCCCACTGATCTGGGTCAAAGAGTCTGACAAACTGACACCATCTCATAGTATTGTACTCATAAGCTTTCAAACCAAAGTAAGGGGTAAAGTTCATAGCTCACAGCAAGAGTCGACAAGGCGTAATAAACAAAGTATATGGGAAATGAGAAGGAATTGGGATTAGAGAAGATAGCTATGCAATTGAAAGGGAGAAGATAAAACCAACCACCTGGAGCTCACCGTTTTTGCCACAGTCTGATATCTGCTCCAGGTTGATGAAGTGAGTTGCTATAGCAACGTCGTTAATGTTGGCATCATCGATGACCTGAATTTTGATTCGCCGAGCATAGGAAGGGAACATTTCGATGAAAGAGATTTGCTCGTTCCAGATGGGCGTGGTTGTGTTATTCTCTACTGACGTCTCCCCCTGGTGAAGAAAAGCAAGCGAGCATCATAACAACAACTTGCATTTATACAGCGCCCTTCGCGCAGGGTACCCTCCTGGAGCGCTTAATAGAAATGATAGCACAGAGGGAGAATATTCAGCCTGTTGTGTCTAAGTGCTGCTGGCACCCCCAATGGAAGTATCCATTATTACCACTGCCATGAAGTACAAATTCAGGATGGCAGAAAGCATTATACTAACGTTAGTGGAATGCAATGGAGGAAAGTGCTCACTCCCAAGCCTGTCAATTAACAAATCAGTTTGGATATTAGTTTTCATCCAGTCGATAACTGGTCTTTAATTAAGGAATACAATTGTTTAGGCATACCACAACTCTCCCACATGCACTTTATAGCAATGATCTGATGAAAGTTCTGCGTTGTTCCTCACCTGCTGTCCTGCAAATGTGACCTGCACATAGGGATCAATGAAAATCTTGTTCTCTCCTATAATTTTGGAAAAACTCCCCATGATTCCAGAGTTCATGTTGGGAAGATCCTCTGCTTTGTAAATCCGAATGTAGAACTTTGCCCAGGGTCTCTCGATTTCCTTAGGCAGTCGCTTGGGAAGCAAGAGATTCCTGGAGAGCAACAGTGTGAATGCAAGTGAATGCAACATTAAAGCTCATGGGCACCTCCCAGCAAAATACTTTCTACAAAGTCAACAGAAAACTGCAACAATCAAATTTTTAATTTTTAAAAATGTGGTCACTCAATCCACAACTGTTTGTGGGATACTGCTGTGCGCAATTGATTGCTACATTTCATCCACAAAATACACAGTTAATCCACTTTACCGAATATTCTGTGAAGCGCTTTGAGACGTCTCAACAACGTGATAAGGTGCTATATCAAATGCAAGGATTATTATTATTATTATAGGACCAAAGCTCTAGTTATCCCAAATGCAATTCAAACTAAGCTATCTTGTTTTTTTGTGAGACATTCTGGCATAAAAAGGTTCTGGATCATATGCAGTGTGTATGGGTGTGGGTGAGTGTGTGGTTGAATGGATAAGTGTAGGATTGATCCCAATGGTGTTACCGTCCACCACATGGTCAAACAACATTACAACACTTACACACTGAGCTCCTGTAGAAGCCACCAATTTCAGGAGAGTAGGGGACAAAGTAATGGGGGTGGAGAGGGGAAAACATGATTTGATGCGATCAATCCAAAAATCCATTCACTTTTCCTGTGTCTTTTCCAACTTACTTTTCAATGTCTTCATTCTCATCAGAGAGGAGGCTGGACACTGCCCTCTGTGTGTCTCCTTTGCTCATCACAGCAATAGAGCACTTCACAAAGCCTTTGATCCCGGCTTTGGTGTCTTTTGGATCGGTCAGTGTGGCCCATTTCTGAAAGAACCTGTGATCTGAAAAGCAGGGAAGAACATTTTAATTTATCATTATCTGCCAGTGAGATTCTTCATTGTCAAAGAAAATAGTAAAGCGTGATGAATGGCAACAATTAACGAGAGACCTGGGTTCTGTTCCCAGCAGGGCGAAGCGTTGGGTAAGCTTCCTTACTCCTCACACCTCTGTTTACCTACCAGTAAGTAAGAACCCAGTTGTTGGTCGATTGTCGGATCGCTTTCAAGGGGTTAATAATCCCTCAAAAAAAATACTAACTTGGTCGCTCAATCCATGACTGTTTGTGGGACGCTGCTGTGCACAATTAGCTGCCACGTTTCGCCTACAAATTTACAGTCAATTCATTGTACAGTATATTCTGTGAAGCCCTTTGAAATGTCTAAAAGACGTGAAAAGCACTATATCAAATGCAAGGATTATTATTTATTATGATAATTATAGTGAACCTGAGTTTGATCAGCATCACACCAGAACATCTCAAAAACCTGATTTGTTACTTTGAACTGTAGTGACTGTTTTACAGGCTAGTGCAGCAGCTGATCTGCACTAGCAATGCCCATCTGTGTAAAGAAATACTTCCTAGCCAATACCTATCTACAATTGTTCTTCACTCCCCTCTTGTTCCGCTGTCTCTGTCAATCCCCTTTGTGCACCTCTGGAAGGTCCCCTCTGAGACCTCTTTTTGTTGCTCTCCTCTGCAATATCTCTGGGGCCTAGACAGCCCTTATATTGCAGCAACCAGAGCTGGTCTGTACAGATGAAACAATCTGGGCTCATCTAATCTGCCGATACAGCATACAACCTACCTGGTTTATGGCCACTCACACTGTGTGGACATCGTGCTTGGTTTAAAAAGTAAAACTAAATAAGGAGCATGGTTACCAGGCTGATCATGAACTGTCCCAGCATCGATCTTGAATGTTCCTATCTGGGTTCCAGTGAATGGGATTCTTTTCGTGTGAACCACCTGAGGAGAAGTTAGAATGAGGAATTGTCAACCTTGTTCCCTTCCTTGGGTTAAATGTTCGATGTTGAACAACAGATGTAGAGTATAGGAATCAAAGTTTATTGCAAAGTATAGCTGACCAGTGTACACAATTGTAAGGGTAGCATCAGGATTCTCTAACTGTTCTGCCCCCACAATTACTGGGAACTTCCTTCCTATATACTATACTAATTTATTACAAAAACCTGAGAACCTAATGATCTCATCCCTTCAAGTTACTGAAGTTACTGTTATCAATGTCTAGTTTTCTGCCAAGGATATCTTTTTGTCTTCTTTGAGCTTTGTTGTCAAGGATGTTAGTTTCTCTAAATTTGATGTTAGCTTCTCTACCTTCACACTTTATGTAGCACACATTCCTGTGGTAACAGATTCCTGCTGGCCAGTAGAATGGTTCAGTAATACTAACATTATTAAATTTTTCTGTGTGGTCCTCTGGCTTTCTCTGTGTCCTACTGTGATTAACTGTTGCAGTGTCGACAGGGATTATCCCAACTCTCGTAGTTTCTTCTGAATAACTGAGAACGCTTTCAGTAACTTGAAGGGTAATTCTATTGTGCTGTAAATTTACATTACATGAGCGTCTCAATTATCAGTTTCATACTTACTGTAATTTCAATAATTTTATCAAATAAAATTGCTGCTGGCTCTTGGAACTCAAAGACAAAGTACTGTGAAGGAAAGAGAAACACAGATCATTATAATGCAGCCTGATAGATTAGGCTCCATGTTTGTGAAGGATACATCATTAGCCATTAGCTTTTCCATATGCGCTGCAAGACACTAACCCAAGTGAAAGACACTATATAAATGCAAGTTGTTCAACCCTACTTGCGATTTTATGACAGATCTGGTCATACGTTGCCAGTGTTTGGGATCAGGATTATTTCAGCAAATTTCAGTCACAGTTAATGCAGTGATGTGCGGTTTGTTGCTGGATACACTGTGGTTGCTGGAAGAGTCTGAGATTTGTACTGAGCGCTTTGACCTCACATGTTTGTCCAAAATGAGATGCAACTTGAGGAGTATGTTTGGGCTGGGCTAGGGGCAATGTGGAACTGCACACAGCCCAAGGTGCAGGAATCAAGACACTCACCTCGTTGTAAAACGGACAATTGGTGGACTTTTGTGTCAACGTGTGTTTCTTTTCTTCTCCCACCTTCACATAGACAACAGGGTCAATGTTCACACCGATTAATTTTCGTGCCTGATAAATGTTGACCTGAATCTGTGAGAACATGAAAACCATTAGGATTTCAGCTTGAGATACCCAATTCCCTGTGTTGAAGCCAATCTTTGTGGAGTCCTGTAGCTCAGTGGTTAGAGCACTCGCTTTGCAAGCGAGAGACCTGAGTCCAATCCCAGGCAGAGGGCGAAACCTTGGGCAAGTTTCCTTACTCCACACAGAGCCTAATAATAATCCCTCCAAAACCAAAAACAATAATAAATTGGTCATTTTCAATCTACGACTGTTTGTGGGACATTGCTGTGCAATTGGCTGCCGCGTTCGCCCACAAATATACAGTCAATTCACTTTACAGTGTGTTCTGTGAAGCGCTTTGGGACGTCCTCCCGACGTGAAAAGCGCTATATCAAATGCAAGGATTATTATTATTATTATAATCTTGCACAGCTCTCAAAATGACCTGACTGAATTTAAGGATTTTCCAAAATTTACATACCCTTAATTTTTAAGGCAATGGTGTTTTTAAGACAGACTAATGAATTTCAGGCCTCTGGTCACGGTTAAGGGATTTACGAGGATTGAGGATTTTGAGATTGAGACTTCTGGCTCACCAGTTATTTCAGTTTAGGGCGCCCTTGTCATTTACAGCAGTGTAAAAACACATAACACAACAAACCAGTGGTTCACTTGTGTTACAAGTGTAGCAACCTACCTGGAAGTTCTGGATTCTGGGTGCCTCCAACTCAGCTTTGGGGAAGAACCTGCAACGACTGTGAACAAAGAACAGGTTATTATAATATTAATCCTTGCATTTGATATAGTGTCTTATCCCATCTTCAAGACGTCTAAAAGCACTTCACAGAATATACGTAAAGTAAAAAGCAGCAGCCAATTGCGCACAGCAGTATCTCACAAACAGTCATGAATTGAGTGACCAAATTATTATTATTGTTTTTTTTTTAAGGCATCAGTATTCCCGGAAAACCGATCCGCCAACCAATTAGCAACCGGTTTCTTACTTACTGCTAGGTAAACATAGGTGTGTAGAGTAAGGAAACTTGCCCAACATTTCGCCCTGCCTGGGAATCAAACCCAGATCCTCTCACTTGCAAGGCGAGTGCTCTAACTACTGAGCTGCAGGACTCCACAAAGTTGAGTTGTTACATAAAGCTTATTTGAGCAGACCAGCTATCTGTCACTTAAATGATGGACTGTTGCTGACCTTTGCTGAGGTACAAATGTGACATTGCTAATATCCACTTCACTGATGTCCACATCCTCGTCACTATCATCCTCAATATCATCCTCCTTCACCAGCTTCCGCCCTAGAGCCCGAGTCTTCTTATCCAATTGCTGAGAATCAGAACTGCTGGAGAGAGAGGGAATGACAGAACGTGGGTGAGAAAGAGATAGAGTGAGAAAGACAGATACAACTCTGGCCAACGGGTTGATGTATCATCAATGTATCTTAATTTAAATATGGTTCTTATTTAAAAAAAGCCAACAAGACTTACTCAGAGGATATGAAACCGTGGTTCTGGATAATCAAGACGTCTCTGAATCAATGAAAAAAATGAAAACACTTCATCAGAAGTTTTAGGAAAAAAGAATTTTGTAGATCAAGGTGCTGCAGAGAATGCTCTTACAAACTGATTGATTTTTTTAAGCATATGAAAGCGACTGACAGAGTTGATAAAAACTTGTACAATATAGTGACAAGTTGAAGTCCCAGAGGGCAGAAGAACAGAATCAAAAAAATTAGGCAGAACCTTATTTTAACACAACAGGCAATAAACACAATAATATTTTATGTGGGAAGGTCAGGAAAGGAAGAAGACAGTGTCAGGGTCCCCCTGGAATTGAAATGGCTCCAAAGAGACCCTGGCAATAAGGCCCAGGTGTTGTATAAAAAAAAGGCCAACCTGTGTGGCTCATAAATGAGCCTTGGTAGTCCAGACCTTAAATTGACATTCCACTTCCTGCAGGTGTAGGGGAGGGTCCAATATAACGTGAAACAAACCACACTTTGCACTGACAAACAGTGTGGTTGCCATTACTATTATTCACAGGGATCTTTTTGTATAAAATGTTGACTTACCTATCACTTATATCAACTATAAAATCATCTTCCATCCATTCCCCCACAGACCCCTCTACTGGTTGGTATCGAATTTCCAATTCCACCAATATCTAGAAGTCAGAAGACAAAATGATTGGATCTCTTTCATAAATTAAGCCTCACCCTCCACTTGAAGGCGCTTAGACGCTCCTAGAGTCAATGTCACAAGAGTGACATGAATGAGATGGCAAACATATGTTGGCTCCACACCCAAACAAGAGGCTACACTCCCAGAAGAAGCTGGAAAGCCACAGTAAGAGGACCAGTTGGTGTGGACCTCTCTCACTTTAGAAGTGCATGGGATTGTACAGTGCACTGAAATAAAATCATATCCTTTTTTAAAGAGCCTTGAAATGGAGCAGAGTCACGGAACACAGCTCAGATCCTGCAGTTTTATTTATAACTAGCTCTAGCTACGCTTGCAACCAAAGGATCCAATATGGAATGTAGATTGACACATAGACAAACATTTCTTCTGTATCTATACACATCTGGGAATACTCCTGTGGGAGAACTCCTTTTGGGAGGACTCAGTGGGAGGAATCGGCGCTTTAAAAATGTAATTTTATTGTTGTTGCCACGACTTCGCTTCGTCTGTGTTCTTTATTTTGTTCACGCCGCTTGGCTACGTGCGTGCTCTGTGACACAAGATGCCACAGCACCACGGTCAGCCAGCGTGGCCACCAGGTGTAACTGCAGTGTGCATATGTAGGTGCTCTGTGACGATGCCACAGCGCCACTTTGACTCTGTGGCCACCAGGTGTAACTGCAGCAAAAACGCAAAACTGAAAATAATTCATGAGTGATAGGAGATACCCAAAAACAAATAAGCCCAAGTCACTCCAAGTGCAAGACCTTTCCGATGAAGTATAAATCATGACTCTACGTTAATCGGTTATTGAGATCCTTCTTGAAGCGCAGACAGACATTGTTTTATTAGTATAGAAGACAGACAGACAGACAGACAGACAGACAGACAGACAGACAGACAGACAGACAGACAGACGATCTCATAGCATAAAATTTACTTTTATTCACCTGTCGTCTGATCTTTTCAGGTCTGTCACTTTCTATAGCTCATCTCACTAATGTTGTTCTCTGTATAACTCCCTCTCAGTGGTCTCTGTCCTGAAATTGTCCCTCTCAAGCATCGACAATGTAAGGACACTCACCTCTGTCAAAGAGTTGTTCTTGTCCACCAGGGCTTCCCTCAGGATTAATCGGCCTGTTTTGATCACTTGTTGAAGGCTGATCACTAAAGAGCCAAGCAGCCTGAAAGGCAAATAAGAAATATACAAAAAGATGTATTTTAGCTTTGCTTCCCACCTCCTTTATAGCCCTCCTCCTGTTCCCCATTTAGCCCATTCCATCAGAACATAATTGGGTCCTGTTTCCTGTCCCTTTTCTCCGTCCCCTTAATAATCTCACTGCCCACATATCTATCTGAAAGAAGTTGACTGCTCTAGTTAGACATCTATTTATAATAATCTGTGCATTTGATATATAGCACTTTATCACGGCGTTGAGAAGTCTCAAGCACTTCACAGAATATATTGTAAAGTGGATTAAATGCAAAATGCAGCAAACAATTGTGGATCGAGTGATTTTTTTTTCTTTTGGGGGATTGTTACTGCTGGAAAGTGATCCGCCAATCGACTATCGACTGGGTTCCTACTTACTGCTCGATAAGCAGAGGTGTGTGGAATAAGGAAACTTGTCTAAGGTTTTGCCCTGCTTGGGAATCGAACCCAGGTTCTCTCGCTTGCGAGGTGAGTGCACTAATCACTATGCTATGGGACTCCACGTTTACCAACCACCAGAGCTGCCAAGTCCCCAAAGGTCCACCATACCTTTACAAACAATATGGTACACTCATTTGCTAGCCAAGGGAACTTGGTGCAGGTTGAATGTAAGTCTTTGCCCACCTGTTGCTGAATAACTTGCTGCAGTTATACACTTTGATCTCCAACGTCTCCTCCACAATATTTCGTCCATAGTGAGGCCAGCGGAAATCCTGAAAAATTATGCAATTTTGTCTTCATAAAGGATAAGTGACCTCAGGTAATGGTGTCCAGATTCCGCACAGATATTACTAATTTGTGCTTATCAGGTATGGATATTTTATAGATGTTTTTTCTCCTATTCATCAACGTGACGTGATGGGTGGAGCTGAGATGTAGGGTGCAAGCTTGCCACCCAGTGCTCCCTGAAACTACCCACAAAGGGGATCAGAGACCACCCACGTGTGGCTCTTCCCTGCAATTCATTATGAGGACAAAATGGGAATCTTTTAGTAAATTTAGGGTAGCCACTGGGAATTGGTTCTGCACTCAGAGGGTAATAATAATCCTTGTATTTGATATAGCACCTTATCACATCATTGAGATGTTTCAAAGCATTTCACAAAATATAATGTAAAGTGAATTAGGTAATCTTCAGCTAGCACAGTTGATGCCAAGACATTGAACTCTTAAGAAACAGCTAGAGACTGTAATGGGAAGTGGGTAGGGAGGGTATTCTCGAAGGGTGAGATCAAATAGGCCAAAGGGCCTTCTTCACCCTTTTTCAGCCTTCTTCATCTCTTGCGATTGTGTTTTCAGGAGATATTTTAAACGTTTTCTACCCCAAAGTCCTCTTGCGTGACTTCACTGCAGGGTTCTATGTGCTGATACAGATGAATTGCCAAGATTTCACCTCAACTCCACCTATCCCTCCCCCATAGCCCAAGCCATGCTGAGTCTAATTGTCAACTCAGCCAATGCCAGCTACATTGACCTCGCATCAAACCTGGGACTTTTATGGCTCGAGCCGAGAGCCCAGAGTGAACTGCGTCCGGAGTGAGGCGAGGCCAGAGTGTGAGGGAATTTGGTGAGAGTGGGAATTAGGTGCAGAGGGGGAAGTGGGGGCAGGCTATACATCTTTGTATCTATATAAAGATTGTGAAGATGGTGTGCAGGTAAACTTTGAGGTCTATCACATGTGGGAGTCGATGGAGGGCGCCTTAAGCCCGGGCGACTTCATCTGCCGCAAGTTTCTGGAAATCAGGGAGCTTCAGCTGAGAGTAGCTGAGCTGGAAGCCCAGGTGCAAACACTGCGCTCTATCAGGGACAGTGAGAGGTTCCTGGACAGTATGGTGGAGGAGACCCTCACTCCCCTAGGACTCAGTGATAGCAACCCATCACTGTATAGGAATCATGAGAGAGGGGTACTGGAGCCATCAGGAGGTCAGAGTTCAGGAACAGGACTACTCCCAGAGGAGCCCAACACACAGCCACATGCTAAAAGTGATTGGGTGACAGTGTGACGGGGAAAGAAGAGGGCTTGTGCAAGGCAGAGCACCCCCAACAGAGTACCGGTCTCAAATCAGTACTCAGCATTAGCAATTGAGAGCGTGGAAACCTCCCGTGAGGACAGCAGTGAACATTCTGTCCAACAGGACAGAGGCATGGATCACATGGGCAACACTGTTCTCATAGGGGATTCAACAGTGCGAGGCACTGACAGGATCTTCTGTCATAAGAATCGTGAGGCTAGGATGGTTTGCTGCTCCTTCCTGGTGCGAGGGTAGTGGACTTTACCCAGTGTGTGGACAAGATTCTTCAGGGGGAAGGAGAATGTCCAGAAGTCGTGGTCCATGTGGGGACCCACGATATTGGGAAGAAGAGGGCTGAGATACTCCAGGGCGAGTATCAAAAGTTGGGGAACAAACTCAAGGCCAGAACATCCAAGGTGGTGATCTCTGGGTTACTCCCGGTGCCTCAGGCAACGGGGCACCATAATGAAAGGATCAGGCATATGAACGACTGGCTGGAAAAATGGTCCAGAAAAGAAGGTTTCCGTTTTGTGGACAATTGGGACCACTACTGGGGGAGGTGGGATCATTACCTTGCGGATGGGCGGCACTTAAGCAAGGCAGGGGTTAGCTTCCTGGCCAAGAGATTATCGAATGCTGGGGGGCTAATTTAAACTAGTGGTGAGGGGGGATGGGTATCCCAGGATAAACAATAGATTAGGGAATAGAGGAAAAAGACAAGTGGGAAATATAGAGCAGGTACATGTGGACAATTTCCTCAAATGCATGTACCTAAATGCACGTAGCTTAGGGAATAAGGTTGATGAGCTGCAGGTTCAACTGGCCGTAGGGGGTTACGATGTGGTAGCAGTAACTGAGACATGGCTCAAGCCAGGACAGGAATGGGAGATAAATATTCCAGGGTATAATGTGTTCAGGAAGGATAGAGAAGGAAGAAAGGGTGGAGGCAGTGGCAATATTAGTTAAGGATACAATTGTAGCTGTAGAAAGGGACGAGACTCTAGAGGGCCCGACAACAGAATCGATCTGGTTAGAGGTCAGAAATAGGAAAGGAGTGGTTACACTGATAGGGGTTTACTATAGACCACCAGAGAGCGGAAAGGAGATAGAAGAGCAGATCTGCAACCAGATCACGGACAGATGTAGGGCGAACAGAGTTGTCATAATGGGGGATTTCAATTATCCCAATATAGATTGGCAAAATAGCAGCGTTAAGGGCAAGGCAGGAGAAAGATTCATCAACTGTGTACAGGAAAATTTTCTTGAGCAGTATGTCTCCAGTCCTACAAGGAAGGAAGCATTGCTGGATCTTGTCCTAGGGAATGAAGTAGGTCAGGTTGAACAAGTTTCGGTAGGGGAGCATCTAGGTAACAGTGACCATAATATTATTAGATTTAGATTACTCATGAACAAGGACAAAGTACAGTCAAGGGTGAAAATGCTTGACTGGAAAAGAGCTAATTTTGATGGGCTAAAGAGGGACCTAGAGTTGGTGGACTGGCAAGTAAGAATGGCAGGTAAAACGACTCATGAACAATGAGAAATCTTCAAAGATACGATAGCTCAGGGTCTAAATAGATATATTCCCACAAAAGGGAAATGTGCGAGAACCAAGCCAGCCTGGATGACCAGGGATATTCTGTCTAGGATGAAAAAGAAGAAGATGGCGTACGACAATTGGCGGATGCAAGACACTGAGGATAGCAAAGCGCATTATAGAGAATGCAGGAGTGATCTTAAAAGAGCGATAAGACAGGCTAAAAGATCGCATGAGAAGAGGTTAGCGGGTAACATAAAGGGGAATCCTAAAATATTTTATAAGCACATAAAGGAAAAAAGGTTAGTTAAAGGTAGGGTGGGGCCAATCAAAGACAATGACGGCAATCTTGTTGTGGAGGCAGAGGGTGGCTGATGTACTGAACGAGTACTTTGCATCTGTCTTCACAACGGAAACGGATGCCCCAAATGCCACAGTATTGGATGACAGGGCAGAGGACATAGATCAGATTACTATAGACAGAGAGGAAGTTCTGAAAAGATTGACTGGGCTCAAAATTGATAAGTCACCAGGACCAGATGGGTTTCACCCAAGGTTGCTGTGGGAGATACGGGTTCAAATAGCGGAGGCTTTGGCCATTATATTTCAATCGTCATTGGACACAGGAGTGGTGCCAAGAGACTGGAGAGTGGCTAATGTTACCCCACTCTACAAAAAGGGGCAGAAAGACAAGCCCGGAAATTACAGGCCAGTCAGCCTAACTTCGGTAATAGGAAAGCTACTGGAGACCGTAATCCGGGACAAAATAAATCTCTACTTAGAGGAACACGAGGTAATTAGAGACAGCCAACATGGATTTGTTAAAGGCAAATCTTGCCTAACAAATCTAATAGAATTTTTTGAAGAGGTGACTGCGAGGGTTGATGAGGGAAATGCGGTGGACATTATTTACATGGATTTTAAAAAGGCTTTTGACACAGTACCGCATAAGAGGTTAATAAAAAAACTGGAGGCCCACGGTATTAAGGGGACAGTAGCCGTTTGGATTAGGAACTGGCTGAGTGACAGAATGCAGAGGGTGGTTAATGGGTGTTTCTCGCAATGGAAGGAGGTGTGCAGCGGTGTCCCCCAGGGATCGGTATTGGGACCACTGCTCTTTCTAATATATATTAATGATCTGGACTTGGGCATAGGGAGCACTATTTCCAAGTTTGCAGATGATACCAAGTTAGGTCGGGTAGTAAATAGTGAAGAAGATTGTGACGGACTGCAGGCAGACATACACAGAATGGTGGAATGGGCTGACATGTGGCAGATGGATTTCAATGTAGATAAGTGTGAGGTGATACACTTAGGTAGGAAAAATGATAGGAGGCAATATAGACTTGGTAGCTCAATCTTAAGGGGGTGAACGTACAGAGAGATCTGGGCGTTCAAGTAAGCGATCATTGAAGGTGGCAGAGCAGGTAGATAGGGCAGTAAAAAGGCATTTGGTGTACTGAGCTTCATTAGTAGGGCATAGAGTATAAGAGTAGGGGTTATGCTTAATCTGTACAAAACACTGGTTAGGCCTCAGCTGGAGTACTGCGTCCAGTTCTGGGCACCTTACCTCAGGAAGGACATTAAGGCACTGGAAAGGGTGCAGAGGAGATTCACGAGAATGATACCAGGAATGGGGAACCTTAGCTATGAGGACAGGCTGGAAAAGTTAGGACTTTTCCCATTAGAGCAGAGAAGGTTACGCGGGGACCTGATAGAGGTCTTCAAGATCATGAAAGGTTTCGACAGGCGAGATAGGGAAAAGCTGTTTCCGCTGGTAGGTGTGTCTGTGACTCGTGGTCACAGTCTTAAGATATCTACCAAAAGAAGCAGAGGAGAGGTTAGAAGAAATGTTTTCACTCAGCGAGTTGTTAGAATTTGGAATGATCTGCCCGAAAGGGCAGTGAAGTCCGATTCGATAACAGCTTTTAAGAGAGAACTGGATAGGTATCTGTCTTCACAGGTTTGCAGGGTTATGAGAAGAAAGCTGGTGATTGGGTTAATAAAAGTCAGTTGCTCTGTCAAAGAGCCGCACAGACTCGATGGGCCGAATGGACTCCTTCTGTGCCGTAACATTCTATGATTCTATGATTTTATGAAATTATTATTATATTATTATACATTGAGCGGGGTCTTTACAAACAGAGCCTTTGGAATCCCAGCCTTCCACAGCACAACTCTAAGGCCTATTTATTACAAGGTATAAGGTGAATTTTACTGTGGGACCAACATTAAACTACTTTACAGCTGTTACTCTGGTTCTCTGATGTAAAAATAGATTCTGGGATCTCCACCCTCTTTGCTGAAGGAGTGGCTAAATTGTGCAAACACTAACTACATAGGTCAAAGTGAAACTCCCTGAATGAATCACTGCACTGAGTGATCTGAATAACATTCATGAAGTTAGGTGCTCATACAGGACTTGGCAAAAAATATTTTAAAAATTGAAAACTATTTTGGGGTGGGGCAGGTTGCTTGTTTTGGGATGTAAGTAACTCTTTGACACACAAGCATGAAGTTAGGATCAAATTAAGGGTCAGCTTTGAGCTGTGAGCCCACACCAACCAGGAACTATATGGCGACTGTCCCCGACTCACTTACACAGATAGGACCCTCACAACCAGCAGACAGAGGAAATTTTAATTTCACCAGTTTGAGGGTACACTACAATTCAGAGATGATGCAAACCACTGCAATGTTTATTCTCTCTATCTGCCCCCTCACCCTCCCCAAAATTATTTTTTTTAAATGGAAGGTAAATTGCAGGAAGGGTTAACCATATGCAAAGCCCATGTGCACAGAGGGAGCTGCAGATGCAGCTTAAGTAAGTAAATTAACTTAACCCAACCCATAAATTATGATCACCAATGAAGGGAGGTATTCAATATTTGTGCCTTCTCCTCCACTTACTCTTTGGCGAGCTGGGACTCAGCCCTTACCAGGCTGAAAAGCCTGGCATTACAGAGTTAAACAGGCACAATTATCAGGTGTGTCCTCATCAACGCACATACTTTCACTCGACAAGGACAGAAGGGCTCTGTGAATGCCTTTGTTTGCTCACTGCCTCTCTAACAATGGGGCTTGAGGGATGGGCCAGAGTTCTCCCTCTTAAATGTCATTCTACATCACGTGTGGCAGATTTGCTGTCGGGAGGGACGTTCCAAGGCGCTAAGAACATGCAGTGAATAAGTTCCACAAAGGCCACATTCCACACTAACAGCCCAGCTTAGTTGTGATCAGTGAGTGGGTTCTCCATGGAATACAGTGTTGGGAGTCTCACCTGATTGAAAACAGCCTCAAATTCACATTGTGCCTTCCTGATGGTGTGAGTAAAGCCTGAATAAAGAATAAAAAACATGTTTGATCTTTCGCATCAGTTATTACAGCTCCTACCCAGGCTGTTCCAAGTTATTCGCAGCCCACAATTTGCATAAATTCCACAAACCCCCTCTATCCCCCACCTATAGATAATAATAATAATCCTTGCATTTAATATAGCTATGTCGCCTTTAATTCTGAAACAACATTTGGCAGCATTGAATCATTTGTAGCACATTACAAAACAGAACAGGGCCATTCGGCCCATCAAATTAGTGATGTTTTTCTCCACAAATTGTCTAATCGTGACCACATCACTCCCACCCTCGCTCGCCTCCACTGGCTCTCCATCCCCCAGAGGATCGAGTTCAAGATCCTCATCCTCACCTACAAGGCCATTCACGGCCTCGCTCCCTCCTACCTCTCCGACCTGCTATTCCCCTACTTACCTGCCCGTACCCTCCGTTCCTCCAGCTCCGGTCTGCTCCACATCCCCCGCCCCAACCGCCCTACCATCGGTGGCCTTCAGCCTCTCAGCCCCGAGGCTCTGGAACTCTATCCCCAGTGCCTTCGCCGCTTCCTCCCTTTCCTCCTTCAAGGCCGGTCTCAAGACCTTTCTCTTTGACTGTACCTTCAGCTCCGCTCTCGCCTCTCTACCCCCTCCTCACTCCCTCCCTTCCCTCCCCTCACCCTGACCATTTCCCCCCAATGGTCGGGTCCTGACCCAACTGTACAGCACCTTGGGACGTCCTCCCGACGTGAAAGGCGCTCCATAAATGGAATCTTGTTGTTATTGTCTAATATAATCCCACTCTCCTGAGGCCTGAAATTCCACCTGGTCTCAGCTGTAAAACTGGCTCTTAAATGTCATTCTACATCATGCCTACAATTTCGCCCTGCTCAGGAATCGAACCCAGGCCCTCTCACTTGCAAGACGAGTGCGCTAACCACTACGCTGTAGGACTCCACTTGGCCAAGGTAACAGAGGGCAATCAATATTCCCATTTTCTCTTAAAATGTTAAAATCCTAAGGAATTGTGTAAAATTCTTCAATTAAGTCTTCATTTGGAAGACGGTTCCTTTTTTATAAAACAGAAAAACGGCTTCCAAACTACATCTGTGCGTAATTGGTAGCTGTGTTTCTTCCACAAAATAGTCAATTCACTTTACAGTATATCCTGGGAAGCACTTAGCATGGTTGAAGAAGAAGGTTTTCAGATGGGACTTGAAAAAGAGAGAGGGCAAGGCAGATAGAGTGAACGAGAGTGTTCCAGAGTTTCAGGAAGGAGTGGCTGAAAGCGCGACCTCCAATGGTAGGGTAGAGGGTGCGAGCGACAAGTAGGAGGCTGGTGAAACAGTTGTGGATAGAATGACCAAATTATAATTTTTATTTATTTATTTATTTTGAAGGGATAATTACCCCCAGAAAAGCAATCCACCAATCAACCAACTGTGTTCCTACTGACTGCTAGGTTAACAGAGGTGTGTGGAGTAAAAAAACTTGCCCTGCTCGGGAATCGAACCCAGGTCCTCTCACTTGCAAGGCGAGTGCTCTAACCACTATGCTATAGGAGTCCAATTGGCCGAGGTACCAGAGGACAAATCAGGGTTCCCAGTTGAAGGATAAAAAGTAGGGAAATGGAGCAGAAAAATTAAAATTTTCAAAGAATTCAAATTTAATCCTGAAAAGGACTCCCCCATCTAAAAGGAATCCTGAGCAATCCACTTAAAACAAGTAATACATTTCTAGTGTCACATGTAGTTAGGTAATTCTGTACAATGGAGTCTAGTGTTCATTTGAACAGTAATGACCCCAGCAGGTGCTTCTCAACCCATCAGCCAGTCATTGTGGGTGGGAAAGGCACCAGGCTCTCTACCAACCACCTCCCCCAACCTATGAGCTGGACAAATGAAGGATACAACTTAGAAACACTAAACAATAACAGCAGTGCATACCTCTGAATATGAGCTTAATATCTCGGTCATATTTCCCAACAAGGTTGGTAATTTTCTTCAAAGTTACGGTCAAAGACATGCTGGAAGTTGCTCACTTCTCAGACCTGTCCTTTCTTCAAAAGTTATTCCTCCAAGCCATTCCCAATTTAACTTCGGCTTTCTCCCAGATCTCTGCAGCCTGTTTTAATCCTGACAAGTTCTCTCCCTCAGGTAGAGTGAGTGTTCACTTGCTGCAGGGAACTGCCCTGATTGCAGGAGCAACTTGCTCGACCAGATTTTTTAAAATAACTTTCATCCTAACACGCCCAATTCTGCAAGTGTAGAAAAAAGGTTTACTTCCCTCCCCCCTACACACTCACCCCCATCCATCCATCTATCTGTCGTTAATAATGCTTTGAAAACAATGTCCAACTACTTCCTTACACTGAAAGCTAAACTGCATGGGTCACAAGTTTCCGAACTTAGATTTGACATTTATAAGGTATACATAAACATATACTTAACCCTCTCATCCAAGCAACTATGTATTGTTAGTTTTTCTTCCTGGTTCCTACAATATTTGGCATGTACAGTTCAGTTTCAGATAACTCATCTCAATTGCTGCATCTGAAATGCAAATTGTCTCAATCACGGAAGTTTTCACATCACCTGAACCCTTTGCAGAAATTACAAAGAACTTATTAAACATCTTCTATCTCCGCCACTTCCTCTTGTTCGTCACAGTAACTTCGAAGAGGTTGTTCATGAATAAGCTAATGTGATTTTTCAAATTAAAAGTGTTTGGGTGGCAGTGTCAATCCTGTTCCATGCAGATATGGGTTTGAACCACAACCTTACCAATGCACGATTTGGGGTAAATTAACAATCTTGTTCTGAGAAATGCAGGTTCAGTGCATGGTGCTGTTGAACAGTTGTAATAAGCATTATTATTACTTGACAAGTTCTAACCCAGTGCCATCCAAACTATTAGAGTGGGCCCATCAAGAAGGGGCCTCCCTTCCCCCCGCCCCCGAAGATTCGCAAAAGTCTGAGTAAGTCCATGCTTGATGATCTTCCACTTTTTTCTTGAAATATTTCTTGATTTCCATTTTTTTCTTGAATGAATATTTCTTGATTTATGGTATGTCAAGAAAAAAATATTTGCTGGCCAACTATAAAGTTTGTCATTACTGCTCTAGAATGTACTAAAAGAAACTTGAACAAGACCAAAGGAATTCAGTGGGCTTCTGGATCATCACAGGCAAACAGTGTGATGCAGCAGTAAACGAGGGCAACAGGGCGTTGGGCTAGATTGCAAAATCAAATGAGTTCAGATTCCTACATCACATGATAAATCTCTGGTGCTCTGGCCGGCAACAGGTAAAGTAATGCATGCAGCTCTGGTGGAATAATGCCCCCATGTGGAGAGGGAAAAGCAGCATCTTATATTTGCAAATCACCTTTCAGTTAAAAAAATCCTTGTATTTGATACAGCACCTTATCATGTGTTTTAGACATTTCAAAGTGCTTCACAGAGTATACTGTAAAGTGAACTGACTGTATATTTTGTGGGTGAAATAATCTTAAAGTCTTAACAAATGCAATAATAATAATACTTGCATTTGATATAGCATTTTTCACGTCGGGAGGACGTCCCAAAGCGCTTCACAGAACACACTGTAAAGTGAATTGACTGTATATTTGTGGGCGAACGCGGCAGCCAATTGCGCACAGCAATGTCCCACAAACAGGCGTAGATTAAAAATGACCAATTTAATTACTGTTTTGTTTTGGAGGGATTATTATTAGGCTCTGTGTGGAGTAAGGAAACTTGCCCAAGGTTTCGCCCTCTGCCTGGAATTGAACTCAGGTCTCTCGCTTGTAAAGCGAGTGCTCTAACCACTGAGCTACAGGACTCCACAGTAATCTGGGCTTTAAAAAAATACTAACTAAAGGAATACTAGGAGGCGTACAAAACAGTGAGCGATGCAGGGCAAGGTGTGACAGGTCTGATGACTGAAGACTTGGCTACTAATGGCGGAGCAAATAATAGCCAGTTAAAAGAACGGCTGGAGAATATATTGGAAAAGTGGAGTGAGATCACGGAGATCTATGATGACTTTGCAGGACCTAACAAGGTCTATGAAGTCCAGGAAGAGACTGGGTGTATTTTATTGCATGAAAAACACGTGCTAGGCATTGTGACAGCTTGTTATCTCGCCTCTAATTATATCTAGCAACAGGTTTAACATGACTTATTTTAACCTTCCCATTGGAAGAAATGCAATACAATAACATAATTTGTATTAAATACAAAATAATACAAAAAAGACAAAAGTTTAAATATCTGTACAAAATTATATAAACTGGTTTGTAATTCTGGAGAAGGATGCGCTCTCGAGTCAGGCCGAGGGAGAAGATGGTGAAATTGGTGGTGGTGGTATACCTCAGAGATGAGATTAAATGTGAATGTACACACACAGGTCCAGCCAGTAGTGTTTGTTCCCTTTAATCAAAGGTTAGAATAACTTGCAACCACTTGCTCCATGGTGGTAAAGCTGTCCAGAAAATCTTCTTCTGCGATTCCATACTTTGTATACTGGTGCACGTAGGCTCTAAAAAGCAAGAGGTTTAAAGTATTACTTTTGATTCCTGCTAAAATACCCTTTTCTCTTCAATTTATTTGGTTTGCGCAGCTCTGCCTGAAGACCTTCCTCTTTGGTCACCTCCCACAGCTCAGCATCATGCTCCATCACTGTCAAGCGCTCTGGGACACTACTCTGCGTAAGGGGCACTATATAAATGCAGGTCGTTGTTCTGCTCCTTGTCATCACCAATGCCATTGACTATCAAGAGGTGATGGGGCCTTTCATGTAAAAGAAATATTTCAAAACCCTTTATACATTGACATTAATCAAAAATGCAGTTAGTGATGTTATAGAAACAAACAGAAGCTAATTTTCATCAGAGAAATAAAGCAGCCAATTCATGAGATTTTTTTTAGGTGAATTTGGACAAGGGATAGAAGCAGAGGTTCCCTTCTTAAAAATACGTTGTTGACTTGTCTCTATAAAAGGAGTGAACTCAAATTTATGATAGTGCTGGACAGCTCTCATCGGAAATGGACACATGAAGTTCCAATGGTAAGTTAGGGCTAAATTGAAGAATCTTCCATAATTCTGCACAATCAAATTTAAACACAAGATGGTTTCACAGGCAAACCAAGTGGTACATAAGTGCAGGAGTAGGCCATTCAGCCCCTCAAGCCTGTTCCACCATTCTATAAGATCATGGCTAATTTGTACCTTAACTCCAATTACCCGCCCTTGCCTCGCATCCCTTGATACCCTGACTTAACAAGTATCTATCCACCTCAGTCTTGAAAATTTGAATGGATTCAGCATCTTTAGAGGGGGAAAAAAAGAACTTAAACAGAAAGAGAATGCAAAACAATAACTCTGAAGCTGAAGTCTTCAACCTCTTGTTTCCTTCTCTTCACTAACCTGGAAGCAAACATATTCCAGGCTTTCCTCACAACACTATCCAGCGGCTTCAGGACCGACTGACTGTTACTGACCATGGTGGCCGATCTTTCATATTTGTTGAAGGTTTGGGAAGCTTGCCACACCGAGAGGGCTGACTCTGCTGGTGTCCAGGAGGTGTACAACGCCTGATCGTTAAACCCACCTAGAAAAGCAAATGATCCTCTGTGGTAATAATGCAATGAATCATAGAATTATACAGCACAGAAGAAGGCCATTCATCTTATTGTGTCTGTGTCGGCTCTTTCGAAAGAAGAGATTATCTACTTCTCTCTTAAAAGTTGGTATCGAATCAGCTTCCACCAGCCTTTCAGGCAATGCATTCCAGATCCGAAAACATTTATCCTCACCTCCCCTCTAGTTTTTATTTTTAAACAACTATTTTAAATCGGTGTCCTCGGGTTACCGACCCACCCACCAGTGGAAATAGTTTCTCCTTGTTCACCCTACCGAATCCCTCATAATTTTGAAAACGTCTATTAAGTCTCCTCTTAACCTTCTCTGATCCTTGGACAATAATCCCAGCATCTCTAGCCTCTCATGATAACTGAAACCCTCATTCCTGGTACCATGCTGGTCAATCTCCTTTGCACTCTCTCCATTGCCTTGATATCCTTGATAAGTGTGGTGCCCAGAACTGAACACAGTCTCTTGCTGAGACCTAACCAGTGTTTTACAAAGGTTCATCATAACTTCCTGACTTTGGATTCTATGCCCCTATTTGTAAAACCTAGTATCCAGATCGCTTTATAATAAATTAGTCACTCAATCTACAACTGTTTGTGGGACTCTGCTGTGCGCAATTGGCTACTGCGTTTCGCTCACAAAATAGTCAATTCACTTTACAGTATATTCTGTGAAGCGCTTTGAGATGTCTCAAAGACATGATAAGGCACTATATCAAATGCAAGGATTATTATTATTATCATGGATCATAAGAACATAATAATAATAATAATAATCCTTGCATTTGATATAGCGCTTTTCACGTCGGGAGGACGTCCCAAAGCGCTTCACAGAATATACTGTAAAGTGAATTGACTGTATATTTGTGGGCGAACGCGGCAGCCAATGCGCACAGCAATGTCCCACAAACAGTCGTAGATTGAAAAAGACCAATTTATTATGGTTTTGGGTTTTTGGAGGAATTATTATTAGCCGTGTGGAGTAAGGAAACTTGCCCAAGTTCGCCCTGCTGAATTGAACCCAGGTGTCTTGCTTGCAAAGCAAGTGCTCTAACCACTGAGCTACAGGACTCCGAGAATTAGGAGTAGGCCATTCGGCCCCTCGAGCCCTGCTCCGCCATTCGATAAGATCATGGCTGATCTTCAGACCTAACTCTAATTACCTGCCCTATCCCCATATCCCCTAAACCCTCTGTTTTTTAAAAAATCTATCAGTCTCAGCCTTGAAGGTGTTCAAGGACTGAGCATCTACAGCCTTCTGGGGTGGTCAATTCCATAAATTCACTACCCTCTGAGTGAAGAAATGTTTCCTCAACTCTGTTATAAAAGGCTGACCTTTAATTTTAAGACTGTGACCCCTGGTTATAGATTCTCCACCCGGGGGAAACAGTCCCTCAGTGTCTACGTTATCAGCCCTTTAAGAATCTTATAAGTTTCAATAAGATCTCCCCTAATTCTTCTGTACTCTAGAGAATGCAGCCCTAGTTTATTCAGCCTATCCTCATAGGTCAGTCCCCTCATCCCAGGAACTAACCGAGTGAATCTACACTGCACCCCCTCGAGGGCAAGTATGTCCTTTCTTAAATAAGGAGAGCAAAACTGCACACAATACTCCAGGTGCGGTCTCACCAAGTCAGCAAGACTTCCCTACTCTTGAACTCTAAACCTTTTGCAATGAACGCTAACTGCCGTTCGCCTTCTTAGTTGCTGCTGCACCTGCAAACTAACTTTTTGAGACTGGTGTACAAGGACATCCAAATCCCTCTGAACACTAACACTATCTAATCTCTCCCCCTCTAGAAAATAATCTGTTTTTCTATTTTTGCTACCTAGTGAATAACTTCACACTTCCCCACATTAAATTCCATCTGCCACCTACTCACCCACTCCCCTCGCCCACCTATATACCGTTGCAATCTTTTTGCATCATCCTCAGAGCTTACTCTCCCACCGAGTTTAGTGTCATCCGCGAATTTAGATACGTTACATTCAATGTCCTCGTCGAGATCATTGATGTAAATTGTAAATAGCTGAGGCCCAAGCACTGATCCTTGTGGCACTCCACTAGTCACATCCTGACAATTTGTGAATGACCCGTTTATCCCTACTCTCTGTTTTCTACCCGTTAGCCCCTCTTCAATCCATGCTAATATGTTCCCATTAATCCCGTGGGCCTTAACCTTGTGCAATAGCCTTTTGTGTGGCACTTTGTCAAATGCCTTTTTAAAATCTAAATATACTACATCTACTGGTTCCCCCCTATCTAACCTGCAGATACATCTTCAAAAAACTCTAAAAGATTAGTTAAGCATGACTTCCCTTTTGTAAAGCCATGTTGACTCTGCCTAATCTTGTTATGGTCTTCCAGGAATCCCATAACGACATCCTTAATTAAGGACTCAAGAATTTTCCCTCCCACTGATGTCAGACTAACTGGTCTATAGTTCCCCATCTTTTCTCTCCCACCCTTCTTAAATAGTGGTGTCACGTTTGCAATCTTCCAATCAATGGGAACCGTTCCAGAATCCAGAGAATTTTGGAAGATCAAAGACAAGCCATCCACTATCTCAGTAGCCACCTCTTTTAAAACCCTAGGATGTAGGCCATCAGGTCCAGGAGATTTATCAGTTTTAAGACCTGACAATTTACCTAAAACCATTTCTTTACTAATATTAATTCCTCCAAGTTGCTCGCTAACATTGTCTTCTTGGTTCCCCTCTATTCTTGGTAGGTTTTCAGTGTCTTCTAAGGTGAAGACAGTAGCAAAGTACTTGTTTAATGACTCTGCCATGTCTTTGTCCCCTACTATAATTCCCCCGTCTCTGCCTGTAGCGGACCCAAATTTACCTTTGACTGCCTCTTCCTCTTTATAAAAACTCTTGCAGTCTGTCTTTATGTTCTTCGCTAGTTTGCCCTCATATTCCATTTTCTCCCTCTTAATCAATTTTTTGGTTCTCTTTCGTTGATCCCTAAAGTTCTCCCAATCCTCGGGTTTACTACTCATCTTAGCTGTTTTTTAGGCTTCTTCCTTTAACTTTATACTGTCCCTAACTGCTCTAGTTAGCCACGGTTGGGCCACCTTTCCCGTGGCATTCTTATTCCTCAAAGGAATATGTGCTCGCTGGGAATTTTGCACTATCTCCTTAAACGTCTGCCATTGCTGGTCTACTGTCAAATCCTTAAGTCTAATTTCCCAGTTTATTTTGGCTAAATCCTCTCTCATACCTGCAAAATTGGCTCTTCTTAAATTTAAAACCTTTGTTTAAGACTTAACTACTTCTCTCTCTAACTTAATGCTAAATTCCATCATATTATGATCACTTTGCCCTCGAGGAGCCTTAATTTCCAGTTTGCTGATCAGCCCTGCTTCATTGCACAAAACAAGGTCTAATATGGCCTGTTCCCTGGTTGGCTCCTCGGCATACTGATCTAGATAATTATCCCTAATACATTCTATAAACTCTTCCTCTATCTTACTTTTCCCAATTTGGTTGTCCCAATCTATGTGCAGATTTAAATCACCCACAATTAATGTTTTTCCTTTACTACATGCTCTGCTAATTTCCTGATTTATTCCTTGAGAGATACTGTGACTGCTGTTCGGGGGTCTATAAACTACTCCCACTAGAGTTTTCTGCCCCTTGTTGTTACGTACCTCTACCCATACTGACTCTACTTCCTGCTTTTCTGATTTAAAATCTTTCCTCTCTACTGTTTTTAATCCCATCCTTTATTAGCAGGGCCACCATCCTTCCTCGTTTACCACATTGCCTATCTTTCCTGTACACCACGTACCCCAGAATATTTAGCTCCCACCCTTGATCTCCCTGTAACCATGTCTCGGTGATGGCGACCAGATCATACCCGTTTGTTTCTATTTGTGCATTTAACTCATCTCTCTTGTTTTGAATGCTTCGCGCATTCAGATATAGCACCTTTAATTCTGACTTCGGGCTATTAGTCCTATTCACCAGTACCCTATCCCTGGGCTTCCTTTCCCCGATTGACACCCTTTGCTTCCTTTCCCCGATTGACACCCTTTTCTCATCTCCCTCATTAATCCGCTCTCCCACTTTCATCGGTCCTAATTTTAATTGTAACGGATTACATGTGAATTTATCCCCCCTCCTCCCTTAGTAGTTTAAAACCCTGTCTACCACCCTATTTATTCGTGTTGCCGGGACATTTGTCCCAGCCCTGTTTAGGTGGAGTCCATTCCTTTGGAATAGCTCGTCTCCCCCAATACTGGTGCCAGTGGCCCATAAAGTGAAACCCCTGCCCTCTGCATCACTCTTTTAGTCAGGTAGTCAGCTCTTTCATTTTTTTTTTTGCCTGTACCAATTTGCCCCCGGCTCAGGTAATAATCCCGATATTAACACCTTCGATGTTCTACCCTTTAGCTTAACTCCCAATTCCTGGAACTTGCTCCTGAACTCGTCCCTACCGGTCCTTCCTGCATCATTGGTCTCTATGTGAATCAAAACGATTGGATCCACTCCCTCCTGTTTCAAATTTTTCTTCAGCCCAGAAGTGACGTCCTTCACCCTGGCCCCAGGAAGGCAACAGAGTCTTCTTGTCGCCCTGCTACAGCTGCAGAAAAGTGTGTCAGTCTTCCTGACTGGGGTTCCTCCGCCCCTCTCTTTCAGGTCCTCTTACGCGTCTGTCTGACCGTCACCCAGTCTTGTCCGTGGCTGGCAACGGAATGATCCCTGGGACTCATGGGAGTGTCTGGCTCCAGGATGAAACTGTCTAGGAAGCTTTCCCCATCTCTAATGCTGCGCAGTATCTCCACCTGAGACTCCAGCTCAGAATAGCTTCCTCAGTTGCAGACAATTTGCTGCAGATGAAGTCACCCGGGCTCAGGGCACCCTCCATCAACTCCCACATACCACATTCCTCACACATCACCTGCCAGGTCATTCTCTCCTCTCACTCTATTTATCCCTGTATTATTGTCGTTTAGAAGATATACTTCCCCCTCTGCACCTAATTCCCTGTCATGAAACCAGGCAGAATTAGGCACATGCTTGAAGGGAAGGAATACTAATGCATATAAGGAGCAGGCAGAAGAGTCAAATTAGACAAGGTGGCTAATGGAGAAAAATATCAGCAGGACTTGTTGAGCCAAATAGCCTGATTCTGTGTTGTAATATTTTATGACCTTCAGTACTGCAAGGATTGAGCCTGCAGTTTCTGTTTATATTAATCACTTAGGACCATACTAACCAGTCTCAGCGTTCTGCACCTCCTTTCCTCGTAAGATCAGCAAGTTGGACACAGATGTATTGAAGCGCAGCTCCTTATTTGGAGATATTTTTGCAGCCACAGGAAGCCCTGCAGGGGTCGGCCTCACCTGCCAATCAATGCCTTCACCCACGTCACAAAAGAGAACATGCTTAACAGTCGTTTCTTTTAACATAGAAGGGCAAGCACAATATTTAAAAAGGAAAAATATCAAGGATGTCGGAAAAATGCAAGAGAGTGGGACAATGCAGCTAGCTTTCAGAGAGGGAGCACAGACACAATGGCCTTCCTTCTTTGTTGTAAAGTTCTATGATTCTATAACTTGCAATTTATGTCTTGATTTGCAATTGGGGAAATGAGAGAGAAACATACAACAAGAAATTGCATTTATACAGCGCCCTTCACGCAGAGTAGCGTTCCGGGGTGCTTGACAGTTGCGGAGTCTGGCTCGATCAAAAAGGTCTTTAGATGGGATTTGAAAGTGAGGATGGAGAGAGCAAGTTCCAGAGGGATTGAATTCCAGAGCTTCAGGCCATACTGACTGAAAGCACGGCCGCCGATGGAGGAGCGGAGGGGGCGAACAGGAGGCCGGAGCCAACCGAGTGGAGGCAGCAGGTGGTGGAGATAGGGGTAAGCAAATCGGATAGGTAGGGAGGTGCAAGGGCGTGAAGGGATTTGAAAACGAGTGAGAGGATCTTGAAGTTGATCTGTTCGGTAATTGGGAGCCAATGCAACCTGACAAAGACTAGGGTGATACACCCTCAAAGAGGGATAGGAAAAAGAAAGACTATCAGCCAACCTTCCTCCATTTTGGTGTTAGAGATCAGCATTTGTCGCAAATGCTTCATGAGGCCCAGCCACGTGAAGGTGCTAAACGCCAAGGATGTGTCCGACATCTGTGGAATGCTCATCGCACTCAGCAGCTTGTACTCTGGATGTGTAACTAGAGTCTCCATCAGATCACCTGTAGGTAGGTAGCCGGGAGGGAGGGAAAGAGAAAAGCTCCCAAATTCAATTGTTGGCTCTTAGGTGATGCAATTGCCACTCCTGTGGATTCAGATTTGACCTCACATTACAGAAAACACTAAGTGTTTGGAAATGACCCAATGTGATAAAGTACTAAATCAAATGCAAGTAACATTATAAGGCAATATACATTTATTAAAATATATAAAATAATCTGTTCTCCTACCCAGAGGGCTTCTGCTGTACTCTGTGAGGCACAGCCCAGTACATACGGGCTGCAGGATGCTGCCCAGCTGGTGAGCGATCACTTTATTGACGTCTGTGAAGGAGATCTGTTTGATGTTCAGCAGTTGAGAGCAGATCTTGTGAATGGTGTCATTCTCATGGATGAGCAGTCCGTCCGACGACTGATATAAGTGGGAGAGCGTCAGCACCGAGTTATAATTCTGCACAATGACCTGAAGAAGTCCCAAAGTTAAAACAATTAGAAGGTGGGAATGACAAAATACTCAGTATTCGCTCCATCAGCCAGGTCCTCTTTTTAAAAATGGTTCAATTTTCTATCACACTGATTTATGCACAAATAGCCATGAAGTGAATGATCAATTTATCTACAGGACTGTTAGTCGAATAGCATCATGAGATCCTAATATCTACCGTAGAACAGACTCGGTTTAACATTTCATCCGAAAGACAATGCAACTCTCCTCTCAATGCTGCATGTTAGCCCAGACTAGCTCAAGTGCTGAGTTGAACCCACTATCTTCTGACACAGAGGTGAGAGCAATATCAACTGAATCAAGATGAAAGAAAGTAGATTGGCGTGAACTCTAGGCACCAATTCAATCACAGGATTCTGCTCACACTTCCATTTGATTAAAATTACTAGCCTGAATATCACTGCCAGTTTTATGCTAATTTCAATAGAAATATTTCATAGTATTCTCAGTTACATCTAGATGAACAAAACTACTCTGAGTATTTATATTTTTCATACCTCTCCAGTTCTATGAGGCCAGATAACATGGTTTAAGATGAAGGAGTTTGGGTACGTGTCCCGCAAGCACCCAGTGACGTACGTTCCCAGCCCCGACCCTGTGCCACCAGCCAGGCTCATCGTTGTGATAAAGCCACTCAGCCGATCACACTTCTCCACCTCCTGCCGCACCAGGTTCATAACAGCATCTTCACACTTAGGCCCATGTATGTAGAATCTGAATATAAGTTTACAGACAGAATATTAATATACCTTTGTGTGGGATGGAATATGTGGAAAGAAGATACCTACACCTACGCAAACTGCTGCCGAAAGCCAGTGGAAGCCAGAGCCCTTCCCCATCGTACTCTGCAATCAGCGCTTCAATCACACAGGCCGTTTCTGGAGACAGTGTCCCTTCACCCAGGAGAATAGGAAGCGTTTGCTTTGGGTAAGAGGTGCATTGTACAGCAGCCATGTACAATAAAAAGGAAAGACAATAATGCAGGTGATAAATGTATTTCATACATTATTATGGTGACTTGCTTTAAAAGGACATTTTGCACTATACTTGCAATAACAGAATTAACTATTAAACTAGCCCATAATCCTAATAATTTGCATTTGCACATCACCTTATCAATATTTATTAGAATAGTAAGGGCCTCACAGCAATTTCCCCTTTTGCGAAGGATATGTAAACGTATTCATTGTCATAACTGCCACAATGAAGACTGTTGCTGTCCTACAGCATTTGCAGACTTACCCGTTTGCCCAGTTGTTTCCAGAGCCCTTTTTCTGACAGAAATAGTTCTTGTCCCCATATTTCCAACGGCCAGTTTTTGCGGCACTGGACAAGGTACGGCCAATGACCTTTGACTCCATGTCCACCAGCACAGCCCGAGCAGTCGGCACTGTTGAAAGTGACAAAATGATCAGATCTGTCTGGATGACAACGTGTGAGAACACAGGTGCCTTTTACAGTAACAATAAAGTACTGTTCTAGCACTATGTTTTCATCTCAAATGCTTCCGGCTGTGACATTAAGATGCCTGAACCAAACACAACAACGGGACTAGATTAGATGGCTTATGTTGAGGAAGACAGCATCACAGGTTTGGGGAGCCGAATGACACTTTTCTTTGGCCAGCCGGGTGTTTATGACACATGTGGAAACCGATCATTATGCTTAAGAGCATCCAAACCAAACTGCGAATTTCATGCATCCCACCTACACATGGAAATTCCAGAGATATTTGTTGGAATGGAATGCACACTCTCTCCCTCGAGGGTCGCATCTTACTTACTTAATTCCAGAAAGTATTGCTGTCCAGGCTTACGTTAAAAGCTGTGCGTTGAGACCCACTTCCCTGCCCTTTCCCCACACCCCCTTCCTTGGATGCTTTGCACTTTTTTTCTCTACCTTTCGCCCTCCTTCACCCACAAAGTATACAGTCAATTCACTTCACAGTATATTTTGTGAAGCGCTTTGAGATGTCTCCACGACGTGATAAGGCGCTATATCAAATGCAAGGATTATTAGATTTTTATATTAGGCGCAGGTTGGCAAGAGCCAACGCTTGGGGACCCCAGAGTGTGGTTGGGGTAACTGCTGGAGTCTAACCCACTAAACCCAACCGCACAGCATTCCACTGATCCCATAGCAGTGTTTGAAAGAAGTGTGTCCGGGCCAACAATCCCCCAAATAAAATTGGTCCCTGATTCCATGACTGTTTGTGGGACATTGTTGTGCACAAACTGGCTGCTGCATTTCACCCACAAAATGCACAGTCGCTCCACCTTACGGTATATCCTCTGAAGCGCTTTGAGACGTCTCGAGGAAGTGATATCAAATGCAACAATTTTTACAATTGTACAACTGCCCGGTATTGATGACCTGACACTGCCCGCACTGGACGGTGCATCAGACTCTTCGATAAAGGAATGTTTGGGCGCCTCTTACCGTTGCCTCCGCTTTCTTCGCAGCTGAAGAATCTGTCGAGCGAGGCCTCTCGGTATCGCTCGCCGTCCGCCTTGGCGCCCTGGCCCCGAGCATCGCTGTCCACCACCTCGAACAGCTCGCGGCCCACTTGGTTACCGCACTGCCCCAACTGCACCACCACAACAGACATGGCCTGTCCCCCCGCCCCCGCGGAAAACAACCGTTAACCGTGAGACCAGAGCGGTGCGCGGTTGGCGTGCGGTGAGGGGCGACCTCGGGGCCGGGATGTGGTGCCCTCCGCACCAAGCGAGGCAACTAACCCTCTCCCCGGGAGCGCGGCCTCTCCCCGGGAGCTGCTGACGCCTCACACAACCGCATCAATCACAAAATCACGTTTGTGCAGCACAATTTATATTTCTGCAGCGCCGTTCGCGTCCGGCAAACGCCTCAAAGGCGTCCCCGCGGCGAAACCCTGGCAACGGGGAGCCCCGCGCGAGACTGGACTGACTGACTGACTGACTGACAGTTGGCCGTTGGCAGCGCGCGTAAGCTCTCGCTTTCCCGCGCGCAAACACATCGCCGCACAGCCGACATTTTGTCCGAGGAAACTACAATTCCCATCAGCCTCCGCTCGCGCCACTTTCAGAGCTCTCATTGGTCAGACTGACTGAAGGGGGTGGGGGCTTTATGAGAGGGCAACGCGCACGCGCATTACGACTTTGCGAGTTGTAGCCAGTGGTGGCACATCTCTGTTATCTTCATAATAATTTCTCTCTCTAACATGCATTGCTTTCTATCCCTTCGGCAAGACCACACCTTAACTCTGTCAATGATCAATGCACCCGAAGTACAGTATAGAACAAAGTTCTCAGTGTAAGTGTCTATAATTTACAATGTACCTTGACCTGAAAAAAGTAGAGAAAATTTGTAAATTTCATAAGTTTTTTTTAAATCATTGGTGATGTTCCTGCTTTGTTTTCAGAGGCAAGTTCGTTTTTCTGCTTCCTTTGTTGTGAATTGACTGTATATTCGCCCACAAAATATATAGTCAATGCACTTTATTCTGTGGAGCACTTTGAGATGTTTTGAAGACGTGATAAGGTGCTATATCAAATGCAAGAATTATTATTATTTGTTTAAACTGCTGAAAAGCGTCACATTGATCTTGCTTAACAGGTGTGGTGGTTACAACAATGTGTTATTGTTGTGATGGGAGTTTCAGTGCCTTAGGACGTCCTCCCGACGTGAAGGACGTCATACAAATGTAATTTTGTTGTTGTTGTTGACTATTCCTGGTGCAACTGCCAGCCCTGTTTTTCACGAAAGTGGCTGCTCTTCACATGACGGCCAGGTGGAGTTTACACACTTGAGGCTGACCTTGTTCTCATGATATTCATACAGATGCACTGTCCAATACAATCACCTGATCACCTTTGGGTTAGGGAGGTGACTATAGGGAGGTGACCAGAGGCATGTTCTAAGATGTTTTGTTTCTGGTCTTTTTAAGAGAGAGACGGGAGGATTTGGCAAACATACAGGCAAGGGACTATGCGAGGGAGAAAAGAGACCTGAGGGGTCGAACTAAACATTGTTTTGAACAACAACAACAAATTAGATTTGTGTAGCGCGTTTCGAGTTGGGAGGACATGAATTGGGTTGATTTGGAGAGTGCGGCTCTGTAGGTTGAGGAAGTCAGGATTCCTCAAGGCGGCATTCACAGAAGCCAAAGGGGAGTAAACTGAGTAAACTCCAGTCTATTCTACTCCATTAATAGTCATTTATTCGGTCCTGTATATGTTTTTGAAAATAATATTTATTTGTAAAACATATTTGGCACAACAGAAATCCAAAACAAACACAACTTACAACATCAGCTGTTACAATGCGTTTCATTTCTTCCGATACGAAAACTATTCCGTTGTTTACGGTACATGTCTTCCCCGCGTACAGGTTGTGCACGTGTTTTTTGGGACGCTCCCCCCAAAACAGTCGGGAGTCGCCCCTCTGTGCAGCACATCCCGATAAGGCGCCCCTCTGTGCACGTGTTTACCGCACACACATCTTCAGGCGCTCTCTCGGCTCCGGGACTCCGGGCCTTCATCCACAGCGGAACATCTCGGGGCGGAGCCACAACTCAGTTAAAAAGCCCAGAAGGGCGGGACCATAATAAAATACGTCATGTGAATAGCAGTCCGGGGGACCCAATCACGTCCAGAGGATACGTGACTGACAGCTACAATAGGCAATCAGAGCCGAGAAGCCGTGTGATTGACAGGGAAAGTGACCAATCAGAAGGGCGGGTTTCAGTAATAAGCAAAATTGGCCCCAAATCGCTTGGATCAAGACTAAGACGCGCTGGTGATCCCGGTCACTCCCCCCGCGCCGGTCACTCCCCCCGCGCCGCTCCCCCCGCGCCGGTCCCCCCGCTGCCGCCCTGTCACCGCTCAGAGAAAGTCTCTGTGAACACAAACTTTTTGTTGTCAGTGGAATCTGGCCTTGGACCAATCGTCTGGGTGAGCAGGCGGGGTTTCTATTGATTGACGGTGCTGCTTACCAATAGGAGGTGGCGCGACGGGAGCCTGGACCAATGATATGTGAGATGCAGTTAGAGGCGGGCTCCGGGCGGAGCGAACCCAGTGGCGGTTGTCGGGAGCAATGGCGGCGGCAGCAGCAGTGTTCCCAACGGCTTCGAGCCCCAAGCTCCGTTGTACCCGACCCCAGAACATCGTCCCCAGGCTCCAGTACAGTCACTACACCGGGCAGGGCCCAACGAGAGTTTCGCAGGTAACTTGCGGCGGACGCTGGGTTGGGGAAACACGAGAAGCCAAGGCCTAGTCAAGCCTGAGCCTCGATTTATACAGAGGCCGACATGATGCTTCTGGATTGCGGTAGGGGGGAAAGTAAGAGGCAGCTGGTGAGGCCTGATCCACCCTGCGTTATAGTGGCGAGGGATTGTCAGTGGATGCCTCTGATCTTGTCCGGTCTTTATTTAATCTTCCATTTTTTTGTGAATACTGCAATACAAATCCTGTTTTTTTCCCCCAAAATCCCATATTTGTGCCCAAATCTTTAAGATCCACCATCTTTATTTGTGTGAAGAAATTGTAGTGAGCACCTGGTTTTCATTGTAAGATCAGTGCTCTGGTGTGAAGGGTGTCACTGCATCATAAAGTGTCTGTGATGAAGAGAATGATACCTCATACCATGACTCATCCAGAACCCTGTGTATGCGAGAGCCAAGAGTAGTCTTCCAGGTACCGTCAGGTGCCCAGAAGCGTAACCTTTATACAAGACAAGCCCTGCTTTATTTTATTCCCCTTTCCTCCCCTGAAGGTGCTGACTATTTAAACAATAAATAATCTTTCCATGTGCGCAATTGGCTGCCGAGTTTTGGCCACAAAAATGCAGTCAATTTACTTTACAGTATATTCTGTGAAGCGTTTTGAGACGTCCAGAAGACGTGAAAAGTGCTATATCAATTTCAAGGATTATTATTATTATTAAACATCTCTACTTGCTTCACAGGGAATTGTTATCAAGTGCAGTGACTGTTTTTGTAGGCAGCCATTTTGCCAACAGCAAGGTCCCACAAACTCATGAAGTGAATGACTCATTCCTTTGTACAGTTGTTTGCTATGGTCTGGTTCTGGTGTGTCCAGTGTCTAGATGGAGGTTGTTCACAGATTATTTGCTGGACATCACACAGCTAAGCCAAACCCTGCTTTTGCCCAGTGCCCACGGTTGATTTCTCCAATAGTGGTCACTTGGTGGTAACGATGTGTGGGGAAACTGATAGGTTTCCAAATCCCCTTCCCCCAATGTTGAAGCCAATTGTAATCCAAAAAGGATTTTGGACTGCCTCAGTCTGCCTTATCCATTTCACTCGTTTTTTTATCACTGAAGGAATTATTACCCCCAGAAAAGTGATCTGCCAATCGACTAACAACTGGGTTCCTACTTACTGCTAGGTAAACAGAGGCGTGTGGAGTAAGGAAACTTGCCCAACGTTTCGCCCTGCCGTAATCAAACTCAGTTTCTTACTTGCGAGGTGAGTGCTCTAACCACTGAGCTACAGGACTCTACGATCACTCATATGTCCTGTAATTTTGATCAGTTTTACAAGGCAGTTACAGAGGAAGAAGTCCTTCAAACCCATTTATTGTGATCTTTTCAGAAGACAAACCCAACCATCATCTCCCCACTACAACATAAAACTGTGTCTTAAATGCACCCTGGCTTCAGCCACCTTTTGATATATTTGGGTAATGGCTGATGGTTGGGAGGGAAACTTCACAATTCTCAGTAATTTCTTATAATAACTATTACTGGCAGGTGATTTAACAGATTCTTTCATACGGACTCCAACTGATGCTTAAGTATTGAACATTTCTTTTAACAGACTGGTTATCTCCAGGAAATCGTTTTGCATTCATTGTAATGCATAGCGACCATTTTAACTCATGGCCATTGTTTGCATTTGTGGTTTACATTTGAATTGTATCTTGCTTAATAATCTTTATGCTCCAGTATATAAACTGGTGAGGAGATACTGTCAGATTTCAATTTCATCAGAATTAGGATCCCATCCTGTGAAACTGATGTGTATACGGATCAAGAAAGGAACAAAATGTTTAAGAAGATATCTGAATATTGCTTTTTAGCAAAACACAGTGCAACCTTGATTATGCAATAAAAAAATTACATTTATTTAGCGCAAATGTATACAGCCTGTTGGGCGGAGGGAGCGGACAGGATGATATGGGGTTAGCAAGTCACAGATGTAGGAAGGAGCAAGGCCTTGAAGGCAAGAACGAGGACCTTGAACTGTATCCTCTGGGGGATGGGGAGCCAGTGGTCCACAGAGGCTTACTCAAATGTTTGAACCGAGAGCAATCGACAGCTATTTGCTGCTGTTCCCAGAACACCATTAATCTGTTGGCTGCTCACTTCTTGCTGGCTGTTTCCACATCTTTGGGCTGCCTCCATTATCACATCAGTGATCTGTATACACATCAGTTTTACAGGGTGGGATTCTATATCTGATCATTTCAACCTAACTATTGGAATTGTCCCATCGGCCACCAGCCTCTTTGTACATCAGCAAATGAAAAAGAGGAGGAAGGGAAGGCTACAGGGAACGCGCAGGTAATTGGATTTTGGATACCATAATTGGAGGAGCAAACACCAACATTTGTGCCTTGGGTCAAATGACCTCAGTTCAGCAACTGTTTGTTAAATGGTTAATGCGGTATTGTTCCCACTGACCATTGATGTATAATTTTAGTTTTTTTTAATATATAAAAGCAATCCTTTTGACAAGATGTGTTTTATGGTTCTCTTCCTGCTCAAAAAAAGAGCACGCTTCTTTTGGGGGTGGGTGAATCGTTGATTCACTAATTAATGAATCTCTTGCAAGATGATAAATCTCCCCATTGCACAGCAATGTCAGGAGATCAAAAACACAAGATATCAGGCATTTGCCTGAAACGTGTTATACCTGTGGAAAAAAATAGGGTTTACGTCCAGAGGAATAGAGTGTAAAGTAGGAAAGTATTGTTATATTGATTACTACATACCAGTACGGACTAGTTGGGACGATTGGCCTGTTTCTGTGCAGTATCACTCGAATAAGTAAAATATTGAATACTGGGTGAGTGTTACAATAATAGTAATCCTTGCATTTGATATAGCACCTTATATCTTCGAGACATCTCAAAGCGCTTCACAGAATATAGTGTAAAGTGAATTGATTATATATTTTGTGGGCGAGCGTTGTGTTGAGGGGAAGAACTGAACACCTGGAATGTGACGGGCAACATGCTCAGTGAGCGAGTCATCCTTCAGCTTTGTGTTGTGACGTGGCCAGCTGTGTCAAGTGGATAACTGCAGCACAGTCGCAGAACCTAGAACAAAAAGTTGTTGGGGCCCATTTTCACACTTCAAGAATGCTTACTAATTCAGTCATGTGAAAGGATTGAGTGAGTGTCTCTTGAAACCAGTTGACTTTTAGAAACTGAAATTTCAGAACAATAGGCAGCCATTCAATTCACTTTGCTGTACATTCTGTGTAGAGCTGTACAGCGCCTTGGGACGTCCTCCCGACGTGAAAGGCGCTCTATAAATGGAATCTTGTTGTTGTTGTTGTAGAGCTTTAAGACGTCCCAAAGACATGATAAGGCACTAGATCAAATGCAAGGACTTATTATTATTATTATGGTAGCGGTACCTCTACTTCCTGTTTTACTAAGTCACCATTTTGTATTAATAGCACTTTCCAGGTTTTCGCTTATCCCTTCCTTTTTTTTATTTCTCATCCAACTTCCTTTTGAGTGTTTTTCTACTAGGCAGAGAATAAACTAGCTGTCACACTGATAACAGTAGTATCTGGTCTCAGTGTTGTATAATGATCAGGAGCACTGATGCCAAATGTAGCCCCTCTGCTGCTGTCCTGGCTGAGATCAGTTTGCCCACTGATGGTTTCCATATTGTGTGTGGCCCTTTCCCAGTCATTGGCAAAGAGCTGGAAGATAGAAAAACATTTTGCGGCTTGACCTGCTAACCTCTTTGCTTGCCAAACAGGTACTGTAGTCATCGCAATACTGAACAGTCCTGTATATGCCCAGGTGCTGTCTTGTCACCCTCACTGCAGCTAGGATGAATTCCATAAACCAATATTGCAGTGACTAATATAAACGCAGCAAAAAAATATTGAAGTTGTGAGCACCAATTAAATGGAGACTTAAACATGTTAACCAAAGGCATTGCTGATGATTTTCAGGTGGGTGGATAGTAGGACTAAGTGGTGATGGTTTCAGTGGTTTTACTGGTTAGTGTAGATTGTTTTTACTGGTTATTGTATTTGCTGGCTTCAGTGTGGTCTGATGAGGGAATGTTTATTCAGTGTGGAATCTTTCAGAATCACAGGGATGAAAGGGAACATCTGCTTTCAGTTGTTGAAAAAACCTTTCCCAATGTTTTGGATGCCTCTACAAGGAATGAAAGTAGTTCTGTGAAACCTGTCAATGTAAAGGGTATCCAGTGCATTGGCTGCCAGCAACGTGCCACAAAATGCGTATCAGGTAGTTGGGCAATTGTGGCTGATGGTGGAATTCAGCACTTGGTATCTGTCTGTGCCATTGTCAGCAAGAAGCTTGGTTACAGGCCTGTCTTACCTGTAGCAATCACTTTGTGAGACCTGTGGGAGGTGTCAGTTTTAAAACCTACAGATTCTTTTTGAAATTTGCTTCTCTGAAATGTTTTACAATGTTACTTGCTGGGCTCTGCTATAAACACAAGCTCTTAATTTGTCATTGTTTATGTGAAACCCTTCCTGCTCCGCACCCAGTGAAAGGACATTATTCAGACTTGAGATGACCAGTCCTTGTTGAGTTCATTTTTTTTCTGGATTATGGTAGTGATTTCTCATCAATAATACCAGTCATCCAATTTGCCAATATTTTATTTAGTTTGAAGACCGTAATATCGCAAGCATTTTTTGAAAAATTAAAGCACATGCACAGGGACTTTTGAGAGAGTGAACGGTTTGATTCACAATGAATGTTGCGTAACATTTTAAAGGGCTTTAGCATTCCTCTTAAGTGCTTTCAGCTTTATCCCGAGCCACTGGGGCTCCAGAACTGGTGTCTGCATTGGCTCTTCTGGCTGATGGGTCAGATGAGACCAAATCAATAGGACTAACTGACTTCAAGAAGCAAAGGGGAAGATGATGACTGTGAGCTGAACTACTTTTGAAGCTAGAAGATTTCAGGCAGCTTCTTCCAGCAATCGCTTCCTGCTGTTACACAACTCAACTTTATTCAGTGAGTCCTTCCAGTGGCGGCTAGTTTAATCTTTGAAAAGCTTTTCAGAGATCCCAATCTAGGAAGATGGACCCCAAGTTCAGAGTCCAGACATCTTCTAGTCTCTATGGTTTTAGCTGCTCAATTTGCAAATCTCATTATAATCCATATTGATCAGATAATCTGATAGATATTCTCATAATAATACTAAGTCCTGCATTTGATATAGTGCTTTATCACGTTGATGAGACATCGCAAAGCCTAGAAACATCCCTGCAATTTCCTACTTAGTTCTTGTCTGCTCCATGGTTCATTTTATCCTGTGCAAGGGTTTAGTGATGGGCCTGTGCGCTGTAGATTGTAAAAGAAATGGGGAGTATTTTGTTTTATTTAAGAAGTTAATACAGCTTGATCGTGTTCGAAGGGAGTTTTTAATGTTTTTTTTAAAAAAAATTAGTTCCTCAAGTGAACCTGTAAAGTACTCACTCTTTCAGGTCAAAACTTTTAAGATCACAAAAACAATTAAAGGGGAGATTAGCAAAACAATTCTTTATTTGGAAGGTAATGACTGTCGAATTCACAAACAAAATTTAAAACAGACACTGTAAATTCATTTAAAAGGGAATTAGATAGTGCTGTACAAGCAAGGGTGGAGAGTGGGATCAAACTTTAGAAGCTCACATGGAGAAAACACCCAGCATAGACTTGGGGAACTGGACTGAATGGCTTGTTTCTGTGCTGTAATGTGTTATGTGAATCTGTATTTTACCCGGTGGCACATAAGGTGTGATGTAGTGCAGCTGTTTTTTTAAGAGCTCCGGGAAGCTACCCCGGGTGAAGGACGCTACGTAAATGCAACTTGTTGTCATTCCGTCTTGTGCTTTGCTGCCAGGGAAGAGGAGGCAGAGCGGGGGCTCTGTGTCCAGGTTGGCTAAAGTTCCAAAAACCTTTTGCACAAGGCCGCTTCTGGGCTTGCTTCACCACCAAATCATTTATACAATGCAAAGAAGGTTTGCTCCTCAAAACACTGGGTTTGATGACTCACTTACACGTCAGACTGTAAGGTCCAGCAAAACGTTCAGTGCTGAATGCCAGACCCATTTTTTAAAAAAATATTTAGACAGAAATGAAACAATGGCAATTACTTCAGACAGCAGACAGTAAACCAGAAGCCTACCCGCTGTGTGACTATGTAGATGATGGATAGAAATTATTACTGCCTGCCATCTCCTGCCTCCTCATTTTGTTGTTTCCAAGGGTTTCTAATGACAAATCCTTAAGCTATTTATTATATTTGTGTGCTGTTAATATGTTTTTTCTCTACTGTTTTGCTTTATACAAAAAAAACCATTGTCTTCCTTCAAGTGAATTTGGATCTATGTTGTCTTCATTTGTTTCAGATTCCAGATTCTTTGCTCAGAGAGCGAGACAAGACGGCTAAATGGAATGGGATTCCACGCCTGGTGCAGAAGCTATATGACACCAGCCAACCTAACAACGACAGCCTCTCGCAGTGCCAAAGTATCCTGAAAGTAAGGCAGTAATTCAGCTTGTGCTGTGTGTGTGCGCGCCACAGCGTGTGGTCATACGGAAGCGTGCAAAAGGTCAGAAGCCTGGGGAGGGGAGAGGAGTCTTGTCATGTGTTTTCTTGGTCAGCTGCAAGGAGCCTTGATGTAGCTTGGAATAAGATCAGTGGGTGTGAGTGAGTGGCTGTGGTGGTGGGCGGGAGGCGAACTTGGCAGATATCTGTGTTACTAGTTTCACAATGGTCTGTATAGTCTTTTCAGCACTCCATTATAAGTAGTTCTTTCTGCGTTGCCCTAATTGGGAACCAAGTGATTTATACGCTGGATGTTAGTGTGTTGTTTTGAAGGCTAACCCGCTAGATATTAAAATCTCCTGTGTTCTTTGAAGGTGTTGCTAAGATAGATGAGTTGATTTTCAAATTGTGGTTAAGTGGATAATTTTGTTCCCTCTGAGAGGAGCTGGCCAAATGACTGTTGGAAGTCATGCCCCAGTGTCTCGGAGCTCAAAATAGCACCAAAATTGTTCCTAATTGGAAACCGATGGCGTTTTGAATGTATGCAGAGGTCCTGTTCAAACGTTATGGTTGTTGATTTCTGGTAACGGTTTCTTTCTCATTTCACCATTAATTAGAAGTTGTAGAAGCAACTGAATATTTAGCAGTTGTAGAGAAAGTAGGCAATGGTCCTTGAAAGACGCTGACTTCACCAGACAGCAATGACTGTCTTCCCTGAAGGGGGGCGATTGGGGGGTGTGGATGGCTAAGCTGGGATTCCTTGGAGCTGAACTGGCTTTAACAAGATGAGGTTGCCAGCAGAAGTTCAACAGCAACAACAAATGACATTTACACAGCGCCTGGGGGTCAAAAGCACGGTCGAAGAGGAAGGTCATAAGGTGGGTCTTGAAGATGGCGAGGCGGAGAGACTGCGGAATGGAGTTCCAGAAGTGGGTGCAGAGTGGCGGAAGGGCCACCCGCTGATAGTGGAGTGAGCAAGGCGGGGGAGCGAATAGGATGGTAGGGGGTTAGGAAGTTGGAGAGGTAGGGGGGAGCAAGACCATAGAGGGCTTTGAAGGTGAGGACCAGGATCTTGAACTGCATCCTCTTTGTGATGGGAAGCCAGTGGAGTTGGACAAGGATGGAGTGATAGGGTCAAGGAGCCTGGTGCGGGAGAGGACACGGGCTGCAGAGTTCTGGATGATCTGCAGCCTGTGGAGGGAGGAGTTGGAGAGGCCGACATGCAATGAGTCTGCATAGTCGAGCCTCGATGTAATGAGGGCGTTTATGAGGGTTGCCTGTGGTGTGAGACAGTGTCAGAGCTCGGTGATGTTGCGGAGGTGGGGAAGGCAGAGTGGGTCATGGCGCAAATGTGGGGTAGAAAGGATAGTTGAGGATCGAACAAGACGCCAAGGTTCCAGACTAGCTTAGTTGAGTGTGCAACCATGGATGGTGATGCTGTCAAGCGCCTGAGGTGAGGAGGCGCTGAGGGGAGCCAATCAGGAAAGCCTCGGTCTTGTTGACGTTCAACTGAAGAAAGTTAACTCTCATCCAGGACTTGGATGAGGCGTCCCAAGGCGGTGGACAATCGGGGATTTTGACCCAAACTGAGGGTTGGGATCAGGAGGGTGGAGGGCAGGAAGGTTGGAGGGTGACCAAAGGCGCGTCGAAGAGGAGGGTCTTGAGAGTACTTGAAGGAGACCAGAGAGGGAGCAAGGCGAAGGGACTGTGACATACGAGTTTCAGAGGGTGGGGCAGAGAGGCTGATGGCCCAACCACCGATGGTTGGGTGGGGGATGTGGAGTAGGCGGAGTATAGCCTGCTGAGCGGAGGCAGCGGACGGGTCAATCTGGTATTCAGAATCAAGTCAATCTCCAGCTTTTGCCAGAAGCCTCCCGAGCTCTGATTGCCTCTCTTCCCCTGCAGGAGATTGCACCGCTGCTCTCTATGGAAGCCATGGCATTTGTGACTGAAGATGGAAAAGGTGCACAGGAATCCAAGTTTCCCAACACTCACATCTTTGACCTGTTTGGTGGAGTGGATGTAAGTAACATATCTTATTTATGTAAGTTGACTGTACGCTGTACAAGGTTAGAAAGTGTACTGATATAAGGTCCTGGTTGCTTTGTTTTTTGAGTAGGGGTAGAGAAGAGACCACAGTAAATGAGCTTGACTATTAGAAGCCTGTCTGGGAGTGAGTGAAACTTAGATTTGCAGTATATCGTGAGGAGGTTACCAGAGGGCAAAATAGTCCCCCAAAATACAAGGGAAAGGTTACAGAAAAAATTGGCACAGAAGATTATTAGGACATTAAATGCTCCACCACAAGCATTGGCTGAAGCAGAATCGTAATACCTTTTAAAATAGGATTACACAAATCTTTATAAAAGGTTGTGGAAAAGGACAGAGCAGCGAGTGGATGGAGTGCTCTTTCAGAGCGCTGGCACAGCCTTCCGAGCTGTCGATTATATGGTTCTGTCTTGCTTCACTACACAGCACCACCCAGAGTCTCCCTTAGGATGTTACAGCAATAAACCGAGATAACAGTAAGGCAGGAAATGCAACAGCAGAAGTGGGTAGGATGGGGGCAAGTCAGGAAGGGTTTTCCATCAGTAGTAGAAACAGATTAACCCTATAATAGTGATAAGTTTAATAGCCCCCATTTTGACCTGTCCATTTTTTTCCTTCTCCAGCTTTTAGTTGAGATCCTTATGAGGCCAACGCTTGCACCACACAAAAAGAAGCAGAAAAGTAAGTCAACCCTTCAGACTCTACTCTTCATTGTGGCTTTTGAATACATGCAAGCCTTGGCCGTTGTGCATTGTCGGTTCAGCATACATGGTCTATTTTATTGCAGCGCTATAATAATTTGTAATAATAATAATCTTTGCATTTGATATAGTGCCTTTTCATGACGTTGAAACGTCTCAAAGCGCTTCATAGTTTATACTGTAAAATGTAGTGTCTGTGTATTTTGTGGGAGAAATGCGGCAGCTAATTGTGCTCAGCAATGTCCCACAAACAGTTGTGGATTAAGTGACCATCGTGCTCCGCCATTGTCAAGCGCTCCAGGACGCTACAAGTGTGAGGGGCACTGTGTAAATGCAAGTTGTTGATCAAATTATTATAATAATAATCCTTGCATTTGATATAGCAGCTTATCACGTTGTTAAGACGTCTCAAAGCGCTTCACAGAATATTCGGTAAAGTGGATTAACTGTGTATTTCTCAAAGCTATTACATTGTAGTTGTTGTATTGAATTTAAATCCTTATCTTTAAATCCCATTATTTTTGCCTCCTGCAGTGAGTGAAGACTTGATAAAGGATTGCTTGGGAATACTGTATAACACCTGTATTTGTGTAAGTATGTGCACTGGTCCACCAGCAATGCCATTCTGGATCAGGAAGTTTCTTTTGTTGCATTGCACAAAATAATTGGAATAATTCCGCATTTCTTATTTAGAAATATCACAAATTAGATCTCATTATAAAGCAGGATTGGATTATAAACTGGGATTGGGGAGTTTAGCATGATCACTGGTAACTGTTTTGAATCGTCTTAATAATGAGTTTCTCTGAACTAGAATATTTGACGTGAGAGAGGCAGACTTTTAAATGTGATCATAAGGACTGCTTACACCAGGCCTGACTCACTGCTTTGTCCTTTTCAACATGCAGACCGACGGAGTGACAAAGCGCCTTTCAGAACAGAACGACTTTGTGCTGTTTCTCTTCACGCTCATGACCAATAAAAAAACCTTTCTGCAAACCGCCACGCTCATAGAAGATATCCTGGGAGTCAAAAAGGTCAGTCCATCTCCAGTATCGTGCTTCAACCTTTCCAGTGGCTTTCCTAATGAGTCTTCCATGGGAGTAAGGGCATTGTCCTGCTATGGGAGTGCTTTCCGGGAAGAGAAAAACCTGATACCTTGACTGACAGGAATGCTCAGCACAGCAGATGTCTAATGTTGTGGTACACATGAGGACTTCATGCTGATCTTCTTGTCATAGTTTGATCGCACTTAGCATTTCATGTTTCTGTTTTAAAAGCTGGTAGAATAACACACAAGATACGGTACCCGCATAACCATCTCTTTGTATTTTAAGGAGATGATCCAGTTGGAGGATATCCCGAACCTGGCTAACCTCGTGGCCAGCTTTGACCAGCAGCAGCTCGCCAATTTCTGCCGCATTCTCTCGGTGACCATCTCCGAGCAGGACACTGGCAATGATGACAAACACACCCTGCTCGCCAAGAACGCTCAGCAGAAAAAAATCGCAGGCCCCTCCTGTGCTGAGGTCAATCGAGGTGAGATGAAAATGTCGTAGCCAGGGCCGGGGAGTAGCGCGAAGCACTTTCTTATCGCTAGAATTTATATTTATTCAAACTTCAATTTAGAATTTCGGCAAACCAGTTTTTACTCGATTGGCAGATCGCTTTTCCAGGGGTAATAATCCCTTCAAAAATAGATAAATAATAAAAATTTGGACACTCAATCCACGACTGTTTGCGGGGCATTGCTGTCCGCAATTGGCTGCTGTGTTTCGCTCACTATACAGTCAATTCACTTTACATTATATCCTGTAAAGCGCTTTGAGACTTTTCAAAGACGTGATAAGGCACTATATCAAATGCAGGGATTATTATTATTAGGGTCTCATAGAGAGAACTCAACTACTCAGAGTTCCTGTGTAGTTGAGTTCTCTCTATGCATATCATCAAAGTAGATCCAGCACCTTGGGACGTGCTACCGATGTGAAAGGCGCGATACAAATGTAATTTTATATTGTATTGTAACTTAACTATAGAAAACAAATATCTCCGGTGCTAATGCACATACCGTACACTCTTATGCAGTATATTTGGAAAACAATGTATTGTATCATCTCTATTGCAGTGTATTTGTAAGGGCAGTAGGTTGCCTATTTGCACTATAGGCTCACCTGTCCCATTCCGCCTCAAGTGCTTGAGTAGTTCCTGTTGCATACTGTTGCATTAAAATGTTCTCAGCACCTAATAATGCTGTGTGTGGATGGATATTGAAACGTAATGTCTTTATCCCCATCCAGTCACACTGCAGAATATTCCCGGATTCATCGAGCGACTGTGTAAGCTGGCCACCAGGAAGGTGTCCGAGACGACGGGAACCTCCAACTTCCTGCAGGAGCTGGAGGAGTGGTACGCATGGCTGGACAACGCCCTCGTCCTTGACACCCTGATGCACATGGCCACCGAGGAGGCCAGTCAAAGCAGCAGCACAGGTAGCCGTCAGCAATGCTGCTCCCCACATTCAGCCTCTCACTAACTTTACACAAGCTTCAGTTTTAAGAGTTGGCATAAGCGCACACCAAAGGTCGGAGATTTGGATCAATAACCTTTCAAGTTCATGAGTTTTGTTCATGAGGTCAATTTTCTTCCTTCTCTAATGATCTGATAGAAAACGGAACGGGCTCGAGGGGCTTAATTCACGCCTACTCTTGATCCTAAGTTGCCCTGCCCCGCCCGCGAGTCAGAGCTGATTGGCTCTTAACAGCTCTGCCGATGCTACACCCTTAATGTATTGGTTCACCTCTATTAAAGCACTCTGGGACGCTTCCCTGCCTTAGGGGGCGCCAATAAATGCAAGTTGTTGTTGAGGTTAGTGGCTTTGGTTTGGCCGATTGCTCTTGTGTCCTCCATAAAATGTGTATGTCAACAGGAATGGGAAAGGAAGCTATGAAGGGATTGGGGCAGCTTTACGCTGTCCCAACCACCAGCTCGGGTGCAGATCCCTGACTGTCCAGCACCTTGGGGCATAATCCTGATGTGAAAAGCGCTATACAAATGTAATTTGTTGTATACTGTGAAGCTCAGTTTCTCGGTTGGGTGCTTTCCTTTCTGCCCCCAGAGTCTGCAGACGAGAATGTCCTGGCAGCCAGCCAGCTGAGGAGCCGGCTCCCACAGTCCATGAAAATCATGCATGAGATCATGTATAAAGTGGAGGTGCTGTACGTGCTGTGTGTGCTGCTGATGGGGCGACAGCGGAACCAGGTGGGTGCTGGGGTGGAGTGTGGCTAATGCTAAAGGGTTGAAAAAAACCTCCGTCCAGTGAGACTTGTCACCACACTAAAAGCAGTTATTATCTACGTGGTACATAACAATAATCCTTGCATTTTGATACAATACCTTATCATGTCGTTGAGACATCTCAACTCGCTTCACAGAACATATTGTAACGTGGAGTAACTGTATTTTGTAGGTGACACACAGCAGCCAATTGCGCACTGTAGTGTCCCACAAACAGTCTTGGATTGAGTGACCAAATTTATTTTTTTATCTATTTGCTCCTGTTCTCCATCCCACAGTCCTTTTGCCTCACTCTCTCTTTTGCCTCCTTCAAGGCATGTCTCGAGACCCTCCTCTTCAACCACCCCTTCAGATCCCAACTCCAGGCTCAGATCCAAATTCTTGACTGTCCAGCGCCTTGGGACGTCCTCCCGACGTGAATAGCGCCGCGTAAATGTAATTTTTTGTTGTTCTGTAAAATTGTATTTAACTCAAAGAGGAATAAAGTCACAATTGGCATACCAGCTGGACATTACCTTCTGTTCAAATGAACCAAAGTTTGCCAAGTACCTTCATAGATGTTTGTTTCCCTCCTCCGCTGTCAACCTGGCTCATCTCAGTTATGCAGTTGGTTGCTGTGTTTCGCCCACAAAACATACAGTCACTACACTTTACTGTGTATCCTGTGAAGCACTTTGAGGCACCTTGAAGACGTGATCAGGCGCTATATCAAATGCAAGGGTCATTATTATTCATATGGGAACCCAGACTTTGGCTTTACAAATGACTCTCTCACCCTTTGATTTTTTTTTCAAAACAGGTCCACAAGATGCTGGCTGAGTATCGCCTGATCCCTGGACTCAACAACCTGTTTGATAAATTGATATGGAGGAAGCATTCCACCAACCACGTGCTACATGGACAAAACCAGATCTGTGACTGCAGTCCCGTGAGTATAGAGCCCAGGGCTGGGCTGAACAGCGCATATGTACACCACACCCACACGCTGGGTCTAGCTGTGCTGTGAGAAAGCTGGGCACCTGTTCTCAGTGCCAGCTGTGGATGGGGAGGTTTGCTGTAACACTAATACACACCAGCTGAAAATGTTCAGGTTGGGGAGAATAGCACCTGCGTTTGATTCCAGCTAGCGTTTGACTGAATTTATCACTATTTAAGCACAAGCTGCGGTTGTCGAGTCACGGCCACCCACTCGATTTGGTGATCACCCGGGGCCTCAGTGTCTCGGATGTCACCATTACCGACAAGGCCGTCTCCGGTCACCACTTCACCTCCTTCACCACCTCCACCCCCCTCCCCACCTCCACCAGACCCACCACCATCTTCTACCGCCCCTGGAAGAAGTTACCCCTACAATCCCTAACTGCTACAATCCCTACAATCCTCTGAACTCCTCTCCCTCTGGCCTTCAACCCTCACTGACCCCTCTTCTGCTCTCACCCTCCTCCTCAACACCCCCTCCTCCACACTCGACACTCTTGCCCCCATCAACTCCCGTACTGTCTCCTACTTTCGCTCCTCCCCCTGGTTCACCACCCATCTCCGCTCACTGAAGAGCCAGGTGCAGGCCGCTGAACGCACCTGCCTCAAATCTGGCCTAACGGTCCACCGACAAATCTGGCTGGACCTCCTCAAAACCTACCGCTCCACTCTAGCCTCGGCCAAGTCGTCCTTCTGCTCCAGGATAATCCTGGAGGCGAAGAACAACCCCAGGCTTTTGTTTTCTACCACATCCCGACTCCTCCGTCCACCCCGCGCAGGTCATCTCCTCCAACCTTCACTGTGAGGAGATGCTGGGTTTCCTTGAATCCAAAATCAAGGGAATCCGCTCTGCGGTCACTCCCTCTCCAATTTCCACCCCCCCACCGCTTCCCTCCCACACTCCGACTCCTACCCATCCTCCCCTACACACCTTCGAACCCGTTTCCCCACCCTCTGTCACCAAACTCATCCTGTCCCTGAAACCCACCACCTGCTCCCTTGACCCCATCCCCACTCCACTCCTTATCTCTCAGCTCTACCTCCTTGCCCCACTTATCACAAACATCATTAACCTGTCCCTCTCCTCTGGCTCTGTTCCCATTCCCCTAAAAACTGCCACCATCACTCCCACTTTGAAAAAAAACCTCCGTCGCAGCTCTCAAGCTACCGGCCCACCTCCAACCTCCCCTTCCTGTCCAAGGTCCTTGAAAGAGTTGTCGCCTCCCAGCTGCGCGCTTTCCTCTCCACCCATTCATTATTCGAACCCCTTCAGTGGGGTTTCCGTGATGCCCATAGCACAGAAACCGCCCTGGTCAAGGTCACCCATGACATCTTGACCATCTGCGACCAGGGCTCCCTCTGCCTCCTCGTCCTCCTCAACCTATCGGCAGCATTCGATACGGTCGACCACACTATCCTCCTCCACCGCTTGTCCTCCCACCTCAACCTTCAAGGCCCTGTCCTTGAGTGGTTTAGGTTGTACCTCTCCCACCGTCTTCACTTTGTTTCCACGAACGGCTTTTCCTCCACCCCCCGCACTGTCTCGTGTGATGTCCCTCAGGGCTCTGTCCTCGGTCCCCTCCTCTTCACCCTCTATATGCTCCCCCTGTGGTGACATCATCCGCAAACGTAGGGTTAACTTCGACATATATGCGGATGACACCCAACTCTACCTTTCCTCCTCTACCCTCAACTCCACGACCCCCGATGTCCTGACAGCTGCCTGTCCGACATCGAGTCCTGGACGAGAGACAACTTTCTCCAGCTCAACGTGCGCAAAACTGAGGCCCTCCTGATTGGCTCACGTCAGCGCCTCCGCACCTCAGGCGCTGACAGCATCAGCATCCAAGGCCGCACTCTCCACCTCTCAAAGCCATCAGGAACCTCGGTGTTCTGTTCGACCCTGAGCTGTCCTTTCTTCCTCATATCCGCGCCACAACTGGCACCGCCTTCCATCACCTCCGGAACATCGCCAGACTACGGCACTACCTCACCCCTCACGCTGCTGAAACTCTGGTCCACGTCTTTATTACCTCAAGGCTGGACTATGGGAACTCTCTCCTCGCCGGCCTTCCCGCCACCTCCCTCCACACTGCAGGTCATTCAGAACTCTGCAGCTCGTGTACTGTCCCGCACCAGGCTTCGGGACCACATCACTCCCACCCTCGCCCTCCCCCTCGCCCTCGCTCGCCTCCACTGGCTCCCCATCCCCCAGAGGATCGAATTCAAGATCCTCATCCTCACCTACAAAGCCATTCACGGCCTTGCTCCCTCCTACCTCTCCGACCTACTATCCCCCTACTTACCTGCCCGTACCCTTCGTTCCTCTGCTCCACATCCCCCACCCCAACCGCCCTACAATCGGTGGCCGGGCCTTCAGCCCCCAGGCTCTGGAACTCCATCCCTCCAGTGCCTTCGCCGCTTCCTCCCTTTCCTCCTTCAAGGCCGGTCTCAAGACCTTTCTCTTTGACCGTGCCTTCAGCTCCCCTCTCGACTCTCTACCCCCTCCTCGCTCCCTCCCTTCCCTCCCCTCACCCTGACCATTTCCCCCCTGCTCGGGTCCTGACCCAACTGTCCAGCGCCTTGGGACGTCCTCCCGACGTGAAAGGCGCTCTATAAATGGAATCTTGTTGTTGTTGTTTTGACTGTAACCTTTGCTCTTTCCGTGGCAGGAGATTTCCCTGAAGATCCAGTTTCTGAGGTTACTGCAGGGCTTCAGCGACCACCATGAGTGAGTATTCCCAGATTCCCAGGGTTCTGTCAGCGTTCTAAAACCCAAACAATCATTCTGCACCTTATTCTAATTATATTAAAATATCAAAGCAGCTGCAGGTCAGACCTGATCCTTGAATTGCAGAGGCCATTGCAACCCAGCATAATGATCAGCAACGCTTACCTTTTACCTCAATCTGGATAGAATTGGATTATCCCCAGCGATGAAGCTAACTAGACAGTCGGGTGGAGTTAATCGACAGTAACTTTCAGAAGGGAATTAGATAGGTACTTAAAAAGGAAACATTTGCAGGGCTATGGGGTAAGAGCGGGGGAGTGGGACTAGTTGGATAGCTCTTTCAAAGAGCCAGCACAGGCACAATGGTCTGAATGGCCTCCTTCTATGCTGAAAGATTCTATGACTCTATTCTATGGACTACAATTAGTGCCTCTTGTATAAAAGGAATGCACAACTGTTTGGGTCAACAGTTACTTCACAGGCTAATGATGTTTGCTTGGGTCTGAGCTTGTATTTCCCTGGTGCCCAGTGAACATCTAGCAATAGATGACTCTTCAGAATGGTCGAGGTGCTTGAGCTGGTCATCACTATCTGCTCGCTCCACTGTTGTGATTTTGGGTTTCAGGAACAAATACCTGCTATTGAACAGCCAGGAGCTGAATGAACTCAGTGCAATATCCCTCAAAGCCAACATCCCTGAGGTGGAAGCAGTGGTCAACATTGACAGGTAACTGGGGGATTGTGTTCCTGAACTTGCAGAGTATTTAACTCTTCAGCACTGAACCTTTTGTGCAGCTTCCTTTCGGGTTCAACCCCCACCAAATTGCTCCCTGCATCCTTAAGTGTGTTCGTATCAAGAAGGAACTTCATTCAGCCTCAAACCCTGACCTGACATAACACTAGCACGAAAAGAACAAAACTGAAAGTTTCATTTAGCAATAATCGTGCCTCATGGAAGGGTAAAAAACTTGCACGAGAAACATGTGATCAGAGCACGGGTGGTGTGGAGGGATTCCTGTTAACATGGCCTGCGTTTGTTTCACTTGTTTCAGGACTCTGATCTGTGACGGGAAAAAAGGACTTCTGACACGATTACTGCAGGTCATGAAGAAAGAGCCGGCGGAGTCGTCCTTCAGGTAGGGAATGTGCTGTTGCCAGAGGGGACAGGTGGACAGAGCTGGGCTGCCTGGAGTAACCTTTGTTAGAAGCCGCATTTTATGCTGCCAAAGAGAAGTTTTGATGACTTGCAGACAACAATACTTCACTTTTTTCCCCCTTTCACTGTGTCAGGTTCTGGCAAGCAAGGGCAGTGGAAAGCTTTCTGAGAGGAGTGACTTCTTATGCTGACCAGATGTTCCTTTTGAAGCGAGGCCTCTTGGAGGTAAAGGGTTGTCTTGTCAGATGACAACGTATTGAACAAATAGTCTGTGATACATGAGTATAATTTGCAAAGCAGTGGGCTGCCAGGGTGAATGGGCTGTGGTTTGAGGCTGACCTGGGCTGGCCTCACTGGCGAGGGTTATCTAGTTGGGTAACAACCCATTCTGATGGATTCTGTCAGTGACATATTTTGAGGCAGGAAGTGCAGAGGGGCAGAATGAGAGCAGCCCCTCCCCAATCAATCAGACCAGTAACTTTTCAGAACATCAAACGGTCCGGGACCCTACCCCGCGTGAGGGGCACTATATTAATGCAAGTTGTTGTACATTAGAAGTCTGGAAATTACAGGCCAATCAGCCTAACTTCGGTAATAGGAAAGCTACTGGAGACCGTAATCCGGGACAAAATAAATCTCTACTTAGAGGAACATGAGGTAATCAGAGACAGCCAACATGGATTGTTAAAGGCAAATCTTACCTAACAAATCTAATAGAATTTTTTGAAGAGGTGACTGTGAGGGTTGATGAGGGAAATGCGGTGGACATTATTTACATGGATTTTAAAAAGGCTTTTGACACAATACCGCATAAGGCGTTAATAAAAAAACTGGAGGCCCACAGTATTAAGGGGACAGTAGCCGTTTGGATTAGGGAGTGACAGAATGCAGAGGGTGGTTAATGGGTGTTCCTCGCAATGGAAGGAGGTGTGTAGCGGTGTCCCCCAGGGATCAGTATTGGGACCACTGCTCTTTCTAATATCTATTAATGATCTGGACTTGGGCATAGAGAGCACTATTTCCAAGTTTGCAGATGATACCAAGTTAGGTCGGGTAGTAAATAGTGAAGAAGATTGTGACGGACTGCAGGCAGACATACACAGAATGGGGGAATGGGCTGACATGTGGGAGATTGGATTTCAATGTAGATAAGTGTGAGGTGATACACTTAGGTAGGAAAAATGATAGGAGGCAATATAGACTTGGGAGCTCAATCTTAAGGGAGGTGAACGTACAGAGAGATCTGGGCGTTCAAGTAAGCGAGTCATTGAAGGTGGCAGAGCAGGTAGATAGGGCAGTAAAAAGGGCATTTGGTGTACTGAGCTTCATTAGTAGGGCATAGAGTATAAGAGTAGGGAAGTTATGCTTAATCTGTACAAAACACTGGTTAGGCCTCAGCTGGAGTACTGCGTCCAGTTCTGGGCACCTTACCTCAGGAAGGATATTAAGGCACTGGAAAGGGTGCAGAGGAGATTCACGAGAATGATACCAGGAATGGGGAACCTTAGCTATGAGGACAGGCTGGAGAAGGTAGGACTTTTCCCATTAGAGCAGAGAAGGTTACGCGGGGACCTGATAGAGGTCTTCAAGATCATGAAAGGTTTCGACAGGCGAGATAAGGAAAAGCTGTTTCCGCTGGTAGGTGTGTCTGTGACTCGTGGTCACAGTCTTAAGATATCTACCAAAAGAAGCAGACGGGAGGTTAGAAGAAATGTTTTCACTCAGCGAGTTGTTAGAATTTGGAATGATCTGCCCGAAAGGGCAGTGAAGTCCGATTCGATAACAGCTTTTAAGAGAGAACTGGATAGGTATCTGGAGAAGACAGGTTTGCAGGGTTATGAGAAGAAAGCTGGTGATTGGGTTAATAAAAGTCAGTTGCTCTGTCAAAGAGCCGCACAGACTCGATGGGCCGAATGGCCTCCTTCTGTGCCGTAACATTCTATGATTCTATGAAAAGCGATTCTGCGATGGTTTTGGAAGCAGAACCCCTCTGAATGGTCAGAATAAAGAACAATAACAAAGCTCCTCTTACAGAAAGGAAAGTCCCGTGGTTTTGACAAATGTAGTTGAGCCTGAGCCGGGAAAAGAGAGGTTTAAAAGCTGTTGCCAAAGACCAGGCCGAGAGAGAGGTTTTCTCGGAGTTTAGAGGGTAGAAGCGTGGTGGCTGACCAGTTGGCCTTTGGTGGGGTAAAGGAGCAACAAGAGGAACAACTTGTATTTATATAGCGCCCGTCACGCAGGGTAGTGTCCTAGAGCGATTGAATAGGGAATGAGCAATAAAGCATAGAGTTGCGAGAGGGGCCGTTGTGGGCTAGAATGCATGTCTAATATGGAGGTGCCGTATTCTGAGCATTTCTGCACTGGTCGCCCTCACCCATGTCTGTTTCACACCAATCCCACATGTATTTCCCTCGGGCCTGGAGTGCATTAATGATGGTAAAAGATTTAAAACGTCTGTCTCAGGACAAAGTGAGAGTGAAATGTTCCTGCAAACCTTCAAACCCAGTAACCTGTTCTTTGTAACTGATGCTTCCAGCACATTCTGTTCTGCATTATTGACAGCGAGTGCAAGTCCCGAGACGTGCTGCAGAGTTACTTCGACCTTTTGGGTGAGCTGATGAAGTTCAATATCGATGCCTTCAAGAGGTTCAATAAATATGTGAACACAGAGGAGAAGGTGAGTGAGTGCACGTGATCAGGCAGCATCTTGAACTGGTTTCTAATTCCCAGGCACCAGAGCAATCATCATCATAACAATAATACTGATCCTAGTATTTGATATAGCGCCTTATCAGATCTTTGAGACGTCTAAAAACACTTCCCAGAATGTACTGTAAAGTGTAATGACTGTGTTTCACAATTTTAACAAATGAATGGTAAAACCTGTCTAAGAGGGAGGGGCCCCTTTAGTTTAACGAATTTAAAGCTGATATTAAAATACATATTATGACATTAAAATGTGAGCAATTGGCTGCCGCATTTCGCCGCCAAAATATACAGTCAATCCACTTTACAGTATATCCTGTGAAACGCTTTGAGACGTCACAACAATATGGTAAGGCACTATATAAAAGGCAAAGCTTATTATTGTTAAAAAGCTCCAGAAATTGAGCCCATGTGCAGTGATGGACACTCCTTTCGTATTCAGTTTCAGATTTTCTTGAATCAGATCAACAGCTCTTTAGTGGATTCCAACATGCTGGTGCGCTGCATGGTGCTGTCTTTGGACCGGTTTGAGAGCCAAACGGATGACGTTAAAGGTACGAATGACTGTGACTGTGAAATAGAATCGTGTATAAATGTACTCCGCTTTAGCAGGGGAGAGGGTGAAGCTTCTGACAGGCTGGACGAACACCTTTATTTCCGTGAGCCAGTCGGTCTATGGCAGCCAGGGGGAGTGGGGTTGGGTGTGATTAATCATCCTGTGTCTTTGCTAATGGCTGTGCCATGTGCTCAGTTGCAGAAGTAATCTCACAGTGCTGTCTGCTGTCCTACATGTCACGGGTTGAAAACCGCCTCTCCTTCCTCTTCCGGCTAATCAGCATCATCCAGGTGCAGACGTTGACCCAGGTAAGCCCTGCATTAAACTGAACCAAGTTCTCCACACACCATCAGGTTACCCAGAGATTGGGTGAATTTTTAAAAGATGGATTAACAGTCTGAGTTACTAGTTATTATCAATAATAATAATAATCCTTGTGTTTGCTGTAGCGTCTTCACATCAGGAGAACGTCCCAAAGTGCTTCACAGGATATATTGTAAAGTGCACGACTGTGCATTAAGCGTGGCATTTATAAAGTGCATTTCAATTTAAAACAGCTAGTTTTCCTGCTGTGGATTTCCCAGCAGGATTGCTGTCACCAGGAGGAATTAGGAGTTTTAAGATGGTCTGACGTCTCACTTGGTTAAACCTCATCCCCTTTTGCTGTAGGAAAATGTGAGCTGCCTGAACACCAGCTTGGTGATCCTGATGCTGGCCCGTCGTAAGGGCAAGCTGCCGTTCTACCTGAACGCCCTGAGAGAGAAGGAGTTTGCCGAGAAGTACCCAGGCTTCCTCCTCAACAATTTCCACAGCTTGCTGCGCTTCTGGCAGGAACATTACCTCAACAAAGATAAGGACAGTACATGCCTGGAGAATGTGAGTGCAGACTTAACAGGCGATGCAGGGGTGGGGAGACCTCAAACTAGAGACTCGAAAAGAACAGTTCCCTTCTCAGACACCACCACAATCCGGTTTCACGCAATTGGGCTTGTTTTCTGAGCGAGCGGCACTCCACTGGGTCAGACTCTGACACAGTCACTGACCAGCCGGATTTGTTGGTTATTTAAAATAAAATAATTTTGTAAGGCGTGTTTTATGGTGTTAGTGCTGAAGATATCTGCCGCTGGATCCTCGCTTTTAATTTGGAAGTCAGTTTTCCAATATAAATAACCCTCTAAAATCACGACTGAAGAACTTCTAGTTCGACGGTGCTTACAGTGACCTCCCTCCCCCGGCTTGGCATCGAGCTCCGCTCCTGTTAAGCACTCCAAGGCACTACCCTGCGTGAGTGTGCCTTCGTGTCTGTGCCAGGCGCTATATGCATGCAAGTTGTTGTTAGGGTTGTAAATCCCTTATAGGAAGGCAATGCTATATGCCAAGTCATAGAACTGAGCTGACATCATTCGGCCCATCATTCCCTCTGATATAAAAGTGTCCCTTTGCGTTCTTGGTAATGTTAAATTCATGGCTTCTAGATTCTCATTCCCTACTCACCTCAATCAAAACCTCATCATTTTGCAAGGGTTATTGTTTATCCTTCTGAACACAATATACTAACCGACCCCTGTACTTCCAGTAAATTTCTTCAGTGTTGATGTTGAATGGTGCTCTCTGCTCTCTCCCACACAGAGCTCCTGCATTAGTTTCAGTTACTGGAAAGAGACTGTCTCGCTGCTACTATGTCCTGACCGGACGTCCCCTTGTGCAATCATCGGCTACATCGACGAAGCGTATATGAACATTGATAGAGACTTCAGTGAGGACTGATGTGGAGCTTGCAGTAGGACTGGACAATGCTTTGTACAGCTGCGGACTGCAATCCAGGGCAACAGATTTTCAGGCCCTATTGTCCGATGTGGAATCCGAGCTGGGAATCGGGGAGGAGAGAGAGAGGAACAGCCAGCAAGAGAGCGATCGTCACAGAAGCTTTTATTTTAACCGTGAAAAATCCTGATGCCTTTTGGTCCTTGATCGACACCCACTGGAGGGGGAGGGGGGGGGTTTGTAAACCTGCACAGCGCTGCCTGGATGGGTGGGAGACGAGCCATCGTTTGTCACCAAGCAGAAGGCATGGGCCTGAGACAACCTGCACTGTCTGGCAATGACGTGGGCTAAGCATACAGTGGAGCACTTTTAAGATCTCTGATAATCTTGTTGTGGTTCGGGGGGGTGGGTGGGGGGGTAATTTTTTTTTAAAAACGTCCCATTCTTTTTGGCATCTTTCCCTCCACACTTCTCAGTCTCGGTTGGGAGGGAGGGCGGCAGGGGAGGGGAGCAGAGCAGGAGGGAGTAACAGTGTAATCACACAGGCAATGTATATTAAAAGAGATTAAAGGTTATTTCATTTGCAGTCGCTTTTATTCAGTAAGTAACCACATTCAGTAAAAACAGGCACGAGTTGATGGCTGTAGGTGTCAGGAGGATTGAAGGCTTTTTTTGAAGGCTGCTTTCAAGCGTTGAGCTTCCATTCAAAACAAAAGGCATGTATAGAATAATAATAATCCTTGCATTTGATACAGCGCCTTATCACGTCTTGGAGACATCTCAAAGCGCTTCACAGGATATACTGTCAAATGAATTGACTGTATATTTTGTAGGCAAAATTCCCGAGCCAATTGCGCACCAGCAATGCCCCACAAACAGTCGTGGATTGAGTGATATGTACAGTGATATATGATATGTACAGCTTATCAAATACTCCTATAATTTAATATTACTGTAGTGTGAGAAAATACTGCCAGAGTTTTGTTTTTTGCTGAATGCTGCTATAGTTTCTGAGAAACGTGTGCGTTGAGGGTTTCAGTTTGTGAAGGGGACCCCCTGAGCACATTGTTTGTTTGTTTCTTTCTCCTTCTTTCAGTTGTTTGTGTTTTGAATTGAACATCGGGATTGCATTTTTTATATATACATAAAACAATTTTTAATGTTCATTCCCACTAATATGATGCCATCATAACAAACCGTACCTCTGGTCACTTTCTCTTTTCCTTTCTCTCTCTCTCTCGCTTTCCTTGGGTTAAGCTACAACAGTGTTGTTTAAGGTTGGATCGCAGACTCTATAGGCCAGACAGCATAGACAGCCTGCCATTCAGTGACAGACAGTGAACAGTTGACCTCACCACTGAACAATCTGTTTTCTCTGCTGTTGCTCACTCCCCTGAGGTCAGGTCTGAGGTTGGTAAATGCTTTTTGACAAGTCTGTGTAACAAGTCTTGAGAAGTGCAGATAATTGCCCCACATCCACTCTTTGCCTGACTATTGTTTAAGGTGAGGTGTATTTGTGACTTCTGACCAATCTCCCCCTCCATTCCATTCTCACTTCCCGTTGCTGAAGGCACAATCAGTGCGTGAGCTCCTGCTCAGATGATGTACGGTGGCTTGTTCCCATCAAACCGTATTCACCCTCAAAGTGTTGTCTTAATAAAAGTTAAGATGGTGCAGAACTTTGGAAAATTCAATTCAGTCTTGATTTGGAAGTCATTTTTTAAATATATGTTATACAGAAACTGAGGAAAGAAAATTGGCTTCCGCAATCAAAGCGAGTATAGTGAGCATTCCAGACTGGAAGGAACCAAAGTTGCTTTACTGACTGTCTTAGGCTGACTGTTCCTCTTTTACACCCCCCCCCCCCCCCCCACACACACATCTCCCCCACCCACTCCCCTCACCAGCAATCCATCAATCATGTCCTGTCTCAGCGTTGCTCAATCATATCACCAGAACCACAATTCACTTTTTATACCAAAGTCACTTGTAGGGAGAACTGGCTTTCCCAGAGCCTTGAGCAGGTCTTGTTTGGGGAGGAGGGGGGGGGGGGGAGATGTGTGTGCCAAGTTCAGGCCATGTAACTATTTGTTCCTGTCAGCTTTAAGCTATTGCCTTGTCTTCAAACAAATAAACAAAGGTTCAGCCAACGCGTCTTTCATGAGAACTTTTAATGTAACCTAAAAACAACCGTCATCGCCCCCACCTTCAAAAAACCCACCCTCAAAAAACACCTTCCCTCGACCCCATCTCTGTTCTCAAACTCCTTTCCCATTTCCAACATTCCTTTTCTTTCCAAGATCCTGGAATGAGGAATAGCTTCCTGCTCCCTCTGTTCGGTGGGCACTGGCCTGTTCCACGTTCCCGTCCTGCCCACTCCACCATTGGCAGTCGGGCCTTCAGCCTTACTGCTCGCACCCTCTGGAACTCCATCCGGGAATTATTTTTAAAAATATTTTTAATAACCTTGTGCAAGTTTCCTTACTCTACACACCTGATGATAATTCCTCAAGAAAAAAAACAATAACAATTTGGTCGCTCAATCCACAACTGCGTTTCGCCCACAAATATACGGTCAATTCACTTTACAGTCTATTCTGTGAAGTGCTTTGAGACATCTAGAAGACGTGAAAAACACTATATCAAATGCAAGATTATTATTATCCTTTTGATGTGAAAGATGTTTTATAAATGCAATTTGTTGTTAAATGTGCAGAAAATCTGCCTAACACTGCACAGCTTGCTCATTAAAAGGAGACTGAAATTGGAACATCTTGAAGTGATTTTAATTTGTCCTTTGTATTAAGATTTGAACCCAGCCCAGAGCACTGAGGTGAAAGTATTTAGCTGTAAAAACCGAGAGCTCAAAGGAATTTGTTTATCTTGGAATGAGCTCCAAAGACACACAAGCCCCGTAACCCAGAGTTAAATGGTGCTGGATTGGCATGTTCAAGAGGTGGGTGAGACGGATTGTGCAGTCTACTCAGGGAGGGATTTTCTGAGATTGGGTGAGTTACACTAGAACATAAGAAATGTTAAACGAAAACAAATCAAGGTCCATCTAGTTCGCCTTCCACCTTCCTGGCAGTCGCTTGCACATATGTCCCGAACTCCTTATGTACTGTATCCCACAAACGTTATTTCTTGAAAGAAAATTGCGTTTGAAAGATCAACATTTTCTGTTTCAACCATCTCCCGAGGGAGCCTGTTCCACAGGTTCACTGTTCACTCACTGATGCCGGTGGGATTCTACATGCAGTGACATGGGTCACGTGCAGTGACATGGGTCACGTGCAGTGACATGGGTCACGTGCAGTGACATGGGTCACGTGCAGTGACATGGGTCACGTGCAGTGACATGGGTCACGTGCAGTGACATGGGTCACGTGCAGTGACATGGGTCACGTGCAGTGACATGGGTCACGTGCAGTGACATGGGTCACGTGCAGTGATGGAATCCTATCACTGCTGCATGTGAGGAGGGAAGTATTACTGCATCAACCGTTACTCCCTGGTCTTACCTTTATTCCCCCCCAGTGTGTGACAGCCATTCACTCCGAAAACACCATCCACAAAATGACTGAGGATTATTGCCGATTGTGCAGAATCTACTTTATTTACACAGTCACTACACTTTACATTGAATCCTATCAAGCGCTTTGAGACGTCCTGCTGATGTGAAAGGTGATGTATCACATGTAAGATTATTATTGTTGTCCGTCACTGGCTGCTTCCTGCAGCACTGAGTGTCAGGGACTCAAGGAGCCTGGGCTGAGATCAGTCACTGTCTCAGCCTCGAGAGGGGGTGATGGGAAACGTGACTGAGGATTGTCGAGCGTGCAGAATCTACTTCATTTCACACAGTCACTACACCACAGCAAACACAAAGGCGAAGAAATCCGCATCCAGGACATGATTCCATTGCTTTATCCTTCGCGCTGAAATAGGAGAGATCTGCAATTAATATTCATATATATATATATATAATTTAATAGATATACCAGCACAATGCATTTTTTACAAAACACACTTTACAGTCACTACACTTTACAGTGAATCCTGTGAAGCACTTTGAGACATCCTCCCAACGTGAAAGATGCCTTATCAAATGTAAAGATTTTTATTACTGCATTATTGTGATTATTATAACTATTATCTGCTTGGCTCAGTCTCTCGCCTCTAGGCCAGAGACTGGTGGGTGAGAGGGCAGACTTGGGGCCTTGAGCTCATGGTTCAGACCTGACGTGACATGGCTTGACAGGGTGGCGCTGGCCAGAGCTGGACTCGACAGAGAGCTGCGTTGTTGTACTGTGTACCTTCCAAAGTGCAGAGTAAGTTTGACTTCAATCTGTTCAGCATCTCGATAGTCTTAGATACAATTAATGATTCATTTCCCATTTGTTTAATGCTCACCACAGATTAGCTTTCAAGTGGAGTTGGACAGGGTGTCCACAAAGTCCTGTTACCACCCATCCCCACCCGATTTCTTTGTGACAATTAATTTTTATTTCCTGTTGCACATTAGTAGAGTGTAACAATGCCCAACACCAGTAACTTCCTCGTCACTGATTCCATCCATGTTACGGAAGATGTGGCACCGAACATGGCAATGGATCATTATCTGCCATGAAAACGATGGCGCTCACACACACACACAGCACGCGCACACACACACAACACACACGCACAGAGGTACAGAGTGCGAGACATAAGTCTGGTTCAGGTGGTCACACTCTCAGCTGTGAGTCAGAAGGTTGTAGGTTCAGCGAGGCACGTACTTGAGTTTGTAGCGCTGGAGGATGTTAAAGATGCCGCGACACTATTGAAAAAGAGAAGCCAGTTTCTCTCCTCCCCCCACAGTCTTGGCCCAACAATTCCCCAGATAAAACCGCTCATTCACTCACTTTGTGGCTGTTTGTGGTACGCTGCAAGGAACAAATTTGCCCTCCAACAAAACACTGTCACTGCACTATACAATGAATGGTGTGAAACACTTTGAGACGTCCCAACAGGATGCTGAGGGGCTGTACGCTATGGGAGGACGACTATGTCAGTGTGAAGGTGCCGGGTTCTGATACCTTGAAGTCCCTGGTTTTGGTCCTCAGTTTGTTGACCTGGGTCTCTGCCACCTCGGCTCGCTCCTCCACTTCATCCAGATGATGCTGAAGCTTCCGGAACTTGGAAGAGTTGGAGTTGACCTGTTCCTCCTGCAATCACAGCCCCATGGCAACACACACTCACTCCACAAGTAAAGACAGCCTCCACAACAATACAAGTAGTCCTCTCCTGTCCTGTGCTGTCCTCCGCACCTCGGACGTTGGCAGCATCAGCTTCCACAGCTGCACACTCAACCTCACTAAGCCAGTCAGGAACCTGGGTGTCTTGTTTGACCGTGAACTGTCCTTTCTCCCCCACATCCGCGCCATGACCGGCACTGCCTACCACCACCTCCGCAACATTGCCAGACTCCGCCACTGCCTCACCCCTCACCCACGCAATCATCACCTCAAGGCTCGATTACGGGAACTCCCTCCTCATCGGCCTTCCCAACTCTTCCCTTCACAACCTGCAGATCATCCAAAACTCTGCAGCTCGTGTACTCTCACGCACCAGAATCCGTGACCCCATCATTCCCACCCTCGCCCATCACCCCCACCCTTTCCCGACTCCACCGGCTCCCCATCCCCCAGAGGATTGAGTTCAAGATCCTTGTCCTCACCTTTAAGGCCACCCATGCCCTTGCCCCCTCCTACCTCTCGTTCCTGCTGACTTCCTACCAACCTGCTCACTTCCTCTGTTCATCAGGCTTCAGCTGCTCCATGTCCCCCGCCTGACCCGCCCTACCATTGGTGGCCGGGCTTTCAGCCTCTCTGCCCCCACACTCTGGAATTCCATCCCACGGTCCCTTGGCCTCGCTTCCTCCCTTGCCCCCTTCAAGGCCGGTCTCAAGATCCTTCTCTGCGATTGTGCCTTTAATCTCCCTCCCACCTCTCTGCCTTTCCTCACCCCTACACCACCCCTCCCCCATGCTCGGGCCCCGACACCTGACTGTACAGCGCTTTGGGACATTCTCCTGACGTGAAAGGCGCTCTATAAGTGTAATTTTGTTCTTGTTGTTGTTGTCCTTCCACGTCTTCTGCTGTCCTGTGTTGTGGTGTCCTGTCCTGTCCTGTGCAGTCCTGCACTGAGCTGTGAGATCCTCTCACTTATCTACAAATGCCTTCATGCCCTGGCACCTCCTTACTTCTCTGACCTGCTTTCTCCCCACTCCACCACTTGCTGCCTCCGCTTGGCTGGCTCCGGCGTCCTGCTCCTCTCGCATCCCCTCCACCATGGACAAACTTTGGGCCCATCTCTCTCTCTCTCCCAATCCCTCCACCTTGCCTCTTCCTTCCCCTCTTTTAGATCATGACTGAAGACCTTCCTCTTTGACCGAGCTTACGGTCACCTCCTCCCTCCCACCCGGCTCAGTGTCAGGCTCTGCCACTGTTCAGCACTCAGAGACTGCCCTGCTGAAGGGCACTATCTCATGAAAGCTGTTGTTGTGCGGTGCTGGGGCTGCACTTACCGCCTCCTCCATCTGCCGCTTGTAACTCTTCACCTTCAGCTGCAGTTTGTCGATCAGGTCCTGCATCCGGGCCAGGTTCTTCCTATCCTCCTCACCCTGAGTGAGTGAGCGAGCGAGAGAGATGTCACTGCCATGAGTGTGGTGGGGGGTGGGGGGGGGGAGAAAAAGCTAAGCACATGACCCCATATCCCCTCCCCCCACCACCCACGGACCCCCTCCTGTGGGGATGCTCTCCCCACACCCCGTACCTGGTAGCTCAGCTCTTTAATTCTCCGCTCATATTTCCGAAGCCCTTTCTGTGACTCCGCATTCTTGCGTTGTTCAGATTCCAGCTCAGACTCCAGCTCCTTCATCTGGCAACAGGGAGAGAGGGTATCACTATGTGTGTGTGTGGGTGCATGTGTTACTCTGTGTGTGTGTTGCTCTGTGTGTGTTACTCTGTGTGTGTTGTGACTCTATGTGTGTTCCTGTGTGCATATGTGATTGTCGCTGTGTGTTATTCTGTGTGACGGTTGCCATGTGTTTTACTCTGTGTGTGTGTGTGTGTGTTTGTGTGAGAGAGAGATGGTCGCTGTGTGTTACTCTGTGTGACGTTGTGTGTGTGACACTCACTCTGGCCTCCAGTTTCTGGATCTGTTTCTTGCCGCCCCTCAGTGCAATCTGCTCAGCCTCATCCAACCGCATCTGCAGATCCTTCACCGTCTGCTCCAGGTTCTTCTTCATCCGCTCCAAGTGTCCGCTTGTGTCTTGCTCCTTCTTCAGCTCCTCAGCCATCATCGCCGCCTGCAACCACACAGCGTGGCTGTCAGCACGCTCCCACACGCTTCCCATACTCTCACACACGCTCCTCACACATTCCCACATGCTTACACACGCTCCCACACACTCCCATATGGCTCTTCACTGTTACTCTTCCACAGACCTTCCTGTCTCTCTCTCGCTTTTTCTCTCTCATTCTCTGCTACTCTCGCTTGTTCTCTTTCGTTTTCTCTCTCCCTCTTTTTCTATCTCTCATTCTTTAGCACTCTCTCTCTCATTCCCCTCTCTCTCTCTCTCTCTCTCTCTCACACACTTACGTCAGTGATGGCTTTCTTGGCCTTGTCCTCTGCGTTGCGATACTCCTGCACAGCCTCCTCCACCTCCCCACTGAGCTGCGAGATGTCACTTTCCAACTTCTTCTTCTGGTTAATCAAACTGGTGTTCTGCTCTCACACACAACAACAACAACAAATTACATGTGAACAAAACCTTTGACATCAGCAGGACGTCCCAAGGTGGTGGACAGTCAGGTCCACACACACACCTTAGCACTAACAGCAGCTCCTGCTACCATTCCTGACCCTGTTCCTCTCCCCGGGCACACAGCCCCTCCCCCGGGCACACAGCCCCTCCCCCGGGCACACAGCCCCTCCCCCGGGCACACAGCCCCTCCCCCGGGCACACAGCCCCTCCCCCGGGCACACAGCCCCTCCCCGGGCACACAGCCCCTCCCCCGGGCACACAGCCCCTCCCCCGGGCACACAGCCCCTCCCCCGGGCACACAGACCCTCCCCCGGGCACACAGACCCTCCCCCGGGCACACAGCCCCTCCCCGGGCACACAGACCCTCTGCTCGGGCACACAGCCCTCCCCCGGGCATACAGACCCTCCCCCGGGCACACAGCCCCTCCCCGGGCACACAGACCCTCCCCCGGGCACACAGCCCTCCCCCGGGCACACAGCCCCTCCCCCGGGCACACAGCCCTCCCCCGGGCACACAGCCCCTCCCCCGGGCACACAGCCCCTCCCCCGGGCACACAGCCCCTCCCCCGGGCGCACAGCCCCTCCCCCGGGCACACAGCCCCTCCCCCGGGCACACAGCCCCTCCCCCGGGCACACAGCCCCTCCCCCGGGCACACAGCCCCTCCCCCGGGCACACAGCCCTCCCCGGGCACACAGCCCCTCCCCGGGCACACAGCCCCTCCCCCGGGCACACAGCCCCTCCCCCGGGCACACAGCCCCTCCCCCGGGCACACAGCCCCTCCCCCGGGCACACAGCCCCTCCCCCGGCACACAGCCCCTCCCCCGGGCACACAGCCCCTCCCCCGGGCACACAGCCCTCCCCCGGGCACACAGCCCCTCCCCGGGGCACACAGCCCTCCCCCGGGCACACAGCCCCTCCCCCGGGCACACAGCCCCTCCCCGGGCACACAGCCCCTCCCCCGGGCACACAGCCCCTCTCCCGGGCACACAGCCCCTCCCCCGGGCACACAGCCCCTCCCCCGGGCACACAGCCCCTCCCCCGGGCACACAGAACCTCTGCTCGGGCACACAGACCCTCCCCCGGGCACACAGACCCTCCCCCGGGCACACAGACCCTCCCCCGGGCACACAGCCCCTCCCCCGGGCACACAGACCCTCTGCTCGGGCACACAGCCCCTCCCCCGGGCATACAGACCCTCCCCCGGGCACACAGCCCCTCCCCCGGGCACACAGACCCTCCCCTGGGCACACAGCCCCTCCCCCGGGCACACAGCCCCTCCCCCAGGCACATAGCCATGTTAAAGTTAAGGTCAGTGTCTGGGTCAGGTGTCAGTCTGAGGGGGCAGTGTGGGGGGGGCAGTGTGGGGGGGGCAGTGTGGGGGGCGCAGTGTGGGAGCAGTGGGGGGACAGTATGGGGGCAGTGGGGGGGCAGTGTGGGGGGCAGTGTGGGGGGGCAGTGTGTGGGCAGTGCGGGGGGCAGTGTTGGGGGCAGTGTGGGGGGGGCAGTGTGTGGGCAGTGCGTGGGGCAGGGTGGGGGGAGCAGTGGGGGGCAGTGTGCGGGGGGCAGTGTGGGGGGCAGTGTGGGGGCAGGGGTGGCAGTGGGGGCAGTGCGGGGGGCAGTGTGGGGACAGGGGTGGCAGTGGGGGCAGTACCTGAGCGTGCAACAGGTTGACCCTCTCGTTGGCCTCCAGCAGCTCGTGTTCGGCCAGTTTGCGGCCGCGCTCCGCCTGCTCCAGCTCCGCCCTCAGCTCCTCCAGCTCCGCTCCCAGCAGCGTGTTCCTGCGCTCGGCCATGCCCGCCTGCTCCCGGTACCCCTCCGCCAGTCTGGCCGTCTCCTCCAGCTCCAACTGCACATCCTGCCCACAGCAACAACAACATGTCAGCACCACCGGGGGAGAGTGAAGGAGGGGGGGGGGGGGCGGGGGATCGAGAGGGGGTAGTGGAGGGGATAGCGAAGGGTGGAGTAAGGGGGGGAATGAGGGGGCGAGCACAACATGTCAGCATTGCAATGCCGGGGGTGGGGGGTGCAGGAGAGAGCAAGTCTGCGAGGGGAGGCCAGTTGGGGGGACGATAAGGGGAGGGCAGTGAGGGGGGGCAATGAGGTGGGGAAGTGAAGCCATAACGCAAAGTGGGTGGGGGGGAAGCCAGGCCATGGGGGAGCGGGGGGAAGCGAGGCTGGGACAGGGGATGAGGGGGTAGAGGGAGGGGGACTGACCTTGATCTGTGACTGGAGGCTACGCAGCAGTTTGAGGGAGTCTGCGGCCTGGCGGTTGGCGTGGCTCAGCTGGATCTCCATCTCGTTCATGTCGCCTTCCATCTTCTTCTTCAGCCGCACGGCCTCACCCCGGCCCCTGGCCTCCGCCTCCAGCGCCAACTGTGTGGCCTCCAGGACCCGCTGCTGGTTACGCCTGGTCACAGGACAGGCTCACTTAGGATCCCTCCAAACCTCACTCTCTCCATCACTCCCTCACTCTCTCCCTCACTCCCTCCATCATTCCCTCACTCTCTCCATCATTCACTCATTCTCTCCATCGCTCCCTCACTCTCTCCCTCACTCTCTCCATCATTCCCTCACTATCTCCATCATTCCCTCACTCTCTCCATCATTCACTCACTCTCTCCATCACTCCCACACTCACTCCATCATTCCCTCACTCTCTCCATCACTCCCTCACTCGCTCCATCATTCCCTCACTTTCTCCATCACTTCTTCCCTCCCTCCCTCCCTCCCTCATTCAATCACTCTCCCTCCCTGCCTCCCTTCCTATCCCCCTCCCTCCCTCCCTCAGTCCCTTCTTCGGAGAAAGAAGAGTTTGCTAGTTGCACCCACCCTGCCTCTTCCCTCCTCGCCACCATGAGTGACCACCGCCCCCGCCACCTCCCCCAACCATCAGCAACCAGTCTCTTACCTCTGGAATTACCCCCCACCTCCCACTCCTCCTCCATCCCGCCTCTCCCTGTCTTTATGCCAACCTCAAATCTTATCCCTTGAACCTCCTGGGGCTGTGACGCTGGTACCTGAGGTTCTCTGCCTCCTCGTCTTTCTCAGCGAGCTTGCGTTCCACCTCGGCCTTCATCTGGGACAGCTCCAGCTGTACCCGAAGCGTCTTACTCTCCTCGTGCTCCAGGGTACCCTGGGATCAGGGGTCAGGGTCACACCGTCAGCAACGCAGCAACGAGAGAGAGAGCCTTGCCCTCCTCTCCCTCGGCTGCCCCCCCCTCCCCCGATCCCCCTCCCCTCTCGTCCCCTCCCCTCCCACCTCCCCCTAACCCTATCCACCTCAATTCCCACTCTCCTCGCCGGCCACTCAACACCCCCCCCCCAATGGCTGCCTCCTCTCACTCCCCTTTTGAGTCCCCCCTCTTGCCCCCTCCCCTCCCTCAGGGCGGTGACTGACCTCAGCCTCCTCCAAGGCAGCCTGCACCTCGCTCTTCTCCTGCTCCAGGCCTTTCTTGACCTTCTCCAGCTCACGCAGGTTCTTGCCGGCCTCTCCTATCTGGTCGGTCAGGTCCCCGATCTCCTCTGGAGCCGAGCAGAGCCAGTGTTACCATTCACAGCACGGGGTTGGGAGGATGTGATTGGGGGTCGTAGTCAATGTGGGGGAGGGTGGGGGTGGGGAGGGCAGAGGGGGGGGGGGCAGAGAGGAGGCGGTGATGATGAGCGGGGGAGGGGGAGCAGGGTGTCTCTCCGTACATACCCTGGAGGTTCTTGTTCTCTCGTTTCATCGTCTCCACGTGGTCCTGGGCCTCCTCATAGGCATTCTTGAGTTTGAAGAGCTCGGTGCTCAGGCTGCGGGCCTCCCTCTGCGCCCCCTCCAGCTCACTCTGCGTCTCCTCATACTTCTGCTTCCACTCGGCCAGCACCTTGTCGAAGTTCCGCTGCTTCTTGTCGAGCACGGCCGCTGCGGAGTTCGAGCGCTCCAGGTCGATCATCACGTCCTCGATCTCGGTCTGCAGACGGTGTTTGGTTTTCTCCAGTGACGAGCACTTGGCGTTCACCGCCTCCACCGCCTCCTCAGCCTCTTGTAGCCGCGCGGCCAGCTTCTTCCTACCCGCGCAGCCCAGATAATAATAATAATAATAATCCTGGCATTGACACGGCGCCTGATCACGTCATTGAGATGTCTCAAAGTGCTTCACTGGATACACTGTAAAGTGTAGTGACCGTGTATTTTGTGTGAGAAATGCGGCGGCCAATTGTGCGCAACGACGTCCCACAAATGGCCATGGATTGAGTGGCCAAGTTATTATTTTTTTAAGGGGTTTTTACCCTAGGAAAGCAATCCACCAATCAACTAACAACCGGGTTCCAACTTACTGCTGGGAAAACAGAGGCGTGTGGAGTAAGGAAACTTGCTTAAAGCTTCGCCCTGACCAGGAATCGAACCTGTGCCTGTCCACACTCCCAGGTCAGGGTTAGAGACACAGTAACGCTCCCTCTACACTGTGGTCCACACTCCCAGGTCAGGGTTAGAGACACAGTAACGCTCCCTCTACACTGTGTGTCCACACTCCCAGGTCAGGGTTAGAGACACAGTAACGCTCCCTCTACACTGTGTGTCCACACTCCCAGGTCAGGGTTGGAGACACAGTAAAGCTCCCTCTACACTGTGCGTCCACACTCCCAGGTCAGGGTTAGAGACACAGTAACGCTCCCTCTACACTGTGCGTCCACACTCCCAGGTCAGGGTTAGAGACACAGTAAAGTGAGGGAAGGTTTAAATGGGTGAATAACGTACTTTGCCTCTTCCAGCTCCTCGGTTCTCTGGATGGCGTCCGTCTCGTACTTATTCCTCCACTGAGCCACCTCGGCATTGGCCTTGGACAGCGCTCGCTGCAGCTCACTCAAGGTCTCCAGCTCCTCCTCGTACTGTTCCCTCAACAGATCCCCATCATGGCGGGCAGCCTGCAGCGCGTGGGCCAGGGCTCCCTTAGCCTGGCCGAGACACAGAGCCACCATCATCATCACCATCATCATCATCACCATCAACCGATATAGCGCCTTATCACGTCATTGAGACGTCTCAAAGCGCTTCACAGAATATACTGTAAAGTGTAGTGACTGTGTATTTTGTGGGCGAAACACGGCTGCCAATTACACGCAGCAGTTTCCCACAAACAGTCATTGATTGAAGTGACCAAATTATCATTGTTTTTTTGCAGGGATTATTCCCCCCGGAAAAGTGATCCACCAATCGACTAACAACCGGGTTCCCACTTACTGCTGTGTGTGTGTGTGTGTGTGTGTGTGGCCGGGGGTGTTGGGGGGTTGTCAGGCTGTACCTTACTCTCCTCTTCCAGCTGCCGCCTCAGCTCCTCGTTGGTCTGTGTGGAGGAGACTTTTCCGCGGCTCAGCTGGTTAATCATCAATTCCTTCTCCTCGAGCTGCCGGCTGAACTCGCCTGGCGATGGCAACACCGAGGGGTGAGTCACCAGCAACACTGCACTCCCCCCTTCTCCCCCTCTCCCCTTCCCCCCAGTAACAGTAACATAGCCTGATTCCCAGGTAAATCATTCCAATCACACCCCACCCCAGGACCCTCCCCACCCAAACATACACATCACTCCTCCTCCCCCCCCCGCGCCCTCCCCCGTGCGGTGAGGCTGGCACACGAGGTGTTAATACCGTTCTCTGTCTGGAGTCGCGCTTTCTGTGCCGACAGGTCCACTGTCAGTCGGTGAAGCTCCTCCAGTTTACTCTTCGCCTCATTTAGCTGATCCTCGTGCGTACGGCACAACTTCTCCGAATAAGCCTGGGGGAGAGAGGGAGAGACTGAGAGAGGGACAGAGACTGAGAGAGAGGGAAAGAGGGAGAGACTAAGAACTGAGAGACAGAAAGACTGAGGGACAGAGAGAAACTGAGAGAGAAAGACAGAGAGACAAAGCAATGCAGAGAGCGACAGAAAAAAAGAAAGACAGAATGAGAGAGACAGAAACAGAGAGAGACAAAGACACAGAGTCAGTGACAGAGAGAGACAACAACATTTATACAGCGCCTTTCACGTTGGAAGGACGTCCCAAGGAGCTGAGACAGAGAGAGCGCGAGAGTGCGAGGGAGCGACACACACACACACACACAGACACACACAGGGACACCCACAGACACATGCACAAACACACACACACACAGAGACACAGAAACATGCACGGACACACACGCGGAGACACACACACACACACACACAGACACCAGTGACAATGAGTGGCCGCTGACCTTGTGTTTGCTGAGCTGCTCCAGGTTGGAGCTCAGATCCTCGGTCTCCATCTTCAGTTCGCTCTTCTCCTTCTCCAGTTTTTGCCGGACGCGCTGCAGGTTGTCGATGTGCTCGGAGAGCTCGGCGGTGGTGTCGCTGTGTTTCTTGCGGAGAGCGGCAGCCGTGGCCTCATGTGCCAGCGTGGCCTCCTCCAGCTCCCGCCGCAGCTTCACCAGCGCCGCCTCCCGCTTGGCGTTCATCTGTACCTGAGCCGCCGTGGCTCCCCCCGCCTCCTCCAGCCGCTCGCTCAGCTCCTCCAGCTCCCTCCCCACCTCCACTCGCTGCTTCTCCACCCGCCCCCGCCCGGCCCGCTCAGCCTCCAGCTCCTCCTCCAACTCCTCCAGCCTCGCCTGCCCCGAGAGACAGAGAGAGAGAGAGAGGCCATCAGTGTCAGCAACAAACAGTCACTACACCAACAGTCACTGATAGTCACTACACTGATGGTCACTACACTGACGGTCACTACACCAAAAGTCACTGACAGTCACTACAACAACAACAACATGGATTTATATAGCGCCCTCCACACCGGACGGTGTCTCAGAGCACTTTACAGTAACGGATGCTGGGGCTGAGCCGGGGGGGGGGGGGTGGGGGAGGGGAGGGGCAGGGGAGGGGGAGGGGGCAGGGGGGGGAGGGGCAGGAGAGGGGGAGGAGCTGGGGTGGGGCCATGTGGAGGAGGGGCCAGCAGGATCAGGGGTGGCTTGGGGGAGGGGCCTGGGGAGGGGGAGGAGCCAGGGGGAGGGGCCAGGAGAGGGGAGGAGCTGGGGTGGGGCCATGTGGAGGAGGGGCCAGCAGGATCAGGAGTGGTTGGGGGAAGGGGCCTGGGGGAGAGGGAGGAGCCATGGGAGGGGAGGAGCCAGGGGAGGGGGCAGGGGGAGGGGCCAGGGCGGGGGGGAGGTGGGGGAAGGTGACCAAAGGCGCAGTCAAAAAGAAAGGTCTTCAGCAGAGACCTGAAAATGGGAAGGGAGGGAACGAGACGAAGGGAGTGAGGAAGGGAGTTCCAGAGCCTCGGGGCATAGTGGCTGATGACACAGCCGCTGAGGGTGGAGTGGAGGACTCGGGTACTGTTGTGAGGAGAGAGGAGGTCAGAGAGGTCGGGGGGTGCAGAGGAGTGCAGGGACTTGAATACAAGGGTGAGGGTCTTGAAGTCGATCCTCTCTGGGACAGGCAGCCGGTGCAGTCTGGCCAGGACTGGGGGATCGGGGAGCGGAGTTGGTGCGGGTGAGAATGCGAGCGGCAGAGTTTTGAATGATTTGGATTTTACGGATGGTGGTGGAGGGGAGGCCGGCGAGGAGGGCGTTCGAGTAGTCCAGCCGAGAGGTGACAAAGGCCTGGACCAGGGTTTCAGCGGCTTTTGGGGAGAGGTATTGGCGGTGACAGGCGATGTGTCGGAGTTGGAAGAAGGCGGTGCTGGTGAGGGACCGGATGTGGGGGAGGAAGGATAATTGGGGGTCGAACCTGACGCCGAGGTTGCGAACGGGTTCAGAGAGTTTTAAGGGGAGGTCGGGTAGGTGGAGGAGGTGAGAACCGTGAGATTTTAGATGTTGACGAGAGCCAAAGAGTACGGCTTCCGTCCTGTCAACGTTTAGCTGAAGGAAATTCAGGCTGACAGAACATCAGGAATGGGGGTCGCAAAGAGTGGTGGAAAAATAGAGTTGGGTGTCGTCGGCATACATGTGGAAATGTACCCCATGTCTGCGGATGACATCCCCAAGAGGGAGCACATAGATCAGAAAGAGGAGGGGGCCAAGGATGGATCCTTGGGGTACCCCACAGGTAACCGGGTGAGAGTGGGAGGAGAAGCCGTTTGTGCAGATGTACTGCTGGCAGTTTGTGAGGTAGGACTCGAACCGGGCGAGTGCGGTCCCACTGAGGTGGATGACGGAGGAAAGGCGGTGGAGGAGGATGGCGTGATCGACTGTGTTGAACGCAGTGGAGAGGTCCAGGAGGACAAGGAGGCAGAGGGAGCCCTGGTCACAGATAGAGAGGATGTCACAAGCGCGGTCTCTGTACTGTGAGCAGGGCGGAAACCACTACACTGACAGTCACTACACTGACAGTCACTCTTCCCAGTGTCGCACTGGAGTGTCAGCTTGGGCTGTGAGCTCAAAGCCAACAACAACTTGTATTTATTTATACAACGCCGTCTACATGGGGCAGCGTCTCGCAGCAGAGCTTATGTCCCTGTTGTGGGGCTCGATCTACGTCCCCAGCAGAGTTTGGGGTTTAGGAGCTGTTTTTTACTAATTGCATTGAATTCCTCCCACCCCATCCCATTACGCCCCCCACCCTCCTCGCCCCCCTTTTCCCCCGACCACCGCCCCAGCCAGTGAAGCGGTCTTCAGGCTTCCCTTACCTGCAGCTCCTTAATCTTTTTCTGTAGCTGAACGATCAGGGCCTCCAATTCCTCCACTTTGGAGCTGAATTGATTGACTTCAAAGTCCTTTCTGTGAAGTGACAATGTTGTGTGTTACACGCGAGGAGGTGTGATACACGGGACAACACGTGGGGCAATCCATCACTTGGCAACATGCGTGTCATCAGTGGCATGTGTCAGGGTTAGGGACATGGTAAAGCTCCCTCTACACTGTGAGTCCACACTCCCAGGTCAGGGTTAGAGACACAGTAAACACCGCATTTCATCTCAAAAGTGTCCGTTCCCTCTCAAATAAAGCCCTCGCCATCCACGACCTCATCCTGGACGAACATCTTGACATTCTTGGGCTCACCGAAAACTGGCTCTCCCCCAATGACCCCGTCCCCCTAGAGAAAGCCTCCCCTCTAGGCTACACCTTCCACCACAACCCCTGTCCAAACCAACGTGGCGGTGGGGTGGCCTTCATTTCCAAAGCCTCCCTTGGTCTCACCCCTACTCCTCTGGCTGCTTCTCTTCCTTCGAGCACCTCACCCTCTTTCACCCCTCTCTCTCATTGAAAATCCTCCTTGTCTACCGCCCCCTAAGCCCCCCGGCTCCTTCCACACAGACATCTCTACTCTTCTCTCTTCCCTGTCCCTCTGCTCCGAACGCCTCCTCATAATGGGCGATTTCAACCTCCACCTAAACTCCCCTTTGCACTACTTCTGCCGATTTCACTGCCCTCCTCTCCTCCCTAAACCTTACCCTTCACATTAATTCACCCACCCACAACCATGGTCATGCACTTGATCTCGTTATCACCCACGGCCTTGACATTTCCGACCTCAGCATAGTGGACTAGGCCCTCGGACCACTTTTTCATCTCCTTTCCTTTCACATTCCTCTCTCCTCCACCAAGCCCTCAACCATCTTCTACCGCCCTTGGAAAAGGCTACCCCCTGAGACCTTCACAAAGGCCCTCTCATCATCAAATATCCTATCCCTCTGGCCTTCCACCCGCAAAGATCCTGAAGCAGCCGTCCAGCTGCTCCATGATCGCCTCTCCTCCACCTTCAACTCCCTCGTCCCCCTAAAATCCAGGACCATCTCCAAACCCACCCGATCCCCCTGGTACAACAACCATCTCCGCCGCTTAGACCCAAACCTGTCTGCCTGAGCGCAGATGGCGGAAAATTGGCCTGACAGTTCACCGCCAACTGTGGCTCGAGCATCTCCACAGCTATCATCGTTCTTTGACACGCCAAAAAGAGCTTCTACTCCAACATCATCTTGGAAGCTAAACACAACCCTAAAATCATTTTTTCCACCACCCACTACCTCCTCCGTGCACCCCCTCAGGTCCCTCAATCTTCATATCAAATGCCAAGTGCGAGGAGGTCATGGACTTCTTTTCATCTAAAATACTTAACATCCGCCAGGCAGCCTCATCCACCTGCCCCTTGTCACCCACCACCACACTCTCTCTGCCCTCCTCACCTTCTTCATCATCTGCTCCTACCACCACCCCCATTCTACATTCCTTCCTCCCCATCTCTCCCTCCTCCCTCTCACCCACCATCACCTCCATGAAACCCACCACCTGCTGCCTCGAACCCCTCCCCACCAACTTACTGGTCACCCAGCTCCCCCTCCTCTGCCCACTACTTGCTGACGTCATCAACCAGTCCCTCTCATCCGGATCAGTCCCTGCCCCCCTCAAAATTCTGTCATCACCCCCTCCTGTAAAAACCCCACAGTACAGAGACTGCGATTGTGAAAGTCACAAACGACATCCTCTCTATCTGTGACCAGGGCTCCCTCTGCCTCCTTGTCCTCCTGGACCTCTCCACCGCGTTCGACACAGTCGATCACGCCATCCTCCTCCACCGCCTTTCCTCCGTCATCCATCTCAGTGGGACCGCACTCGCCCGGTTCGAGTCCTACCTCACAAACCACCAGCAGTAAATCTGCACAAACGGCTTCTCCTCCCACTCTCACCCGGTTACCTGTGGATCCAAGGATCCATCCTTTGCCCCCTCCTCTTTCTGATCTACATGCTCCCTCTTGGGGATGTCATCCGCAGACATGAGGTACATGTATACCGACGACACCCAACTTTCCACCTCTCTTTGCAACCCCCAGTCCCGTGATGTTCTGTCAGCTGCCTGTCAGATCTCAGGGGCTGGGTGAGCGCAAATTTCTTTCAGCTGAACGTTGACAAAGCATGGACCGAAGCCATACTCTTTGGCTCTCGTCAACGTCTAAAATCTCACGGCTCTCACTTCCTCCACCTACCCGACCTCCCCTTAAAACTCTCCGAACCCGTTCGCAACCTCGGCATCAGGTTCGACCCCCAATTATCCTTCCTCCCCCACATCCGGTCCCTCACCAGCACCGCTTTCTTCCACCTCAGACGCATCGCTCGTCACCGCCAATACCTCTCCCCAAAAGCCGCTGAAACCCTGGTCCAGGCCTTTGTCACCTCTCGGCTGGACTACTCTAACGCCCTCCTCGCCGGCCTCCCGTCCACCACCATCCATAAAATCCAAATCATTCAAAACTCTGTCGCTCGCATTCTCACCCGCACCAACTCCGCTCCCCGATCCCCCCAGTCCTGGCCAGACTGCACTGGCTGCCTGTCCCAGAGAGGATCGACTTCAAGATCCTCACCCTTGTATTCAAGTCCCTGCACTCCTCTGCACCCCCCGACCTCTCTGACCTGCTCTCTCCTCACAACAGTACCCGTTGCATTCATTCCTCCGGGTCTGACCTCCTCCTCATCCCCCGAGTCCTCCGCTTCACCCTCGGAGGCTGTGCCTTCAGCTACTATGCCCCGAGGCTCTGGAACTCCCTTCCTCACTCCCTTCGTCTCGTTCCCTCCCTTCCCATTTTCAGGTCTCTGCTGAAGACCTTTCTTTCCGACCGTGCCTTCGGTCACCTCCCCCTGGCTCCTCCCCCCGGCTCAGCCCCGGGATCCGTTACTGTAAACCCTTCTGAGATGCCGTCCGGCGTGGAGGGCGCTATATAAATCTAAGTTGTTGTTGTTAAAGCTCCCTCTACACTGTGCGCCCACACTTCCAGGTCAGGATTAGAGGTGGGCCTGTGGCCGGGTTAATTTCTCTCTCACTTTTTCAACTTCTCCTCCAGCTGCTGCTTGTCGTTCTCCAGGTCCATGACTGACTCGTGGCTCAGTTTCAAGTCCCCCTCCAGCTTGCGTTTGGCCCGCTCCAAGTCCATCCTCACCTTCTTCTCCTGCTCCAGGGAGCTCTCCAGCTGCAGTGAAGGACACCAATTCAACAACGTTTGCTCGCTCTATGCAAGTCGTGCAATAACGGAACGTTCCAGCAAAGTCTGATGCCCTCCCCACTCTAACCCCAGCTAACCACACCGAACTACCAAGTCCCTTGTGTCCTTCTGTCCCCAGAGTCCTGTAGGTCAGTGGTTAGAGCACTCGCTTTGCAAGCGAGAGACCTGAGTTCAATTCCAGGCAGAGGGCGAAACCTTGGGCAAGTTTCCTTACTCCACACAGAGCCTAATAATAATCCCTCCAAAACCAAAAACAATAATAAATTGGTCATTTTCAATCTACGACTGTTTGTGGGACACTGCTGTGCGCAATTGGCTGCCGCGTTCGCCCACAAATATACAGTCAGTTCACTTTACAGTGTGTTCTGTGAAGCGCTTTGGGACGTCCTCCCGACGTGAAAAGCGCTATATCAAATGCAAGGATTATTATTATTTTATTCATGTTCTCATCTTCCATGTCCCCGTGTTCCCATGTCCCCGTGTCCCCATGTCCCCGTGTTCCCATGTCCCCGTGTTCCCATGTCCCCGTGTTCCCATGTCCCCGTGTTCCCATGTCCCCGTGTCCCCATGTCCCTGTGTTCCCATGCCCCATCCGCTCACATCGTCCACTTGCTGCTCCAGCTTGGCCTTGCTCTTGCTCAGTGAGTTGACTTTGTCCTCCTCAGCCTGGAGATCGTCCAGTGCCTGCTGGTGGGCCTCCTGCAGGCTCTTCTTCTCCTTACTCAGCTTCACGATGCTCTCATCCAGGGCTGCCATCTCCTCCGTCAAGTTCTTCACCTGCACAAAACCACCAGCGTTCCTCAGTAACAGAAACCCTCACTAACCCTGGCCTGAGAGTGTGGACGCACAGTGCAGAGGGAACTTTACTGTGTCTCCAACCCTGGCCGGGAGTTTGGGCAGCAGGGGAAGGGTGGGGGAGGGTTAGAGCGAGGGGAGGGTAAGTGGAGCGAGGGAAGGGGAGGTGGAGAGCGAGGGGATGGCGAGAGCGAGGTGAGGTGAGGGGGAGATCAAGGGGAGATGGAGAGCCAGGGGAGGGGAGGGGCTGGAGCGGATGGTACCTTGTTCTCCGTGGCGTGCTTCTCCTTCTCCACCTTGGCCAGGCTGATCTCCAAGTCGTCGATGTCCTTCTTCAGCTCAGCGCTTTCGTCCTCCAGTTTGCGCTTCTTGCTGGTGATCTCGGCGTTCATCTCCTCCTCGTCCTCCAGCCGCTCACTCAGCTCCTTCTCCTTGGCCTCCAGCAGCACCTTGGACTTGATCAGCAGCTCACAGCGCTCCTCCGCATCCGCTAGATTGTCCTGCTCCTGGAATGAGACCACCAGCAACGGTTAGCACTGGTCAGCAATCCCGCAGGGTGGGGATGGAGGTCTCTGCGTGTGTATGGGGGGGACAGGGGAACAGGCTTACTGTGTCGGGGGGCACTTTCTAAGTGGGTGCATTCCAAGACGCTGCCCTGTGTGAAGGGCGCAATATAAATCCAAGGTTGTTGTTGGGTGTGTTGGAGGGGATGTTTGGGGCGGGGAGCGGGGGGGGGTTCAACAACAACAAACAACACATGACATTTACACAGCGCTTTTCATGTCAGGAGGATGTCCCAACGCACTGGACAGTGAGGGGTTTGGACCCCAGCTGGGGGTTGGGATCAGAGAATAGTGGAGGGTGGAGGGTGGGAAGATGATTGAAGGCACATTGAAAGAGGAAGGTCTTGAGATAGGTATTGAAGTAAGCGAGGGGGTAGGGGGGAATGGGAGAAGATGGAGGGGCTCCGAGATGGAGCTCCAAAGAGTGGGGGTAGAAAGGCTGAAGGCCCGACCACCGATGGTGGAGCAGGTAGACGGGGGGACATAGAGTGGAGGAGGATTTGGGGGGTGTTAGGGGGGTTGTCTGGGGGTGAAGTATTCCAGGGAGGGTGCGATCACTCACCGCTTGGATCTGCAGACACAGGTCATTCTTCTCCTGGGTCAGGCTGACCTGCTTCTCCTCCAGCTCCTTGCGTTTGGCCTCGGACCTGGCCAGAGCCTCCTTCAGCTTCTGGAATTCCTCCTTCAGGGCAACCATCTCCTTCTCGGTGGCCGCGCTCTTCAGCAGAGGTTTGATCTTAAAGTAAAGCTTCATCCACGACCAATTCTTCACCGCGTTGAAGGCGCGGATGTTCCACTGGATGACGAGGAGCGAGTCCCTGGGGTGGAGGGGAGGTGGGGGCGAGAAGGACAGGGTTACAGTGACTTGGGACGTCCTCCTGATGTGAAAGGCGCTCTATAAATGGAATCTTGTTGTTGTTGTTGACTAACACACGTACAATGCATGGTGATGGGTTTCCGCATCAGATACCCGGCTGGCCAAAAACAAGAGTCTCAGCGTCTCGGCCTTTACCACCCTTCCTGACCACCCTATTCCTATCATTAATTAGCCTCTGACCAAAGAGAAACTTCCTGGTCTCTCCAGAATTTGCCCCTTTACAAGTCTAAAGCCTGATTCCTCTTGTTGTGTTATCTCGGAGCATCTTGTTAATGGCAGTCTCTGGAGCATGTTCAAAACTGAGGTCTTTCTTTGGTTGGTGTAAGGTAATGCTGCCCATAAACATCTCCACAAAACAACTCAGCGGAAGGCAAAGCTTTTGACTGTTCAGTGACAGAACATAGAAATATAGGAACAGGAGGAGGCCATTCAGCCCCTTGAGCCTGGTTGGCCATTCTATAAGATCACGCTGCTCTAATAATAAATGATCCTTGCATTTGATATAGCGCTTTTCATGTCTTCTAGACGTCCCAAAGCGCTTCACAGAATAGACTGTAAAGTGAATTGACTGCATATTTGTGGGCGAAATGTGACAGCCAATTGTGCACAGCAATGTCCCACAAACAGCCGTGGATTGAAGTGACCAATTTTTTTTTTGAGGGATTATTATCAGGCGGGTGGAGTAAGGAAACTTGCCCAGGGTTTCACCCTGCCGGGAATCAAACACAGGTCTTTCGCTTGCAAAGCGAGTGCTCTAACCACTGAGCTACAGGACTCCAGAACCACTGAGCTACAGGACTCTAGCAGGAAAGATCTGTACCTCAACCTCAAATACCCGCCCTTGCCCCGCATCCCTTGATACCCTGACTTAACAGACATCTATCCACCTCAGTCTTGACCAGCTTCAGATCCATCACAGCTGAGGTAATGGGCAAGTGTTGGTTTTGAGTCTTGGAGCCTCGTGTATCGAGGTCCCTGTGTGGCTGGGTATTTATTTTACAATATAGATTTACATTTACACTGCGCGTAGCGCCCAAACTGGACCCTCCCCACCTCAACCGTGGTCTCCGCTGGCCACCCACCCCACCTGCGCCCCCATTCTCACCGTCGGGTAATGATTTTCTGGAACTCGATCCTCATGAGACGCCCTCGGCTCCGGGCCTGGATCATAGTCAGGATCTTGGCCAAACGCTCATCCCTCATCTCCTCCAGCTGTCCCAGCAGCCCTGCCTTGAAGAAGACCTAAGGGGACGGGAGGGGAGGGGCGAGCTCAGAGGTGGAAGAGATGTCACCGCGGGGGAGAGGTTACCCAGTGATGGGGCAGTTACTTAGTGACGGGGCGATTACCTTAGTGTGGCCAAACTTGTACTGGGTTCGGTCGATGTCCAGGGATCCGAGCAGCTTCTCGGTGGCTTTCCTGCTGTCCACGAACTTGTCCTCGGGAATGGCGGTGGGATTGAGGATCCGGTACCTACGGGCGGGAAACACAGAGCAACGTGAGCCAGCTCTATGGTGGTGTCAGGGTGGGGGGCGGTGAGGGGAGGGCGCGAGTGGTGGGGCAGACACACTGACCGCTGTTTGAAGTCGGTGTACAGCAGGCGGTTGGGGAAGCCCTTACGGCAGATACGGATCCCTTCCAGCACTCCGTTACACCTCAGCTGGTGCAGCACCTGGAACGGGTCCATCACACCTGTGTACACAGAACACGCAGTCACACAAGGAACACGCAGTCATTCAACATGCAGTGATACACGGAACATGCGTTCTTGGACACACAATCACATGCCTCGACCCACAGTCACATGTCTGGACACGCGGTTACACGTCTGAACATGTGGTCACACTCACTGGACCTGTGGTTACATGCCTACTAAATGCCCAGTTACACATCTGGACATGCAGTTAAACACCTGGATACAGGGTTACACACCAGAACATGTGGTTACACATCTAAACATGTTACACAGGCGCAGGTACCTGGGGTCTTGGTCTCGTTGGGGATGATACAGCGAACAAAGTGAGGCTGTGTGGAGCGCAGGTTGGTCATCAATTTATTCAGATTCTCCTGGGGGGAGGGGGGGAGGGGTGGCGGGGGGGGAACAGGACAACGTTTTACTGCCTCAAAATCGCCGATTGATTGGCCTGCACGCGTGTGTGTGCGGCTGTGTGTGTGTGTGTGCACGCACGCCAGTAACCAGTGCAGAGTTGGGAGCCTGGCCTGAGCCCCGCCTGGTTGTCAGTGGGTGAGGGAGTGGGTGGGGGGGGGGGGACGGTGGAGAGAGAGTTCACAACGGAGTGGCGGGGGAAGGCAGAGTCGCCATGGGGTGGGGGCGTGGATGATCGGCATTAAATGGTTTGCCGGGATTGTGTGTGTGTTTGTGTGTGAGTGTGTGTGTGAGCTCCGGTAACTGCCGCCCGGGCGTGGGGGGAGATGGAGTGATGTGTGACCTCCCGGTGCCTCCTCCCCCCCTCGTACTCACCTCTTACGCCTCCCGTAGACAGGGAGCAGAAAGACAGCCCAGACTTAAAGTGATGTTCATTCCCTTTATTTAGCTAAACATCACTGCAAGTCTTAACTCCCTTTGGCTCAGGTCAGGGGGGGGCAGACAGGCTCTGTTACACAGCTCCCTCCTCGGGGGGTGGGGGGAGATGGAGGGCGAGGGGGTTGAGGGCAGGGGGGAGGGGGGCGAGATGGGGGGCGAGATAGTGGTAGGGAGGAGAGGGGGAAAAGATGGGGGGAGGGGGAGGGCAGGGGAGGGGAGGGGAAGATGAGGGCGGGGGAGTCGGCGAGGGTGGGGGGGCGAGGGATGAGGAAGATGAGGAAGCTTACCTTGTGCAGTTGGGAGACTGTCTGGAATGAGGCCGCTTTCCTGCGTTTCTCCTTCGTGGCCGGTTTTGGGTGATCGGAACCTGCGGAAACCAACAACAGCAACAAGATTGCGTGGGTATAGCGTCGTTCATGTCGGGAGGACGTCCCAAGACGCTGGACAGTGACAGCATTTCAGACCCGAGCTGGGGTCAGGGGGGGAGAAGGAAGGGGAGGGGAAGGTGGGTGGCCGATGACATGGTCAAAGAGGAGGGTTTGGAGACAGGACTAAGTAGGGGGCGTGGTGGAGTGACTGGGGGATGGAATTCCAGAGGGCGGGTGGATCGGGGGACATCGAGCAGGCCAGAGCCGGCTGAGCGGAGGGAACATTGGGTTGGTAGGGGGTTAGGAGGTCGCAGAGGTAGGGTGGGGCGATGCCATGGAGCGCTTTGTAGGTGAGAACCAGGATCTTGAACTGGATCCTCTGAAGGATAGGGAGCCAATGGAGTCGGGCGAGAATGGAAGAGATGGGGTCACGGAGTTTGGTGCGGGAGAGGACACGGGCTGCAGAGTTCTGGATTATCTGCAGTGTGTGGAGGGAGAAGTTGGGAAGGCCGACAAGCAGGGAGTTTGCATAGTCGAGCCTGGAGGTGATGAAGGCATGAACAAGAGTTTCAGTGGCCTGAGGTAGTGGTGGAAAATAACTAATAACCATTATTAATCATTTATTATTATTTATTATTAATAATAAATAAAATAAGCAGAGGGAAAATAACACCCAGAGCTCTATCTCTAGCTCCACCATTGGAGGCAGGCCTTTATCCTCTCTGCCTCCACCCTCTGGAACACCATCCCAGAGCATCTCGGACCCTCTCTTGTCTCTTTCAAGACCTGTCTCAAGACCCTCCTCTTCAACTGCACCTTCGGTCATCCTCCCCGCCCTCCACCCCTCCTTGTCTCACCCGCCAGCTTGGGTCCAAATCCCTAACTGTCCAGCGCCTTGAGACGTCCTCCCGATGTGTGGGGCTGTGTAAATAATTTGATAATGATAATCTTCCATTTGATTTAGCGCCTTATTACACCTTAGAGACATCTCAAAGCGCTTCACAGAATATACTGTAAAGTGAATCGACTGTATATTTTGCGGGCAAAACATGGCAGCCAATTGCACACAGCAGCGTCCCACAAACAGTCATGGATTAAGTGACCAAGTTATTATTATTATTACCCCCGGAAAAAACAATCAACTAACAACCGGGTTTCTACTTACTGCTGGTAAACAGAGGCGTGTGTGTGGAGTGAGGAAAGTTGCCTAAGGTTTCTCCCTGCCCAGGAATCGAACCCAGGTCCTCTCGCTTGCGGGCGAGTGCTCCAATTAACTGCTGTTGTAGTTACCTGAGTCACAGATGTAATTCTCGTACAGCGAGGCCAGCAGCGAGGCCTTGTTGGAGGATTTCTGGAAAACACTGACCACCGTCTCGTTCAGGGGGTCTTTGTTCTTGTTCAGCCACCCCATGATGTTATAAGGGACCTGGCATCACAGAGGGAACGGTCATGCCTTTACATGGGGTAACATGCCTGGACACGCAGTTACACGCTATACACACAGTTACATACTGTACACGGAGTTACACATCCATACACGGGGTTACAGACCCTTATCCTTGTTTACATTGTCTCTACACACGGTTACACAGCTCTACATGGGGTTACACGTATGTATGTGGTTACATTCCCACCTGTACCCATGTTAATGTAACCATGGATACACGTGTTTACAGACTTGAACGCACCTCTACATGCAGTTACATGCCTCTACATGTGGTTACACATATGTATATGCAGTTTCAAGGCTGTACAGGTGTCGTGGCCAGAGGGAACCTACCACTCCGGCATAGTGAACGAGCTCGAAGTGGGCCTCGTATTTGCGTTTCTTGTCTGGCCTCGGCTTCTGCAGGTTGGGGGACTTGCCCAGGTGATTGTCGTACAGTTTGGCTTTAAACGACATGTCAGAGGCTTTGGGGAACATACACTCCTCCTCCAGGATAGACAGAATCCCCATCGGCTGCTCGGCAGGGAGAGAGAGAGTTACAGAGAGAGAGAGAGAGAGAGAGTGAGTGAGATGAGAGTGTGAGTGTGAGAGTGTATGAGAGTGTGAAAGAGAGAGTCACAGAGGGAGAGCATGTGAGACAGAGAGTCACAGAGAGAGAGAATGAGACAGAGAATCAGAGAGAAAGTGAGAGAGGAGAGCAAGAGATAGAAAGAGAGAGAAAGAGTGAGAGACCGAGACAGTGAGAGACCAAGATACCGAGTAAGAGAGGGAGAGACCATGAGAGACACAGAGAGTCACACACACACACACACACACACACACACACACACACAGGCCTCTTCCCTGCCCCTGGGGGAGTGCCGCTGGGGTCAGGTACCTTCTCGATGAGGTCTATGCAGGCCTGCAGGTCCAGTCCGAAGTCGATGAAGACCCACTCAATGCCCTCCTTCTTGTACTCCTCCTGCTCCAGCACGAACATGTGGTGGTTAAAAAACTGCTGCAGCTTCTCGTTGGTGAAGTTGATGCAGAGCTGCTCAAAGCTGTTAAACTGATGGTGTGAGAGGGAAAGGGTTAGTCATCGCTTCAGTCAACAGCAGCGTAGCACTGGGGGGGAGGGAGCGAGAGAGCACCTCATTGTCAGAGACGCTGTCCTTCGAATTAGAGACGTTAAATTAAAACGAGCTCCATGTCTGTTCAGGCAGACAAGGGAGAAGAGAAAGGTGTTTCTCTCTCTCTCTCGCGATGTCCCGGCCGACAGATAAAATTGCTTGTTGTGTTTACGACTGTTTGTGGAGACGTTTCTGTGCGCATTATCGGCTGCCGGTCCGCCCACAAAACACATACACACACACAGTCACTACACTTTACAGTGTGTCCTGTGAAGCTTTTTTAATTGAACTTATTTTAAAAAAATGTAATTGGAATCGAGTTACAAATCAGCCCTGATCAAATAGAATGGTGGAACAGGCTCGAGGGGCTGAATGGTCTCCTCCTGTTACTATGTATAAGCACTTTGAGACATCCTCCCGAGGTGAAAGGCACCGAATGAAATAATAATCCTTGCATTTAACAATAATACCGAGTGATTATTATTAATTATGCCCCGCAATAATTTCACACAATAATAGATTCACTCACAAAATATACAGTCACTACGCTTTACAGTGTCTCCTGTGAAGCGGTTTGAGACGCCTCGAAGACGTGATAAGACTCTGTATCAAAGGCAAGGATTATTATTATTAATTATTGAGCGTTCCTCACGTCAAAGATCTCGAAGCCGGCGATGTCCAGGACGCCGATGAAGAATTGCCGCGAGAGTTTGGTGTCCAGCGTCTTGTTGATGCGCATCACCAGCCACTTAAACATCCGGTCGTACGTGGCTTTAGCCAACGCCCCCACAGCGTACACCACCTGCCGGGAGCACAGGCGTTACTGCCCAGCCCCACTCATTTGCTCGCACCTCGGCCAAAACAGTCACTTTTACTCCCTCGAGTGGTGAGATCTTGGGGGGTGGGAGGGGGAGGGGCTGGGAGAGCGACTTAAACATGGCTGCCCCATGTTGTCGTCACCGTGTGGTTTTATGTGATGCTCTGTTTCCATCTGGTCCCCTCAATTTCAAGCTCCTCTCATTTGTCTACAAATCCCTTCGACCCTGGCACCTCCCTACCTCTCTGACCTGCTTACTCCCCATTCCGCTACCCGCTGCCTCCGGCCTCCTGCTTTACTCCCGTCCCCACTCCACCATTGGCGGCTACACTTTCAGCCACAACCCCCCGAAGCTTTGGAACTCTCCCCTCAATCCCTCCACCTTGCCCCTCCTTCCCCATCTTCAGATTGTGCCTGAAGACCTTCTTCTTCGTCTATGCCCTACGAGGTCACCTCCCCCTCCCCCCGGCTCAGTGTCGTGGTCCACAACTGTTAAGTGCTCTGGGACACTGTAAATGCAAGTTGTTGTTGTTGGTGGTGGTGGTGTCAGTGTTAATGCCGTTACTGTCAGGCCGTTGGTGGTGGAGTGAGTCAGGGTGAGTCGGGGTGAGGTGGGTGGTGGTGTTACCTGTGCCACGGTCTGACCTTTGGTCACGTACTCATTGCCGACCTTGACGCGGGGGTGAAGCAACCCCTTCAGGAGGTCGCCCGAGCTCACACCCATCAGGTACGCTGCCTTGTCAGCACCTGGAGACATGCCAATGCCAGAGTGAGCAACTGCGATCACACAACACGCCTCACACATGTCAGGCAGCGATGCCGCAACACGACTCACACACATCAGCCAGTAAGAGTCCACAACATGCTTACACACGCCAGGCAGCCACATCCACAACATGTCTCACAGACGCTAGAGGGCACAGGATTGGGGTTGGGGTTGGGGTTGGAGTTGGGGTTAGGTTTGGGGTCAGGGTTGGGGTCAGGGTTGGGGTCAGGGTTGGAGTTGGGGTCAGGGTTGGTGTTAGGGTTGGGTTTGGGGTAAGAGTTGGAGTTGGGGTCAGGGTTGCGGTTGGGGTCGGGGTTGGGGTCAGGGTCGGGGTCAGGGTCTGGGGTCAGGGTTTGGGGTCAGGGTTTGGGGTCAGGGTCTGGGGTCAGGGTTTGGGGTCAGGGTTGGGGTCAGGGTTGGGGTCAGGGTTGGGGTCAGGGTTGGGGTCAGGGTTGGAGTTGGGGTCAAGGTTGGGGTTGGAGTTCCGGTTGGGTTTGGGGTCAGGGTTGGGGTCAGGGTTGGGGTCAGGCTTGGGGTCAGGGTCCGCTCCGCGCTGACTCACTCTCAGTGCCGTCGGTCTCCGCCTGCTCCTCTCGCTGTTTCTGTTTGAACTTCATGTTCCCGAAGTGCATGATGGCCCCGACTATCTTATAGCAGCCGTACTTCTCGTCCAGCGTGAAACCCAGGATGTCCATCGCGTGCTGCATACACACGACATGGGACTTACACACTGAGACACACACACGACATGGGACTTACACACAAAGACACACACAAGCCGTGGGATGTACACGCAGACACACACAGAGACAGAGAGGGACACACATATAGAGCGGTGTCGGTGTGGGATGGACGGACAGAGACAGACATGTGGTGAGGACACTATGTGGGCAGAGGGACTGTAACGTACGTCCGTGGCCATCAGCTCCTCCCCATCATCCAGGTTGTCCACAGTTACCACACCCTGGGAGCAGACGTGATAATCAAAGGGATTCTTAGAGACCAGCAACATGTCTATGAGAGAGAGAGAGAGAAAGGGAGCGGGGAAATTAGTTACACTGGCGCACAGTGTGTGTCTGTGTGTGTATATATGTGTGTGAGTGTGTCTCCTGCTCTGAATGTCGGGTAATGTTGCACATTTTATTGCTTGTGTATGATTTAGCGCCTTATCGCATCATTGATGAGAAAGGCAGTGGTTCCGGCTTTCTCGTTGCAGAGACTCACCGAAGAGCTCTGGCTTTTTGCCGGACAGGATCTGGTAGTAGATGTGGTAACTCCGCTCCCCCGGCTGCTGGAAAACCACTCGGGATTTCTCCAGCAGATCTAGAATCAGAGATAGGAATCAATCCAGAACATCCCACTCAACAGGTCCATCCCATTCCTTCTGACAACAACACTGACACTGACAGCAACACTGACACTGATAGACCGGCCCTCCCTCCCCCTTCCGGCCCCTCCCCTCCTGGCCACTCCCATCTTGGCCCCTCCCTGTCCCGTCCCCACCCCTCCCCCTCCTGGTCCCCCTCCCCTGACTTACAGATGTCAATGTCAGAGGAGGCCAGTTTGCCCGTGGGCCCGAAGTGGATGCGGATAAACTTGCCCTGTGTGGAGACAAACGCGTCCTTGTTACACAGCTCACACACGTCAGGCAAACCACCCACCATACATGTGCTCCTCACATCCATATCCATCACAGCACCCCCACCCCCCCACCCACATACACACACGCAAGCTGTCGTCCCAGTGAATCACTCACAAAACGGGACGAGTTGTCGTTCCGCAAAGTCTTGGCATTGCCGAAAGCCTCCATGGCCGGGTTAGCCTCAATGATCTGATCCTCTAGAGTGCCCTGGGGACAACAGCAGTGAACTGGGGGTTAATGTCCACATCCACTCCACACACAGACACCATACACCCCACACACGGACACCATACACCCCACACACGGACACCATACACCCCACACACGGACACCATACACCCCACACACAGACACCATACATCCCACACACAGACACCATACATCCCACACACAGACACCATACACCCCACACACAGACACCATACACCCCACACACAAACACACACCAAACACATTGGAATTGGCCAGGAGCCACTCACCCCAGTCTTGGTGGCCGGCTGGGACTTGGAGAGAGAGAAAAACCCAAACATTAGACCTTTCTATCCTGACCTAAAACTAACAGCAGCGAGCTCCAGCAGCAGAAAAAATAAACTGCGGAAAAAAAACTTTTGTTCCTTTTACCAAAAAAAGCCAAAAGCAGACACACGCATTCTGTCAAAGTCAAAAACAAAAGCAAAATCAAAACACAGTTTGCTTTTAAGAAGAAAAAAAGTTATGCGGAAGGCACAAAATAAAATGGTTTCAGCAAAAAGAATTTAATAAAGAGTTAAAAAAGAAAAACAGATTTGAAAGTTACTGCACAAAAGTCGCTCCGAAGGAGGTTTTAAAAATATTTTTAGAAGAAAAAAGTTTTCAAAAGTTTTCCAAAAGTTCCAAAAAAGTAAGAGAAAAAAAAGTCAAACAAAAATCTCTTGAGAAGATGTCAATCTTACGCCTTTCTTTCCACCTCCTTCTCCTAACGCAGCGACAATAGCAAAGTACTGAATCACACGCTTGGTGTTCACGGTTTTACCGGCACCGGATTCACCCCTGGCACCACCGGCCGACGAGGGGGGGAAACAAAAACACAGTGAAAAATGATAAAAGGTAAAAAAAAATAAAAAAACAGAGAGAGAGAAAAATAGTTACAGGGTGAAAAAGTTCAAAGTAAAATTCTCTGTTGGCGTTCCCTGGGTTTAGTGCTCACAAGGTTAAGAAAAAGCACAAATTTCACCCCCACCGCACAAATACAAGAGACAAATACTTTTATTCTACAAAGAATCTTGTTTAAGCTCTCCGAGTTGCTGCTACATATGAAAGCGCGCTGTATATAAAGGCAAGTTGTTTTCTATCGAGTTCCAGGAATCTCCCCCAACCATTCCCCCAACCTCTCCTGTTCCATTCAAACATTAAACGTGCCGTTCGCCTACAAGGTACACAGTCACAACACTTTGGGGGGAATCCTAGGAGGCGCTTTGAGTTGGATCAGATAGAACTGAAGGTGAGACTCACGTGATGAGCATGGATTGGTTCTCTCTATCTGGAAAATAGAAAAAAAAACTTTTGTTTATATCAAAAATCATCACTTCAAACCCTCCTAAACCATCTGATGTCAGCTTATTGTGTTATTTTGCTCAGTAACAACAAGATTCCATAAACAGTCGTGACGTGACTGATTAATTTATCTGGGGAACTGTTGGTCAGGACAACAGGAGAGAGAGAGAGAGAGAGAGAGAGAGAGAGAGAAAATCCCTTCTCTTTTCAAATAGTATTTGTGGGATCTTTAACATCCAGCTAAACAGGGCGCAGAAGGGACCTCGGTTTAACGTTTCAACCGAAGAGCGGCGCCTCTGACAATGTGCTCCCCTCGTCAGTGCATTGGAGCATCAGCCTAGATTATGAGCTTAAAGTCCCCGACATGAGGCTTGAAAACATTTGTAATAGTAATAATATAAAAATCCTTGCATTTGATACAGCATCTTATCACGTCGTTGAGACTTCTCAAAGTGCTTCACTGGATATAGTGTAAAGTGTAGTGACTGTGCATTTCGTGGGCAAAACATGGCTGCCAATTGCACGCAGCAGTGTCCCACAGACAGTCGTAGCTAACCACTACGCTACGGGACAAAGCCAGGCTAACCAGAGGAGAGTAGGTGAAGACTACATTGGGCGAAATGAACACAGAAGTGACTCGGAACACTAGCAGGTCAGGCAGCATCTATGGGGAGAAGAAAGTAAGTTGACAAAAGGTCATCAAACTGAAGCGTTAACTCACTTTCCTCTCTCCACAGATGCTGCCTGACCTGCTGCGGGTTTCCAACCACTTTTGTATTTATTTCAGATTTCCAGCATCTGGAGTATTTTGTCTTGTGTTGTACATTGGGTGAAGCCTGAGTTGGATACTCACTGCGTAACATGTCATTGTAGGCGTTGTCTGCAATGGAGTAGATATGGGGAGGAGCCTCTGAGCGACGCTTCCCCTTATAGGCAGCGACCACAGGAGCAGTGTAAACCGGGAGCCATTTATATGGGTTCACGGTCACACAGAACAAACCAGAGTAGGTCTGTGAGAGAGAGAGGGAGAGAGAGGGAGAGAGCTGGGGTCAGCCTAATGGGGGAAACACACACAGACACACACACCGACACACACAGACATATACACAAAACACACACAGACACACTCACAGTGCATCGGCCTGGCGGGAGCCAGAGCTTGCCCTGGCTGTGCTGGTCTGGTTGTATGTGGCTATGGGCGTGTCCCATGTGCTGTGTGCGCTGCCGTGTGCCATGTGCGGTGTGCGCTGCCGTGTGCCATGCGCTGGGTTCCACGCACTCACATAGATCATCCAGTTGGCATAGCGGCGGCGCATGTTGTGGAGGACAGAGGCCTCGTTGAGATGTGTGAGCATCGCCATGTCCTCGATCATGTCGAACTTGGGTGGGTTCATCAGCTGCACATCGTCCTCCTTCACCGTCACCGTCTGCCGGGCGAGGAGAGAGCGCAACGCCGGTCACCATGGCAACGAGAGAGCCCCAGTCACCACGGCAGCCCCACACCCCCACACCCCCATCCCTCAGCAACATCCATCACTTTTCACTTACTTTGCCCCCCTTGGTTTCCACTGTGACTTTGTCACCCGCTCGCTCCTTAATCTCTGCCTCAACGTAAGCCTCCTTCTCATCGGGGATCCAGCAACGCTTCTTACCTGGGCGGTGGGGGGGAAACACAATAGACATGTGACACCAGCCAGCGAGCTCTCTCTGCCAGTCACTGTCTGAACACTCAGACCTCAGCCAACACCAATAGACACAAGAGATGGGTGTTGAGGATTGGGTTAATAACCCACATGTAAGATTGGTGGCTCAGCTCAGGCTAACCATGTGCTAATCACATACAGGTCAACAGATGAACGACTTGAGAGCTATTTGCTGTTAGTTGCATCATTAACGGCACCGGTAATTCATTTGCACATGGTTAACCCAGCCCGCAAACTAGACCCCAAAAGGGTGGACATGGTGTTAAAGACCTGTCCTTTCGTCATATAGAATGACTGACAAACACAACATTGACTCAGTCACTCACTCACTCAGTCACTCACTCATTCAGTCACTCACTCACTCACTCATTCACTCACTCAGTCACTTACTCACTCAGTCACTCACTCACTCAGTCACTCACCATCAAAAGCGATGGTCTGTGTAACCATCTGCTCTTTGTCACTTTTCCTGAGGAAAGCAGCAGCTTCACCAAACTCGTTCCTGTTGAACATGGCCATGGTGTGTGTGTGTGGACGCGGAGATAGACAGACGTGGACTTGGGTTCGTTCGCTTGGCACTCGCTCAGGCTGATCACAACTGCAGAGAGAGAGGAAAAAATAATAATGGAGTCACTCAATCCACGACTGCGCAATTGGCTGCCTTGTTTTGCCCGTTCTCTGCTCTTTCTGTTCTCTCTCCTCAGACATGCATTTGGAGTCCTGTAGCTCAGTGGTTAGAGCATTCGCCTCATAGAGCACCTGGGTTTGATTGCTGGGCAAGGTCAAATGTTGCGCAAGTTTCCTTATGCCACACGCCTCTGTTTACCTAGCGGTAAGTAAGAACCCGGTTGTTAGTCGATTGGTGGATCGCTTTTCTGGGAATAGTAATTCTTGCACACAAAAAAAATGTCATCGCTCAATCCACGACTGTTTGTAGGACGCTGCTGTGCGTAATTGGCTGCCGCGTTTCACCCACAAAATATACAGTCAATTCACTTTACAGTATATCATGTGAAGCGCTTTGAGACGTTTCGAAGACATGATAAGGCACTATATCAAATGTCAGGATTATTATTATCGGTATAAACAATTAAATTTTTGCTAAAAAAATTAAATCCCTAAATCGTACATTACATAAAATTCTGGTTTGTGCTAACAGCTAACATTGGGAGCAAGAACACAAGCATTAACACGTAGCACTAACCTTGGCTAACCAGTAAATGGCTGAGGTGACCAGAGCTCCACTGCCTTTTATTGTCTCACCTCAAGGTCAGTCGGACAGGAGCTATGTGAGCAATGTGCCTTGTGTCACACGTAGAACAAAGCCCATTGGATCTGCCCCAATCTCCAGCTTACACACAAAAGGCAATCTTCACTGAGCCGTCGCCGTTTATTTTTATTCCTGAATCACAACTGCCTTTATCATAGAGCTGCCACCCACCCCCTCCCCACCCACTGTCTCTAACTCCTGCTGTCCCCAACCAAGGAGTGTGGACGCACAGTGCAGAGGAGCTTTACTGTGTCTCTAACCCTGACCTGGGAGTGTGGACGCACAGTGTAGAGGAGCTTTACTGTGTCTCTAACCCTGACCTGGGAGTGTGAACAGACAGTGTAGAGGAGCTTTACTGTGTCTCTAACCCTGACCTGGGAGTGTGGACGCACAGTGTAGAGGAGCTTTACTGTGTCTCTAACCCTGACCTGGGAGTGTGGACACACAGTGTAGAGGAGCTTTACTGTGTCTCTAACCCTGACCTGGGAGTGTGAACAGACAGTGTAGAGGGAGCTTTACTGTGTCTCTAACCCTGACCTGGGAGTGTGAACAGACAGTGTAGAGGGAGCTTTACTGTGTCTCTAACCCTGACCTGGGAGTGTGAACAGACAGTGTAGAGGGAGCTTTATTGTGTCTCTAACCCTGACCCAGGAGTGTGAACGGACAGTGTAGAGGGAGCTTTGCTGTGTCTCTAACCCTGACCCAGGAGTGTGAACGGACAGTGTAGTGGGAGCTTTGCTGTGTCTAACACAATGCTGCAACACTGGAGAATGATGAATGTTGAGGTTAGCCTTGGTGTCAATGGAGGGTGAGCTGGTGATGGAGGAGGAGGGGCTTTTTCTGCCTGTTATTTTGGAGCCTCTGTTGTGAGTTAATCCCAGGCTCCGGCAGGTATGTAGCACAAAGCTCGACCTTGGGCCACAACCCAACCAGAGAGCAGTCAGTGTCCTTGTGAGAGGACAAGGCTCTATAATTAGAGGAGGACAGCAGCGCTGTGGTCTGTGAGGCTGGTCACCAGCTCCACTCCACATTAATCCCTTTCTTTGTCTCTGAGCGATAAAACACAACAGGCAATAGCAAACGCTGTGAGGGGAGGGGGGATTGGAGGCAGATACAGGGGCAGGAGACACAGAGGGGGAGAAGACACGGGGGGAGCTCATTCAAATGTTTCAATCTAATTTATCTCTGCACTAATCCCATTCCCTGCTCCACCCGCTCTCTGATCCCAACCCGCAGCTCAGATGCAAATCCATCACTGCCCAGGCCTTGGGACATCGTCCTGATTTGAGAGTTGTTATATAAATGCAATTTGTCGTTGTTGTTGTCGTAAGGTGTCTGTGCTGGTCCTCGCTCCCCACAATGCCTCTGACACAGGTGTGACCATTAACCGTGTGTGAGAGGGTGAGTGAACGAGTGAGCCGTGGGTTGAGACACAGAACAACGAATCTATTAACATAACAATAATAATCCTTGCCTTATCACATCTTCGAGACGCCTCAAAGCACTTCACAGAGTATACCATAAAGTGAATTTACTGTGTATTTTGTGGGCGAAACGGGGCAGCCAATTGCGCACAGCAGTGTCCCACAAACAGTTGCGGCTTGAGTGACCAAATTAATTTTAAAATGTATTTTGAAGGAACTATTATCCCCAGAAAAGCAATCCGTCAATCGACTAACATCTGGGTTCCTACTTACTGCTAGGTAAACAGAGGCGTGTGGAGTAAGGAAACTTGTCCAATGTTTCACCCTGACCTGCCTGGGAATCCAACCCAGGTCCTCTCACTTGCAAGACGAGTACTCTAACCTCTAAATTACAGCTACAAAATACCTGAGCAATCTCAAAGCTTTCCTTGTTTCTAGCCTGCAGAGAGGAAAGTACAGCGACAGGCTTGTCACAGGTTGGAAGGGGGGATTACGTGTGGTGGGTCGGCCTGTCTCGGAATCTGCAGTCACTCAAGTGTCAGGAATTCACAGTGATTAGATACCAACAATCAGTGTCCTTTATCTCCAGAAACTTTCCATTCCTGGTTCTGGGTTCCCAAAATAATGAAAAGAACAATCAGACAGACACGCCAGGGAGAGAGTGGAATGGGGTTAGAGAGCTCCAGTAGGGGAGTGAGCACCAGCACAGACATGATGGGGAGAGACCAGGGAATGGGGTTAGAGTAGAGAGCTCCCAGCCAACAGCAAGCCCACTCTTGCCGAGAAGGAACAGAGAGTGAAAGATAATTGGGACTGAAGCAGGGTGAAGTGTTGCAGATCTGGGTTGATTGTGGAGTTTGTGTAAATCTTTCCGTTTGTCAGATCAAAGGCAACATTCTCTGGCTCGGCACCATCTCTATTTATCAGCCCTCGCGCTGGGCATGAGGAGAGCAGGGACACCGGCAACACACAGCACAACTGTTGTCTATATTTAAACCCAAATAACAAATGTAAATGTTCCCTGTGGTGTGTGAGCTCACATGGGCCTCACACACCATTGTCCCATCACATCAAAGGCTCAGGAACCTGGGGTCCACATAGGGTCTGAGCCCAAATAATGGCACTTTAACGAAGGACCTCTGTGACTACTGGAGTCCTGTAGATTATTTGTAGGAGCACCTAGCAATCAGTAGGAGTCCGGTTGTTAGTCGATTGGCAGATTGCTTTCCGGGGATAATAATCCATTAAAAATTTAAGTCCCACACAGACTTGTGGATTGACTTGTGGGCACTCAATCCTCTACTGTTTGTGGGGCGCTGCTGGGTGCAATTGGCTACCACATTTCGCCCACAAAATATACAGTCAATTCACTTTACAGGATATTCTGTGAAGCGCTTTGAGACGTCTCAACGCTGTACATGATAAGGTGCTGTATCAAATGCAAGGATTATTATTATTATAGAGAACTTTGAGCTCATGGTCCAAGGCTGATTGATGCTCCTAGACAGTGCAGGGGGTGGAGATGGGGTTGGGGGGGGGGGACTGCATTGTCGGAGACACTGTCTTTCAGACGAACCATTTGAACCTCACTCCATGTTTGTGCCCTGTTCCGGTGGACGTCACAGATCCAGCGGAGTTGTTGGAAAAGTGAAGGGGTTTCTCTGCCCTAACATCCTGGCCAGCAATCCCCTCCCACACACACACACATACACACATAAAGTTGCTCATTTGCTTCACGGCTACCCTAACATGGCTGATTGGTGAACTGAGCTGCCAGTCAAGTCAGTGGCTTTTGGCGAGAAGTAGATCATTATTTGGCAAGGACAAGTTTTCAGGGCTATGGGAGAGAGCGGGGGTGTGGGATTGATTTGGAAGCTCTTTTTAAAGAGCCGGCACAGACACGATGGGCTGAATGGCCTCTTTCCGTGCTTTATGATTCTATGAATCCTCGTGAGTTAGGGTTGGTTACTTGCAGGATGAATTGGGCATTGAAAGCCAATCTTTTCCATCCCATGTAACACACATTCTTGTTGCCTTTGTACAGACCAGCTTGATACCAATGTTCATTCCTTTGGGGTGATATTGAACTTCACAGTAAATTCATTCAAAACTGTACAAGGTTTATTGATTGTTAAATGGACATTGCCCATTTACAGTTATGCAATTTGAAACATAGTGTTACGATATGATTCTTAACAGGTTAGGTTTCTGGGAACACAAAAATATTGCTTGTGCAGCCCGTTGACATTTCTCAAATCTGGGATCCAGTCATCAGCAGCCTTAAGACTGGACCCAACCTGACAATAATAATAATCCTTGCATTTGACATAGCGCCTTATCACATTGTTGAGACGTCTCAAAGTGCTTCATAGAATATACTGTAAAGTGAATTGATTGTGTATTTTGTGAGCAAAACACAGCAGTGTCCCACAAACAGTCGTGAATTGAGCGATCAAGTTCTTACTTTTTTCATGGAGGGGCGGAAGGATTATTACCCCCAGAAAGCATTCTGCCAATTGACGAACAACTGGGTTCCTACTTACTGTTGGTAAACAGAGGCGTGTGAGTGGAGTAAGGAAACTTGCCCAATGTTTCGCCATGCCCGGGAATCAAACCCACGTCCTCTCGCTTGTGAGGTGAGTGCTCTAACCCCTGAGCTACAGAACTCTTAATATAACAAAACGAGTCGTTGGGGTTTGTTCAGAGCTGCAGAAGGCTGCTGTGTCTCAGCCCCAGTGGAGATCTATCTGTCTGTCTGTCAGCACTTCAGTCGGGACACTTTCCAGGGTCAATGCCCAGGTAGCTAAAGAATGCTGGCAGATCGTGCCTGAGTGTCAAGCGGCCAGTCTGAGCTGTGGTGTGGCTGACAGCTGACGCTGTGGCTATCTATAGCTGGCTATTCTCAGTTGCTCTATTGTGTTGGTGTGTGTGTGTGTGTGGTGATGGTCTCCAGCAGCCGCAAAATGTCACTCACAGTCAGGCAACCAACACCGTATGATTGTCATGTCTTGGAGTGGGGGGGCGGGGGGGGAGTGGGGGGTATTAACACACATGCTTCAGCGCCTTGCGACGTCCTCCTGACGTGAGGGGTGCTTTGCTGTTGTTGTTGCTGATCAGTCACTGCCTAGACACACAAACGCCCGAACACCAGTCAGTGAATTGACCAGCCCAGGAAACTCAGGACACCGTTTGGTCAGATGATCTCTGGGTGACACATGGAAACCCATCACCGTTGCTTAAGAGTCTCCAAACCCAACTGAGAATTCCTGGCCTCCCACCTACACATGGAAATCGCCACAGATAGATTGTTGGAATGGAATGCGCTCTCTCTCTCTCTCTCTCTCTCCAGTGGAGAGCCATGCATTGCAAGTGCTCCAGGCAGACAATGTGGTAGCCAACACCATCAACAACAACTTGCATTTATATAGCACCCTCCACGCAGGGCAGCATCCTGCATTGCTTAATGATGGCAGAGTTCGACACCGAGCTGGGGAGAGAGAGGTGACAGTAGACATGGTCCAATGTGGACCCCACAATCTTCTGGCCCCAAGCTGCGAGGTGCTGAGCGAATGA